GCGCTAGTCGGACACCTTGATGGCAGTCGATCAGATAACGCGGCTTTGGAATTGTCCAGATGTTGGGAAAGTTCATATAAATGTCCAAAATTCGTAGCTCAAGACCGATAGGATAATTCCAAGTTTTTCAATCTTCAATCTTTACCAGTTCTATAGAGTCGTAGGGAAGCCGCGGATATCTACAATGGGCAAGAAACTCTCAGCATCATCAACGAAGCCCCGAACGGGTGCCGTCGTTGTGCCAGCCACTACGCAACCAAAGTCCATTGACGAGGTTCCGAAGCTTGTCCGCCAAGACTCCGGCGTCGACGTCACAAAGCCAGTTCAGGGTAAACCGCTACCAGTCACCCTTCTCTCAGGCTTCCTGGTAAGTCCTGATCAACACATGCGAGCGATCGAGACATGTGTCTAACAACTGGATTGCAGGGCAGCGGGAAAACGACACTTTTACAACACATCCTTAAGAGCGATCATGGTCTTCGCATTGCGGTTATTGTCAACGATATCGGAGCGCATGTTTCTGTCTGCCCTATGCCACATATATCAGTGCTGACTAGCCGAACAGTGTGAACGTGGACGCATCCCTCATCAAGAAGAGCCATCGACTTACAAAGACTGAAGAAAAAGTCATCGCACTACAGAATGGCTGCATCTGCTGTACTCTCAGAGGGGATCTGCTGGAAGAGCTCGTCAACTTGTCCGAGCTCCACGAGTTTGACTACGTGATCATCGAGAGTAGTGGTATCAGCGAGCCCGAGCAAGTCGCGGAGACCTTTGATGCCCGACTGGCAGAGCAGATGGCTACAATGGGCGAGGGACCCGAAGGGTTGGATGAGGATACCATGAAGTTGCTCAAGAGGCTGTGAGCTCCACACCCTTTCTGATATGGTGGCTGAGATCTTCCATGTACTGACAAGTGCTGCTTATTAGGGCTGATGCTGGCGGGGTCGACAAATTTGCTCGCCTGGATACGACTGTCACTGTCATCGATGCCTTTACAATCTTTAACGACTTCCACACTAGCGATCTGCTGTCTTCGAGACGAGATGACGTTGTGCCGGAAGACGAACGGACGGTGTCTGACCTGATGGTTGACCAAATTGAGTTTGCCGATGTGATCGTCCTCAACAAGATCGACATGGTAAGCAGCCCCACGAGAGATACCATGACACGAGTCTGACTATGAATACATAGGTTTCCAAAACCGATCGCGCCCGTGTGTTGGATTTGATTAAGAAACTCAATCCACGAGCCAAGATCCTGGAATCCAGCTACAGCAAAATTGACGTTAACGAGATTGTCAACACCAACACATTCGACCTCAAGGTCGCTCAGTCCGGTGTTGGCTGGCTGCAAGACCTGCACGCCCTGACGGTCCGCGAGGTGAGACTTCATTCGAAGCTACATGTATCTACACATCTTATGATGAACTTTGCTGATACTCGATGCTACAGGTCAACGGGCGCAAGGCAGTCACACCAAAGCCAGAGACGGAGGAGTACAACGTCCGCAACTTCATCTACACAAGGACACGGCCATTTCATCCTAGACGCCTCTGGTCTCTCCTCTACGACAAGTTCATTTTGCAAATGGAGGAGCCTGAAGGCGACGAGGACGAAGATGCTATGGATGAAGATGATGACGCTAACATGAGCGACGAGGATGCTGACGACAAGGAAGACGAGGAATGGGAAGATGACAAGTCAGAAGCAGACGAAGCTGATGAAGACGAGGATGCTGACATGGAAGATCCCCTCGAGCCCCCGTCCAACGAAGTCATCCTCGCCAACAAGACCGCCAACCCCCTCTTCAACCGTCTCTTCCGCTCAAAAGGAGAGTTCTTCCTCGCGACGCGACCGCACAGGGCAGGAGACTGGTCTCAAGCGGGTGCGATGCTTACAATGACCGGCGGTCGCCCGTGGTTCTGCACACTTGACCCTGGTGACTACCTCACCGGTGATAGTGAGGTCGACGCTCTAGTCACGCACGACATCAAGAAGGGCGGCGAGTGGGGTGATCGTCGCCAGGAAATGGTTTTCATCGGCGAGAAGCTTGACATCAAGGGTTTGGAGGCTGCGCTGGATGCGTGTTTGCTTAATGACGAGGAGTGGAGGAAGTGGCAGAAGGTGATGAGGAATAAGAAGTGGGATGATGAGAAGAAGAGGGACAAGTTACAGGACTTGTTTGATGATGGGTTCCCAGACTGGACAGAGGATGGGGATGATCATGAAGGGCATGATCATGCATGATAGTGCACTCAGGTTGGTTTGGGGGAGAAATAGACAGCACAAAGTAAAAGTCATAGATTCACTTCATTTTGGGTTATCAAGTGAGACGGTAGTTGCAATTATCCACGTGCATGCTTACATACCTTACGGTACTTGGAGAGTTCAACTAAGGCGAAGACGGCCTCGTAGGTAGAAGTAGAGTAGGAAAGTATGCTGTCTGAAAGATCACCCTTGCACGAAGGGCTGTCAAGATAGCCGAGGCCAGGCATCCTGCCAGTTCATCTATGAGCAATTGCTCTATTGATTGAAAACAATTTCAATAGCATCGCTGTGAGACAGCAGATTCTTGGCTAGAAGCTAACAACGCCTAATGTGTAGTAAATGAGGACGAGTTGTCAGCGAGAGTAATGAGACAAGCTAAGATCTGGGCGTCGCAGCACATGGCTTACGTGATTAATCAAATAGATTGGGCGAGTTAGGGAAGCCGACGGATTGAAGATTTTCGCGATAACTCGCTGCTAGACATCACGACCTGATGGTACTCGTCCGCTTGGCAGAAGAATATACGCCAGACAACGAGATCCTTCTGGGCTTTCTCACACAACGCAGGTCTTGGTACGGTCTCATGGGGAACTCACGTCGACGCTCGAGTCGCCAACTTCGGCTCATGGCGGCGGGACAACCAGGCTAGTAGACCCGCCGGGTTACACTGCCCGGGAGCCGATCGTTGGCGTCAATGAAGTTGAGACAACCGTCGCAAGTCAAAACCGCGCCCTCGGAGCTGATAGTAGGATCGTCATTCCAACTCACTGCTTAGTCTCGGGCACCTCTCCGTACGGTCGCATCGCGGGAAGCACGCACGGCACGCTGGGAGCGAACCCGAATGCTATTGCTAGGTTGGGTGACTGAGTCGAGTTGCTGCGATCATCATTACTTGGTTCGTCCCGTCAACGCTGTTATTGACTAGGAAGTGTGGAAATGGTCCAATAAACCAGTGTCGGTGGATGCCGAAGAATTTGTTGCGAAATATCGGGGCGCAATCGTTCACAATGACGATCTTGTGTGCAGACGGAGCAGAATCCGAGTATTTCGGGGGCGTCGACAGGTTCGGTCGAATAGGGAATCCCACCGGACGGCTCAGCCATGGAGCCCGATATTAGGTAGACATAAATCGACTATGGAGCCGGCTTTATTGTTCTCTGACGGGCATGGCCCCCTTTTTGATGGAGAATGGCTTGGGCAAGAGGAGGAACAGGAGAAGCATAACCGGAGGAAGCGGTTCTTTTTGGTCTGACTAAGAAATCTCGGCGGAGTTGCATGCCTGATTCGACTGGCATTTGGCCTCTGGAACGTCCGGACCAGCGCCGCTCGACTCGCTGAATTGGTTCTTAGCGAGTGCTGTTATGATATCTCGGCAGAGCGGCACTTAATGATCGCACTTTATTTTCACTTTAGTTGTGAAGCGCTGGGTCCGACTAGTAAGCCGTGATAACAACATTTGTCGGGGTTGATGCTAGTCTGGCCTGGCCTCTCTCCTTGGCCATCACACCGCAGCAAGAGAGGGGGAAACCGCAGAGCTTCAGTCAAGAACCCAGGTTGATCCAAGTCATTCACTCGGCTTTACATGCCGAGTTTCTGTTAACGACTGCTTTGCGACTGGGAGCTGCCGCCAAAAAATTGAAAATGCACCCAAGCGCCGTCCTCCTTTTCTTCTTTTCGGTGGGGGGCTTTTCGTCCCGTGTAAAGTGATCTGCGACAGGGAATAGCCGCCAGCTGGAGTTTTTCTTCCTCGCTGCGCGCCCCTGGACCCAGGTTTCAGGTGAATCCCACCACGGCCGCGTCGATCAGGAACCAGAACTGCCAGAACAGAGTTCAGAGTGGCATAACCTTTTTCGCGGGATCGCTCTTGAGACGAAAGTTACGCATATTGACTCTGGGGAAACGCTTGTCTATGACGCTGTTTACGCGGATTCAAATGTTTTTGTAATGGCTTTGTAAAGACGTTAAATTCCGGGACGGGCGGGACTGACCAAATGAAAGAGTTTCGAGTATTCGCTGGGTGAACCGAATCCAGAACTGTCAAGCTGAGGGCACAGAGTACCAATAAACGGGTATTGACAGGCAAACCGGGCTTGTCGCCCGAAATTGACAGCACCAAGTTCGCCAACGGCCAAACCCCGACAAGCCTTTCACGCCGTTGCGGGCATGCAGGCACAGAAAGCCGCCAGCGGCTAGGACGAATAAGGGCGACCACTGTGGATGTAGAACAATCTATAAGCGACCGATTCGGGGCTTCGACCAGCTCGGGCCAGGTTCACCTACAAGGGTATGTGCTGCAAGCGAGCTGTGAGTTTAGATGAACAGGAGCAGAAGGGGAATCGGCGCATGAGCCAAGCTTGGCGACTGTATTTCCACAGATTTCGACAACGTGGGCGGCTCGTGAGCAGCCCAGGGGTCAATGTCGTCAATCGTACTCTAGTTGCGACCCCAATCCAGGGGTGCTCGCAGGCGACGACGACGGTGTTTGGTGGGAAATGGATCCCGCGTACATGTTGCTCCAATGTTTCAAACGAAGGCCACTTCGACCAAATCGTCACTGAAGCCTACTCCTATCGTGTGATCCTGGTTGGGCGAGGCAACGAGGTCGAGCTCCTTTGGCCATCCTTGCTCTTTCACCACCCCTTTTCGCGCCCATGATGCCTGGACTGTTGTCCAGATGAGGGTAGTCTGCCATGATGTGGGGAAAAATCTCATCAGTAATATGGGTGGGATGATGGATCATGGCGGCTGACAGTCTTTCGTTCCCATCCTCTTAGTGCGCAAGGGGTGGTGAGATATCTTCGATATAAGACAACCATTTCTTCTCATCATTTTCATCTTTTCTCTATTCTCTCTTCGTTCTCAACCATCGCTGTGTCTTTTGTCATTGTACAAACCACTTTCTTTCTTTTTGAAACTTCACTTTCATTCATTCCCTGGTGGAAAATCAATCTCTTCATTTTCTTCCTGTCCAATCTTTCCAACCTACCGGTCTTCACCAACCAAAACCAACCAAAACCAACCCACAACACGAAATCAAGATGCGCTCCTTCGCTCTCCTCGCTGCCGCGGCCGTCGTGCCCCAGGCTATGGCCCACTACGTCTTCCCTACCCTCATCGTCAACGGTGAGCAGACCGAGCGCTACCAGTACGTCCGCGAGGCCAAGAACTCCAACTCTCCTGTCACCGACGTCACCTCCGACGGCATCGTCTGCAACATCGGCGGCAACGACGACGACGTCCTCGCAAAGACCCAGACCAAGGCCGTCAACGCCGGTGACGAGGTCGGCTTCATCGTCGAGAACGACATGGGCCACCCCGGTCCCCTCGCTGTCTACCTCTCCAAGGCTCCCTCCGGCGTCGCCTCCTACAAGGGTGACGGCGACTGGTTCAAGGTCTACGAGCTGTCCACCTCCAACATCACCGAGGCTGGTCTCCAGTGGGCCACCTACGTCAACAACGCCGGTATTCACAACTTCACCTTCACTCTCCCCAAGGAGGTCCCCACCGGCGAGTACCTGATGCGCGCTGAGCACATTGGCCTCCACGGCGCCGGCACCAAGGGTGGTGCCCAGTTCTACATCGCTTGCGCTCAGATCTCCGTCACCGGTACCTCCACCGAGACCCCCTCGCCCGTCGTCAAGTTCCCCGGCGTCTACACCGGCGAGGAGCCCGGTCTGTTGATCAACATCTACTACCCCGCCCCCCAGAACTACACCGTCCCCGGTGGCCCCGTTGCCTTCTCCGGATGCGAGGACCACACTGCCAACCTTCTCGGCCAGACCTCCGACGGTGACTGCACTGGCTCCGATGGTGCCACCACTCCCACCACCCCTACTACTCCTACCACCCCTTCCACCTCCGCTGCTCCCTCTGCCGGCATCCCCGACTACAACGGCGGCAACAGCACCAGCCCCGCTGAGCCCTCTGCTGCTCCCACCGCTGCCGCTGGTGAGGGTGGCGACTGCGAGAAGTCTGCTGCTCGCCGCCGCGTCCGCTCCATGCGCCGCAAGCTTGCCCGTGCTGCCTCTTTCTAAATCAGTAAAGAGAGTTGAGAGAGAGAGAGAAAGAGAGAAGTTGGAAAAGTCTTTTGGACATAAACCACTGAGCTATGCTATCACCACTTGGTATTAGCAGCGCTCAACACATTATTCTTGTACATACGTATGACTTAAGACACTGGATGTAAATGCGATTAGATATCGGGCGATCCTTTGTACAGAGGCGTCCTCATGTTTGAAATATGAGAATCATTCCATATGAAACCTGCACTTGCCATTCTCAATTTCCGTGACCTGCCCACACTTAACTTTGGAATAGAATGAGTGAGACGGATTGGCCATGGTACAACAGGATATGGTCAAAAGTCTTGTCACACAACCCAGCAGGCAACCACCTGCCGCCAATGATTACCCTATTTTTTCAAATGACTTTTCGAGTTCACACGCTGCAGCTCATCATTCTCACAGTCTTCATCTTTATGGACGTCAGTCAAGAGGTCATGATTTTGACCCGTTGTACCTTGGGGTAAAACTTATAAAAAGTATCGAAGGACTGACTAGTACCAGCTTGAGCCTACGTCTTGACGCTTGTGAAACCCCTCGATGCTGGTGTCTACAAGCCACCGTGGGGCTATACTTGAAGACTCAATCAACACTCTCACAATTGAGCACATGATCCTCGTTGTGTAATGCTCTGAGCAGAGTGTCTCAATCTGTGAGGTAACTTTCCGTACATTTTCTTCCGACAAGCGTACAAGCATCTGACCGATAACCAATCCTTTTCGTGGCTTGGTTTTGGAGGCACTTCGTGTTACTCACAACTCACTTCGTAACCCCCGAGCTCTGTTCTAGCTCGTGACACCATAAGAAATTCCTATCACCTCTTCCAATCGTTTGTAAATACCTGGAATGCGTTCAGTTCTTTTTGACGCGGCTGCGGGAACTAACATGAACATGCAATTCTGCACAAGACTGCAACATGCCTCCTGTAACGCAAGATGGTCAAGTGTTCATGCGAGAAGCGTCGAACGCCTTCATATCTCGTGAAACCTTCGTTCTTGTCACACAAATTGCTATGTACATGTATGTAATTATACGTTTAGCTATAGTCGCAGCATGTTTTAAGAGTTGCCATAAAGTCTGAGTCTAAGCATCGGTCTCCGCCGGTACTGATAGCATCGCATACACATCATTCCAACTCCTTAGCTCTCGTCAAAAGTTTATGCTCGTTACTGCTCTATCATATGCGAAATGGGTTCGAATATAATCGTTCCATACCAGTATTCGCCTTTGCGGAGCCTGGACTCGATTCGTATCGTCGTCCTTAACGCAGCTGCGGATGCCCAGTCTCCCCTCCAATGTTCCTTAGTTCAATACGATAAAGCGGAGCAGATGAAGAACTTCGGCACGAAAAAGGACTTTGAGGCCATCTCATACACTTGGGGAGAGGCGCCACCGTCCTGCCAGTTGCTGATTGATGGGTCATTTTCGTTCGACATCAGCCCAACAGTCGATTCACTCTTGAGAGCTCTGCGACAGCCCCATACAACCAGATCTCTTTGGATTGATGCCATTTGCCTCAATCAGCAAGATACCGGCGAGAAAGCGCAACAACTTACTCGCATGGGCCGGATCTACAAAAGAGCGAAAGAAGTCCACATATGGCTCGGTGACCCAGACGACAAGACAGCAGCAATCTTCTCTGCCATTCGCATGATGCAGACGATCCCAGACATAAAACAAGTGAAAAGAATGGCTGAAGCAACATTGAAAATCACTAAGAGCCAACTTGGGGCTGATCACATCCTTCACCTCAAGCGCTTCCTCTCCCGGCCTTGCTTCTCACGCCGTTGGATCATCCAGGAGGCGTGCTTAGCGAAAGAGGCCAAAGTCCACTGCGGAACATCCTCTCTCGGTTTGCCTTGGTTTGTCGCTGTTGCTCGGCGTCTGGAGTGTATCGAACAGCTATACGGGTTCCAGTACCACTACCAGATTCTAATGATGAAGAGTTTGAGCGAAGAGCGGAAGCCGATCCTCCAGCTACTCTGGAATTTTCACGCTGCCAAGTGTAGGGAGCCAGAGGATCGGATTGCTGCTTTATTCGGTTTAATACCGGATCATGAGCAAATCATGGACCAGCAAAGTTACCTTGATCTTCGACAACACTGGTCAGTTCTGTACCGAAGGCTCGCACTGGCGATGTTCCAGCGTGGTCAGAAGACTGCTTTACAGATGCTCCTTCACTTGGCCGAGTTCGGACCGCTTGATGAATTTGACGATTATTACCCGTCATGGGTTCCGAACTGGACCAAAGAACGGCGTAGAAATCTACCATTCTACAATATGAGCAGCAATGTCGATGCCTTTGACTATCCCGAGAAGCCTGGGTTTCCAGAAGTTGCTGTTGTTATGGACTTGGATCACGCCTCCACATTCGCCATGCCACATGTCAACCCTATTGGAGACGAGTGGGTTGTGCAAGAGATCACCGTGGGAACACCAAACTGGACGGATGATCGTACCACGCGGTTTTTGTTCAAGCAGGATCGAATATTCATCCGCTGGTACGATTCCTCGGGTGGCCGCGGAGGCCGTACTGTCGACAACTTCATGTTCGCGGATGCACCTAATGAGTACCCCGAGTCCTTCTCTCCGTTGCATGAACTCGCCATTCTCTGGCGCAAGTTCTTCCCGCCTAACTTCTCATACGCGGAAGGCGACTCGGAGAAGATTGAGACCATTGCGATGCTATTCGGGACGATATTGCGCTTTCGCAACCCCGCCAAGACACCGCCTGAGCAGAAATCATCCAAAATACCCTCAAATATCTGGGCAAGCTACAGCGACATCAACTCACCTCCGACCAGGCAAAGCTCATAGACCAAATTTACTCAATGATGGAAGAAAATGTCTTCTTCAGTCTAGAGCCACGGGACCTCCCGGAAGACCTGAGCCTTTCATTCAGATCTCGGGGTGAATACGGCTTTGGCCCTCGCATTCTTGTCCCTGGGGATATCATGATTCCTGTTTGGCGCCTCCAGGAGGATCCTGCCAGGCGTTCGTGCATCATGCGACGTGACGAGACGGGACGACACATGGCCACTATGTTGGTAGTGAGGATTCAGCGTGGACCTGAAGACATCCAATATTCCCCTATGCCTTTTTCTGCTTTGATCGATCCAGCAACTGGAATCCCCGGAGAAGCACCGCATGTGAGGCGGATGAGGTATCCAAAACGGAGTAAGCCTTACCCAGTTGCAAGCCCCAAAGAGCCCGCTCCAGAGAGCGCGGCTGAACCTGGTCAGCATGGGGTGGTCGGAAAGCCGGTCAGAAGAGGTCGGGTAATTGGCATGGCGGTATGTGTTACGTCCGATGGTACGAAGCGATACGCTGAGCATGACATCCGTCTCGAAGAGCAAATGCATAAAAATCTGGATGTAGATCAGCCCTGCCTCATTGAGTTGCACTTAGTGTTTTTCCAGAGCGGGATTCTTTGGTCATTCTCGCTACTACGTTGTCTTACATGCGTTACAATACTACTACATGTTTTAAAGAGTCAACTAGATACGTAAGCTCTCGCGACACCTGTACTCTAGCTTGAGAGAATCGGATACTTACTCTAGGTTTGATATGAATATTCCCTGATGGATGTGATGAAAAAGCTGTTTTCACAGTTAATGAGAACTTGAAGAATGAATCGATGAGAAACCTATCGACAACTATGGCAATGGCTTTAACCCCACTTAGCACTGAGCTATTATGAAGGAATGTCACTGAATAGAGTCGCCCTGCCTTCCGATGGCCCGACATGCAGATCTCGTAGATCTCGAAACTTGCAGACACTCTTGCATCGAGAGGCCGTCAGGTGCATTCCCCCAGCTGAACCACTATGCAGCTGAGAGGAACTGTCGACTAGACTACCTCTTAGCCTCTTATCTAAAAAGGCGCCAGACAGCTAGCGGTTGATGATTTGGAAAACACCACCCGGAGCCGCAACGGGGCGGCAATGCGGAACCGCAACGCCGCAACGCGGAAATGTGCTTTACGGACTTAGCTTCCTTTGCCCCGGATTTTTCATGCATGATCCCGCGCCTTTCCCCGCACTCAACCCCCACCGACACTGTGATCTGAGGCAAACCAAAAGGTGCCGGGAGCAAGGACCTTCTGGCTCTTGAGCATCGTGGGATGAACGGTTCAGGCATGTGTAGAGCCTTTCAAGAGAGACGTAGATCAGATCATCACCTTTCAGATGGAAATATGCAATCCATCCAATGCCCAAACCTTTGGGTCTCTACCAAAGCTTGAAGCAACCTCACATAGTCTCTAGATCTTGGGAGACCAACAATCCCTTGCCAACCCCGCGACCTTAAGTGCGGAGAAGCTCCGTTTTAGTTGACTTGGAGCTGCGTCAACGCCCCTCAGTCTGGGGTAATTCGAGCCGCCGACGGGTCCAAAGAGCCCGTATCATGGCAGAGTTTAAGCTAATCCATCCAAGCAGAGCGCGTCCAACTGGGCAGAGCCATCCTGAAGCTCTATGATTTGCCCGCTGGACCACCCTCGAATCCCCCAGTTGCCCCGTTCCCCCACATTCGAGGAAGCCGGTTGCACACTATCGTCTGCAACTGAGAGACAATGTGCGCCCTTTGGCGCCTCCAAACTCCACAAACCGCTACGGATGGGAAAACTGTTGAGAGCTAATGCGGCACAGCAAGACGCCATTACTTCGTGGAGTGTGTGCGACAGAGTTTCGTTTCTTTGCCCGATCTATCCCCGGAGAACCCCCTCAGAATGCGTTGTCGCGTCGAAAGCTGTCAGGTGATGTCACGACTCAGCCCTCCGGTGCGGAGGAAGGGAAGCTGTCACTGGGGGTGAAGATCTCTCGTCCTGCATAAAGTCTCCTTTGTGACCCTCGTTTGAAGGCATTCCCACATCAATCCTCGCCAAACGCATTTGCAGGCAGACCACCAGATACTACAACACCACCTTCAGCCAGTCACCACATTCCTCGAAATCATGGCAGGCAGCTTTGCGCGAAGCGAACGGATCGAGCCGGGCTCAGTCAACCTCCCGCCTCGAGAGTATCCCCCATCCGTTCGCTCAACATCGGTTGATGCGGGGAAGGCCGCGGCAGATATCATCAACGGCTTTAACGCGGCACTGAACTCCAAGGACTACAATAAGCTCGCACAACTCTTTGTCGCTGACGGCTACTGGAGAGACCACCTAGCGTTATCATGGGATCTCCGCACCCTCAAGGGCAGGGAGAAGATCCAGAGCTTCCTCGGCGAGGCTTGCAGGCTAAAGGAGGTGCAAATCGATACTTCCACTGCCTACAGAGCACCTCACTTTGCGCCGCTCGATGCTCATGGCAAGGTCCAATGCCTGCAATATTTCATCAAGGTCAAAACGGATGTTGGACCCGGTGAGGGTGTCGTGCGCATGGTTGAATCTGGTGATAAGTGGGAGATCTTTACATTCTTTACGACTTTGCGCGAAATCGCGGGTCACGAAGAGCCTACTCGGCACCGACGAGAGAAGGGTGTTGACCACGTCCAGAAGCGGGAAAGCAAGAATTGGAAGGAGAAGAGAGACGATAGCGTCAACTACGTTGACAGCGAGCCTACGGTAGTGATTGTCGGTAAGCATTTTGACCTCTAGCACTCGGCTTTCCGTCGGACTATATTGACAGCTATCTAGGCGCCGGCCAAGCTGGTCTCACGATTGCCGCTCGACTGAAGATGCTCAAAGTCAACGCCCTTGTTGTGGACAAGCATCAGCGCATCGGTGACTCTTGGCGCAAGCGATACCACCAACTTGTTCTCCACGACCCCGTTTGGTACGATCACCTACCGTATATCAACTTCCCAAGTCACTGGCCCGTTTTCACGCCCAAGGATAAGATGGGAGACTTCTTCGAGGCGTATGCCAGCCTTCTCGAGCTCAACGTCTGGATGTCAACAACACTCACAAAGTCATCGTGGGATGATTCCAAGAGGCAGTGGAGCGTCTCCCTCGACAGGCAAAAGCCCGACGGATCCAAGGAAACTCGGACTTTGCACCCTCGCCACGTCATTCAGGCGACGGGTCACTCTGGCAAGATGTTCTTCCCTAGCATCAAGGGCATGGACAAGTTCAAGGGAGACCGCCTCTGCCACAGCTCCGAGTTCCCGGGCGCGAGGCCCAATTCCAAGGGCAAGAAGGCCATCGTCGTCGGTTCATGCAACTCGGGCCACGATATTGCACAGGATTTCTATGAACAAGGATACGATGTCACCATGGTACAGCGCAGCTCAACCTCTGTCGTCTCCTCAAGCTCAATTACGGATATTGGTCTGAAAGGTCTCTACGACGAGGACTCACCTCCAGTCGACGACGCCGACCTCTGGCTGTGGAGCTTGCCCGCCGAGCTCTTCAAATCGCTCCAAGTCGGAACCACGGAAGTACAAAATGCCAACGACGCCGAGCTCCTCTCAGGCCTCCAAAAAGCCGGCTTCAACCTGGACATGGGACCAAGCGGAGGTGGTTTCTTCGTCAAGTACTTCCAACGCGGCGGTGGCTACTACATTGACGTCGGATGCAGCCAGCTCATCATCGACGGCGAGATCAAGATTAAGAGTGGGCAGGAAATCACAGAGGTTCTCCCTAACGGCCTCCGTTTCGCGGATGGCTCGGAGCTGCAGGGCGACGAGATAATCTTCGCGACGGGATACCAGAACATGCGCACCGAGGCGCGTAACATCTTCGGCGACGAGCTCGCCGATCGTGTCGGCGATGTGTGGGGGTGGGATGAGGAGGGCGAGTTCAGGACCATGTGGCGGCCGACGGGGCACCCTGGCTTCTGGTTCATGGGCGGCAATCTCGCAATTTGTCGGTACTACTCCAAGATTCTGGCATTGCAGATCAAGGCGGTGGAGGAGGGGATCGATCAGAACAAGAGCCACACCAAGACTTTGGGAACGGCGGGAGGTGTTCCTAAACTGTGAAAGACATGTACTGCTTGCTGTGTTTAATCAAGGCGTAATGAATTTCTCTCCGAAGCTCTTCCACTTGAATTCGTGATTGCGTCCGTCTCCCTGCCTGCTGTTGTCATTGTGACTGCCGGCCCATACCGCCGTCCGCGACCGCTCAACGCCGGGAAGAGGCGGACCCGAGTGGGGCTGATTTGGATAAGGTATTCGGGAGAAAGCCTTCTCGTGAAATCGGAACTAGAGATGTCCTTTGACTAAGGAAGATAAGATGGGTTGGAATCTTGTTTTGTTTGTTATCCATGCCTACATTAGCCTAGCCTAAGGATTAGTTTACTGCCCACCTGGTCTGTGTCGCGGGCTTTAATGATTTCATCAATCTTCACAGCTCGAATTTGTACCCAGGGCCAAAAATTCAACCCTTTGAGTCATTTGACCCCAGGTTTTCCAGTTCGTCAGCGGCGGTCTTCCCGGATCATCGATACTCTTCAGTCTCAATTGCATGAGTTCTGATCAAAGTAAAGCAGTCCCCAGCTTGAATGGTATGCTCACATGGCCCGTGGGGCTGTCTTTGAAAATTTGCGATGGCAATCAGCAAAACATCGGCAGAGTGGTGATCTGCGATTTGCAGCATGGTTTCGGGCGGTATTTGTGGATATCTTCGCCCATCCCTGGTCAATATTCATCCCCAGCTACAACCTTGGCCCCCAAAAGGCCCTCGATTGTGGAGTATCGTCTCTTACTTTTGCATGGCCGCTAGGTCTCACGACTAACGAGAAGAGATCGTCAGTCGGATGGAACTGCTGAAAGTTGCCGCATTCCCTATTGGGACTGACTGAAGAGTCTTGAAGACCAATTAGGCGTTCTGAACGCATTGCCGTCTCCTTCAGGACAAAGCTAGGCTAATGCTGCTGGCTCATCTGTTGATCTAGCCTAATCTGATGTAACCTATCGTACTCACATAGTCATATGCGTACTTCCTGAGTTCACAAAGGGCTTGGATCATCGGCAACTTCCCCTGTCAATCTTTATTCACTACCCTGCACCCGATAATTTCAACGATTTTCATTAGACTACCGGTGTCTACTGAATGACGAAATCCCACCTGGCTTTTGGTCTCGATAGGGCTTACCAATGATCTTGGCACAATGATCTCCCCCGCCTCCGTAGTAGCCGTTCTTTCCGGCGTGGAGGAACGATGCCTGTCGTCTGGTCTCAAACTGCAGTTGATCGGCGCTTGAATTGCGATCTCGAAGGGTTATTGCTCACTATTGAACTCTGCCAAGATCACAAACTCACACATGATGGCTGATACGCCGATACAGCTGTACGGAAATTTCTCAACCCTCAGGAAGCTCCTGAAGTTTCTGCATTTGCTGATCAATCTTGCCAAATACCACGTGGACTTCGCGTGTCTGCGCCATCGCCGAGCTACGGTTTCAGAGCTGCCCAGGACGTGCGCGTGAGGCAGGCCTCCAAGAGCGACCGTTGACGCTAGAAACGAGACCAACCCACAGACATTTGATCCAAGGCGCAACTCAAAGCGTACCATTGGGCGGGCGCCCGCCAAGGTTCCACGCAGGAAATGAACACAGCGAAAGAAGAAGTCGGTTTGAGATCGATGATACACACTGTTGCTAGTGCCGACGTTGATGGTTGCACGGTCGGCCGCGATCTGTGACAGCTCCCGGTGCCGACTCAACGGCGTCGATAAAGTATTCTGCTCAGTCGGCGGCCACACACAAACGAGGCCAAGTCCACCTTCTCAAGCCACCGGATCTTGCGGGAGTCTTCATCCGAACATGCAAAGGCCACCCGAACTGGCGACAGTCCGCTCTTCACTTCAAGGTTGCGTCGAATAAAGTTCCGAGACTCGGCTACACGCAGGATTCGTGACAAGCAGTCTGGTCGCCGATTGGTACATTTCACATACCGCGCTACGCATTCCTGCTGGATTCAGGGGCAAGTTCGGGCCCTATGTTCTGCAGCAATCCTTCAGACAGGCATCTAGCGATCTGTAACCCAGTCGAGACTGCAGCCGCAATTGGCTAGTGAGTGCATCCGGAGCACCTCCCCCTCCTCATGAAGTTGCGGCCATGTCGGCCTGCCACCTTGCGTGTCGAGTCTGTTGGAAATCGGGATAGAGGTCGTATACATGGGGGGTTGGCCCTTGCATCGCGACGCTTGGCGGAATCTCATTCCCTTCCCCGGATTGGTTTCTCACGGCTTCATCATGGCCGATCCCTGTCAAAGTTGCCTCGAGGGCACCAATGCTACCCCACGGAAGATCTTGGGCCATCGACTAAGTGACTAGTGCGCGCTCTCTTCCCACTCAGCCTCTATTACGACGTTCAGCCGAGTGGGAGTATCCATGTCCGCAGAGATGACCCAACAATTCGAAATTTGCACCACTGCAGGTGAAAACACGGCCTGTGGCTGCTGGGGTTTCGATCTGAGGTGGGCAAATTTCCCAGGCGAGGTGAGAGAATACAATAAGGATGACTGAAGGCCTATGTTCTTCAATCACAGATGAAGGCTTGTTTCTTCTTTTTGGTTCTTCACAAATCAGCTAGCATTACGCCACCTACGCACGTCATCTGAAGGTCTAGTAGACATGGCGGCGGCAAACGTCCTCGTTAGAAACCTCAACGCGATACAAGAGACTCAGCAACAGGCCTCCGTCAGCACCATCGACCATGCCCTCGATGGCCAATCCCGATTTGGAGAGATAGTTGCCATTCTGGCTGTCGGATCAGTTCTGTCGACTGCGGCGGTTAGTCTCAGGGTTTACACTAGGGTCAAGATGCTGCGAACGTTTGGGCTGGACGACTCGGTGATGGTGGTTGCCCAGGTGAGCAATAACATCGTCTTTCTGAGGCGTGGATTTGGCGGCTCATTTCGATACTTTTCAGATGTTTCTCATTGGTTCAGCTGTTGCCATCGGTCTCGGTAAGTTCAAAGAACACCTGAGTCGGAACCTCGACTAATGACTCTCGAGAAAGCAAATGGGGTCTTGGATTTCACTCTTGGGTTCCTCCTCCAGAGGACTACGTTCCTTACATGAAGGTAAGATCCATTGGAAACACCCTTACTCAGGACCTGTACTTACAATAATATCAGTCCTTCTATACTTCGATCATCGTGTACAACATCGCGACCTGCCTCGTTAAGGTCTCTATCTTATTACAATACCGCCGTATCTTCGCCATCGACATTATGCAGAAGTTGACGCTGTGGGGTCTTGCTTTCATGATCTCGTGGACCGCCATGCTATCCTTCCTTCTCCCTATGATGTGTCTCCCCGTAGCCGCTTTCTGGGATTCGACCATCGAAGGCCGCTGCATCGACTTCCTTGCCATCTGGTACACCATGGCCGGAGTCAACCTCGTAGCCGACTTTGCCATTTTCAGCATGCCGATTCCGGTCATCAACTCGCTGCAACTCCCTCGCAAGCAGAAGCGAATGTTACTCGTTGTGTTCTGTCTCGGATTCTTGTAAGTTTTCATCCACACTCCCCTGATAGTTATTATTCTAAATCGTCTTTCAACAGTACATGCATCATCTCTGCACTCAGAATCCGAACTCTCCGCGTTGCTGCAGATACCAAAGACCCTTACTGGGATAACGTGGACGCCGCCACATGGTCTTTCCTCGAGGTCGCTATCGGTATTCTGGCGGCATGCCTTCCTACCCTCCGACCGATCTTCGTTACTCTGCTGCCACGCCTCTTCAACGCGTCTTCACTGCAGTTCAGGAGCAGTGGCAGGCCATCGAAATACGGCAATCCTTATGCTCAAGCAAGCGAAGGCAACAACAGGGCTAGTTTCATGCACGGGCTGGGATTCCATCGACCTATGAGCAGCACAGACGGATTGAATCGCCAAGACGGAGTTGAGTTATCTGGCCAAGAGACCGAGACGTCGGCTGAGTACACCGTCAGCGTTAGCACAGGAGCACCCGAAAGCCTCGACAAAATGTCCCGAGTGAAGAGCAAGAGGGACAGTGTGATGGATGGGCAGCACGTCCGCGGACACATTCGGACTACGACTGTGGTGACTCAGGAGGTTACGTTTGAGAAGCCTTCTAGTGCCAAGTCGAACCCCGACCAGGATTGAGAGGATGAGTTGTTTCTTTTGTGAAGGTTTATCTTAGTCATACTGATGAGAGGATGATGTGTTATTTTTCTTGTGTCTTATTTTGGTTCATGTTATACCCCATTTTTACCTCTGCTCATTGTCATTCGTTTCTTTTGTTAGTCAGAGGTCTTGTCCAAATATTTACCTCCTGCGCGGGTTCAAGCGTAGTTTTGCAAATCTAATTCTATTTGTCTGCTAAAGACGGTCCCGAAATTTCCAATGCCTATCATCTGTTCTGAACCTAATCGGAGTACTCTTCCAGGACACTTCGAGGCTCTACATATTTCCCTAGCGGTTTGTAGTCGATGTCGTACCCAAACGCTTTCGGTCCACCAATGTCTAGACCAGCTTGAGTCTCGGTCCATCGCGGCGAGCAAGTAATACCAATCACGGTGACTCTGTACCCGTACTTGAACTCAGGCACTCCGAGAGCCCGGCCCGACTCGTTGTCCAAGATTAAGATCAGATCTGGCACAGCAGCCACTATGCTAGTTTTGTCGCCCTCATCAGTGTGCTCTGCCAGGATATTCTCGTTCTTGAAAGGGATCTTCATCGTGCCCCCTTGCGCGACGGCAGCAACCCTCTCCTTGTTGTTCGCAGCTTCGTCGTCATCGCCGCTCTCAAAGGCGGCGATATGCACCTCACCGTAAGAATGGCCCTTGAAAAGGCGCCTCTCAACCTTCATAATCTTGCCCCTGAACAAGACCTTGGCAGCCTCAAGACCACCGGCTTCCTTGATGATGGACTCGGCGATCGTGCTCATGGTGTTGGTCGCTTGGCAGAGCGCAATACAGCGCCCGATCCGCCATGCGAGAGAGACGGTATTCAGAACACCGAATTTCTTAACCTTATCGCTTGTCGTCGGCTTGGCTGCCATGCCTACACGCGAGCCCATCTCAGAGCAGGAGGCGCGAAGAGCACGGTCAACAATTTCGTCGTTGGGCGCTCTGGTCATGACGATTGTTTTGCCGTCACCTGAGTCGATGGCACACGGTACCAACTCCAACGGGGCATGTACGGCCAATGTGGTTTGCCAGTACGTCGGGTACGCTCTGCCCATCCAGTCGCCGTCAATGATTGGGCTATCATAGAATCGGGACGAGCCAACGAGGAAAGGTTCGAGGCCGTTGGCACCACCAATTTCGAGACCCATCACAGCGTCGAACTTGTCATGGCGAAGGTACTCCATCAAGCCTTTAAACGCATCTACCGTCTCGATTGACTGCAGTCGTTCGATGGAGACAGCAGGCGAGCCCATGTGGCCTAGTCGCAGTCAGTCAATCAATGGGACGCCATGCGTTGACGAGATCAGTCTACTTACCCCCCCAGTAGATGACATCTGAATCCTTCAGCGAGGATGGCTCAATGACACGCATCTTGTATCCGGCTCTGAGCATGTTCCGAAGCTGGATCTTTGACGCGGCCGGGCTCCCACCACCTGCACATCCCAGCACGTAGCAGCCATCGGCAAGATACTCCAAGTCAGTTTCAGTGATATGCCATTCCGAAACACCGCTCGCATTCCGAGTCACGGTCGGCTTGTACTTGGCTGGGTCGATCTTTTCTTCTTCCACGGTAGCCCGGGTCAAGTCTTTGGTCGCTTCAACCTGCTCCTCGCCGTCCTCTTCTCCTGCGTCCTCGACTACCACTTCCAACTTGGCATGGAGGTCAATGTCGCCAACTGCTTTGACAAGTGTTCGGATCTGGTTGGCGACGTATTGTAGCGGCATCGTCTCGATTTCGGCAATCTTGATGCTTTCCGGGATCGCACCAGCAGCAATAGCGCGCTCGACGGCCATCCTCTTCGCATTCTCGATGGCTTGCCCTTCTGTCTGGTGAGTTGTTCCCTGCACGATGTCAACAGCGCCACATACTCGTGCAATGGCAGCCCCGACAGCGTTGGCAACATCGTGGAAGGGCGGTCGGACGAGCTTGGAGGCACCTTTCAGGCTTTCCGGTGATAAAATGGCACCTCCGCCGACGAGGAGTACCGGGACGGGGTCGGGCGAAGTCTTGATAACATCAACAGCACCCTCCAGCAGTGCTTTGATGCGGAGAATTGCCTCTTCTACGAAGGTAGAATCTAGGCTGTTGGCGTGCTCAGTTGTGCCCACGACTGCTTTGCCAGCTGCGACTGCGATGTCCGTCGTCGTGCAAACATCTCCGCCAAAGACAAGTGCGCGTGTGGTCAGCTCGAGTCCGACAGACTCTGGGCCAACTTTGACTTTGCCATCTACGTTTCTGACGATGGAACCTCCTCCGAGACCGATGGAGTGAAGATGAGGCATCGAGTAGTTGACTCTTACTCCGGCCACGGTAACGTATGCTGATGCTTGTCGCGGCATACCTGACGGAAGCAGAACGCCAACGTCAGATGTAGTCCCGCCAATGTCGACCACGATAGCAGAGCTGTCACCGCCAGTGTCTAGACCCGCGAGGTATGCCGCGCCGCGCATCGAGTTCGTTGGACCGCTCGAGAACGTCCGAATTGGGATCTTGGCCGCAGACGCCGCGTCGAGGATGGTGCCATCGTTTTGCGTCAAGAAAAGAGGGCAAGATAGGTTGAGTCTCTTCATTGCAAGACGAAACCTACTCACAGTCTTCCTTGCATAGCGCAGGATAGCGCCGTTCAGGATGGCAGCATTCTCTCGCTCAATGAAGCCAATGCTCGCACTAGCTTCCTTGCTGCAAACAACGTCTACGCCAGGGACTTCACGGAGAATGATGTCGCGAACCTTTTCCTCCTGCCCAAAGACTTCGTCTATAGGTGAGTAAACACCAGATACCACAACGGCGCCGACACCACTCTCGCGGATCTTGACGCACTCGGCAACGACCTGAGATTCCACCACCGGCGCCTCTTGTGAGCCATCAATGTGTAATCCGCCGTCGACGATGCCCACGTAAGACTGGATCACGGCTGCTAGGTCCGGAGGGAACTCGGCGAAAGCGGGCACCTCACGCAAGAAGGATTTGCTAAGTCGGAGGACACCCACGCGCTGCAGGCGACGGACATCACGCTCGATGACTGCATTAATAAAGTGTGTTGTTCCGATGGTCACACTTGCGATACGTTCCGGCGAGTCTGTCAAGCTGGCGGCGGCGAGGACAGTGCTAACGGCGGTCTCGATGCCTGCGCTTGCATCGGGGGTCGTGGGAGTTTTGAAATGCGCTAGAACCCCGCGTTCTGCAGTATTTTGGAGGCTTAAATCGATTGCGACGGCATCCGTGTTTGTTCCTTCGAAATCACGCTGTCAGCCAGGTCTTTTTATAAGAAGATGCGTCTCTTCAACATATAGACTGTTCTCTCCGGGGTTGGACACTTGTTGTGCTTTTAGCTGGCAGTTGGAGCTTCTAGACTCACCTCCAACATCAACACCAATTCGAACAGTACGTTGTGATGGTGGCATTTCTCCCATGTTCGTACTTAAGTCAGACAGCAGCTCGGATTGTTGCAATATTGCCAGCTTGTTGCTTTTGCCCAGGTCTACAGTTCAGCAACTCGGTTCAGTACGATTGTACCAGTCTCATATACCTAACCAGCGCTCATTTCTTTTGCTCCAAGCTATTCGCGTTAACAGACCCCGATGGCAACGTCGCAAATTCTTGGCCAAAGCTCGTGTTGTCGGAGATTATCCCACAGGTATGTGGTCTAAGCGGATGAAGCGCTTAAATGGGCTCCCAAGGCCACGGCCACGGTCAGATACTCTCTGCCACTAGTCTTTATGACGGCGCAAAGGATAGATAGTGAATGATAATCGGGCAGGTACAACCGCTTGGCTACTCCGTGGAACCATGCAGTTGAAGGCCCGGACACCAGATGCCGAACGATGATGTTGCGGGGTAAACTTGGATCCCCTGCGTTGTTGATCTCCAGACTTTGCCCAATGCCGTTCTTATCACCGTCTTCGCTCCACACTCGCGTGAAACTATGATAAGAGCTTCGCACCTAAGCGGTGTTTGGAGGCATTCTCCAACGATAAGAAATACCCTAAGTTGATAACTACACATACAAAATGCTGGTGTTTGGGTTATCGGCCGAGGTATTGGATGACGCGAAGGTCTGCCAAGCGGGCGCCGATGCAACGTATCAGAAGCATTACCGATACGGAGGAATTGCATGCAAGATGCGCGTGAGCGTGGACTCTCGCCGGGTGCGAATCCATTAAACAAAGCGAATGTCCCTCATTCAAGCGCGACTGGAAGCTTTCGGGTTTGAGACTTTGTGCAAGTCCGATAGATTCAAAGTTGTAAACATGGGCCTCAGTGGCTTTTTGAGATGGGCTCGGCTGCCCGACACTGATGTAGCCGAATCAAACGTATGGATTAATGAAGACATCAGACCCCTTCCTCCAAGCCGTCGAAGATGGACAACTTCAACTTTTATATCATTCTGGTTGACTAATCAGGTTGCAAGTCAGTGAATCATTATTGACGACAAAGCTGTTTGATGAACTAACAGTGTAATAGTCTCCAATTGGCAACTCGGAGCATCCCTTGTCGCTGCTGGACTCTCTGTGTGGCAGAGCGTGATTGCCATCGTCATTGGCAAGGTTATCATCGCCCTCGTTGCCATCTTCAATGGACATGTCGGCGCACATTGGCATATAGGATTTCCAGTCGTTTCCCGATACATCTGGGGCGTGTACGGACAGTACATCATCCTGATCCAGAGAATCATTCTCAGTCTGGTGTGGTTTGCTGTACAGTCGTGGACCGGAGGTTTGACAGTTGTCAACTGGTGAGTACCTCTCAACCAAAGCACCCATCGCCTCTACGTGACCTAGCGCTCACCAGCATCAGTCTTTCGGCAATCTTCCCATCATTCGAATCTCTAGGCAACGTATTCCCCGAGTCCTCGCACCTCACCACCAAAGACTTCATCGGTTGGATCATCTTCAACGTGCTCCTCATTCCCATCCTTTACATCCGGCCGGAGAGGATCCAGAAACTTCTTCTGGCTTTCAACATCATCTCCTCAATAACCCTCATATCCATCATGATTTGGGCTCTGGCAACAGCCGGCGAAGCGGGGTCTTTAGTTCGCCAAGGGTCAAAGCAAATGTCGTCAAGCGAACTTGGCTGGCAAATCGTCCATGGCATCACCACAGTTATCGGAAGTATTGCTGTCGGCTTGACCAACCAGCCGGACTACTGTCGCTTTGCTCGGAAGCCCGGAGACCAGGTCTTCGGACAATGGTTCAGCATCATCTTCTTTGGAGCCATCTTCCCTACCTTTGGCTGCTTGGCAGCTTCGGCAACTGGCGTTATCTACGGCGAGCCGATTTGGAACCCGCCCTTGATCGTTCAAGCATGGCTAGATTCGAACTACAACGCCAAAAGCCGCGCGGGTGCCTTTTTTGCTGGCCTTGGTCTCCTCTGTATCCAACTGAGTATCAACTCTGTTGATAATGCTTTCTCCGCTGGCATGGATTTGTCTGGTCTGTTCTGTCGGTACATCAACATCAGACGCGGCGCTTACATCGGTCTCGTGCTGAGTATTGCACTCTGCCCATGGGAACTCCTGTCATCGGCAGCAGTCTTTATCAGCGTTCTCTCCGCTTACAGCGTCTTTCTTGGTCCCATTATCGGCATTCAGATCTGCGACTACTTCATCATCCGTAGACGCAGGATTAAGTTGTCAGACCTTTACCACCCGCGTCCAGATGGTTCTTTCTACTACTATAAGGGTTTCAACCCTAGAACCTTCATCGCTTGGGTGTGCGGCTTTGCGACACAGCTCCCAGGTTTCGCTGCTAGCGTTACACCTAATAGCGTCAAAGTTGCTGAGGGTTGGATCAATCTTTACTACCTGGCGTTCCCACTAGGCTTCGCTATATCGTTCTTGTTACATCTGGGCATCAACACCATCTGGCCCCCTCCTGAAGCCGGTGTTATCGATGAGGTGGACTACTATGCGACTTTCACTGATGATGAAGCAAGGAAGCTGGGAGTTTTGCCGCTTGATACCGAGATCATCGAGGGCTCGCACAAGGGTGTTGAGGGGCACGACTCTGAGAAGGGGCCGCGAACATGGCTGAAGTCTATGCTTGGTTAGTCAGAATGTGCCGTTGTGATTGGATGCCGTACAATCATTAGACAGCTTGCGCAAAGGGAAGTGGAAATGCGTCGTATGGCGTAATATTGTCGTCTTCTTGCAGCGTTCATCAAGATCGCCACCCTTCATTGCATGATATCGCATCTTCGTAGCTTCATATCTACATCATTAGACACTATGTAATACCTCTCAGTTGATCATTCCATGTTCATCGAATAAGCTGCCGATATTCATCCAGACCCTGAGCTGTATCGGCATTGCCATATTTGTCGGATGCTCAAAGGTAGAAGTAACAGAATGGTCCCGACAAGGTGTCCATCACATCTGCAATCTTGATTGAGGGACCCGTGTATCCCATATCGATGACGTCCGTAAGTTGAGTTTTCACGGACGGCGGGTTGTTGGCCCAGGTAATGTGGCCGTAGTCACCTCCGTTCAACTCCTGTTGGCGTGCAGCAGGATCGAGCGCTTGCCTGAGAGATACATGTTAGAAGTGTCCATCGGATACGCTGATTCACCCGAATAAAAGACTTACCAGAAAGTCCACATGCGGTCCATCATACCGTGATGAACCCAGAATGCAGGGTCGCCGGGGGACGTGAAAAGGTCCGCACCTGGATCACCGGAGATGGCGTAGTGCATTCCTCCATGAGGTCCAATCTCAGGGGTGTAAGGGACTCCCTCACTCAAAAGCCTATACTCCGAGATGTTAGGCTTGAGCAACAAGTCTGAGGATCCGTCAGCATCGGCCGTCACTTGTCGGGCGCTGGCAGAGATACTCACTCAACACCGTTGTGTAGTTGGCATATCTTTGGTTCATAGCCGGACCCACGTCGCGCTTCAAGGCGCGAGGGTTGTAGCCTAGACCACCGTCCGGACCGGGCGCCGTACCCTCAAGACCACCGACCGGGCCAAGATTGACAGACATGTTTGCGAAAGGTCCAGTAGTCACGAATCCTCCACCGACACCAGCAGGCAGCTGGATGCTTGAGCCGCCAATTCCTTCGGGCGGCTCAATGACCGGCCCATCATGGGGGGTGTACTCGCCGTTTCCGCCGAGACTGTAAGGGTCTCCGTTGAAGATAGGGGACAATTCAGGTGCAGAAGCGTATTTGGGCCAGTCCCAATACTGGTATCTCACTATTAACAAAAGGAAGATAGCCAGAAAGATTGAGATTGAACTCACGGGTTGATAGCCGGTGTAGCCACATTCCTCGCGCAAGGCCTTCTCGTAGAGATGCACGAACCAGCGATGCCACGGCATAAAGTTACCCGTGTAGTGGATCGTCATGGTCTGCTGAATATGGGTCACGACAAAGTCATCAAACTATGCAACGAGTCAGTCGAGCTCGGGTTACCGCGCAAAAAAGTTCGGACAAAGCCGTGGGATAATATTACATACCCGAGATCGAGCACCAGAAGAGACATTAGCCGGTGTCCGAGGCGGCAGGCTTTGAAGACACTTGACGGCGTTCACATAAGAGAGCCTCTCGGTCAATGAAAGCGAACCACTGTTTGTTTGTCAGTCATCAACTATGATTTTGAGCCCAAGTTCCAACACTTACTACTCCCGGCGGAAAACCATGTTGCTTGTCGTGCAGTTGGCTGATTCGCCGCGCTTTTTCAACCTGGCCTCCCGCTCCTCTAGTGACTTGACCACATTGGCTTGGATGCTGGCAGTGAGATCGGCAAACTGAGCCCCGTCTGTGGTCGAGTCGCCGCGTGGCTTGACCGAGGGTGCGGCGAGCGCGACCGATGCCAGGGCGGCTGACGAGAGGACGGACGAAACCTTCATGTTGCACGGCTCTGTCAAATTGAAATGAGATGCAGATCACAAGAAAGTGTTTGTCGCTCTGGTCACGACAAAGGTTGGGAGAGACACCGGCACTGACCAGCAGTTACCGAGACTAATAAAGGCGAGCGTAGTAGCGTACGCAGCAGGGGTTCTGCGGACCATCATGCCGGTAAGTTGGAGAATTCCCACAGTCATTTCGATAGGAAGCTTCAGTGGCTCGATCAAAAATATGCTAAATCATTTTGAGTCGGCAACCGATGCAGGCCTGCGGCGCTGTATGCAAGATGCCTGCGATGTTGCGGTGGAGTGGCAAGGCAAGAAGGCTGGCTGTATCCGAACCAACCAACTCAATTTTCAATTATCTCGAAGACCTCACCAAGCTCACCGCATAGGTGCTTACCTCACTTTCCGCCCGTGCCGCCCTGCCGCACCCGCACACTTTTCTCTCAATGGACTCTGTGCAACTTGTTAACCGTGACTATGTATTAGTCGATCATCATCGTACTTACCTCTGTATGGGATAGTAGCATTCTACTGTGTACAGAAGAGCAGCCACCGCTTCGTCCCGGTGCAGATACCGTTCGATCTACCGGGGGAAGAGCGGGGCGCCGGGGTCGGCAGATGGTCGGCGCATACTCAAAGATTTTTGGATGGCCGGCACACCACCTTGAAAGATATAGAAGTACTTATGTTCAAATTGTTCGAGTCGTATTTGCATGACAGAGTCTTCCCTAGCCATTGAATCACTCGTCGTAATCGCCATGAGTTGCTTCTTAATCGGCCTGTCTTCCGGAGCTCCATGTTGCCCCGGACCTGAAGTTCCTCGGTCGTGGAGCCTGCTTAGGTGATTTCCTGATCACGGCTTCTACCTTTCGCTTTGAAAATGACTGTTAAGGAGTAGACGTCAAGGAATTACGCTCAGCCATCTCAATGCCAGATTCCTTTATGTTCTCCTGCCGCAAGGCTTCGAACCTGAGAGGAAATCATGTATTGTGTGAGTTCAGTGTGGAGCATCTGATGACAAAAAAACAAGCTGCGTCAATATGAACACGATGGGACGCATTGATCGTTCCAGTATCCCATCGGTTCAATCCTTGGATTGTACCTAGTTGCATTCGTCACTGCAGCGACCAATTCCCCGATGAAGGATGAGCTAATTAGTGAGTATTCGTGGCTTGAAAAGTGCATTGTGTAAACACACTGCAGGCATCACAGAACAGGCAATGCCAGTCCAGTCAAAGTTTTCAGCCATAAATAATACACAGTTGACAAGGCCCAGTTGACACACGTTACTGTCGCAAAAAGGCAGCTCATATGCGACGCGGATGTTCCCGTCGAGCATAACCTCTCGAGCAGGGCAAATGTGGGATTCAATGAATGTTGGCACCTACCAATCGCTGGTGCTGCGTTATGCTGAGCATGCCTTACCCCTGACCCAAGCCAACGGTTCTTGAGCCGGCAGTACTAACTGCCGCACTCGGATCTTGGCACGTAACTGTACAGATGCAGCCTGATCACCGAATGATGCACCACCACACCGGATCCCATTGTGAACATCACAGAGATGGTCTCGATGATGCAAGTCGAAGTCCTGTTCTGACATATTCTTGTGGCGACAGATCCATTCGCTGGCATGTAGGTACATATTAGAAAGGTACTCTCATAGACCCACTGGAGGATGTCACCCTTGCCAACATGTTCCTGGTGTGGTACGGATGCGGATTTGTTTAAAGATGAACCATGTTGGAAACTTTGACCACCTTTGACAAGATGTACTCCGCAGCTCTGGTTGATCTTCGGAGACCCCTGGAATTTGGTAAATTCTTTACAGGAAGCTGATTCAATCACCGAGAGTGGGCAAATATCGTTATACTCCCAAGCCTTCAACCTAGAAGAGAGAACTCAAATGGTGAAGGGAAAACATAAGTCATGTGCCACAAAGTGACAGCGTGGCCCAGCTCATGCGGGCCATCTTGAGCTGGGGAAGGAAACCAAGACTTTTCTTAACCACCAAGAAGTCTTGTTTGCACTTCCGAATCATTGCTTTCAAGGTTGTCCCTGCAGTCTAGTCCGTCATGGACGACTCGGTCCCCTTTCCACCCGACGTCAATAGAGGCAGCGAGATCCTCGTGGTGTGCGGAACTCTGGTTGGCCTTTCTGTGGCCGTTGTTATCTTGAGAATATGGGTGAGGGCGAAGATGGTTCGGCTTGTCGGCCTTGACGACTACTTCATGATCGCAGCTACGGTAAGATCTCTTGTTCGGCCTGTCGGCGAAGGTGCGGGCCAGGTTGTAAGAAGGTCGAAGCTAAGATAAACGTGTTTGTCAAGGTCACTATCTTCGCAGAAATGATGGTCATCATTCCCGAGGTCCAGTATGGCGCAGGTCGACACATTCAATACATCGAACCGAAGAGCAACATCGTCACAGGCCTGCATCTCAATTTCGTCACGCAGCCTTTGTGCCTCATTGCGCTGTGTTTGGCCAAAGTTAGTGTAGGCATGTTTCTTCTGCGAATAACGCCATCTGGAAAGTTTCGACACGTCATATGGGGCATTATCATTTTTACGGTATTTTCGGCAGTTGGTAACTTCTGTGGGTTGATCTACGTCCAAAGCTCCAGTCTGACTGGAGGGTTGATTCCAACCTCGCGCTGATATCACTTAGTAACCGTCTTCTTCCAATGTCAGCCGTTAGCATTCACTTGGGATTTCTCTATTGAAGGAGGAAAGTGCATTCCTCAAGCAGATCTTAAGTTCGCCGCCTTCTTCAACTCGAGTAAGTTACACAATCTCCTTCTTCACGGAGGCTACGCCTTTCTCTAGACTAACAGTTGTAAGGCGTATCTGTCTTGACCGATCTTCTTTTCGCTCTCTTGCCGGTACCAATCATGTGGAAGGTGCAACTAAATTGGAAAGTCAAGTCCGCCGTCATCGGAGTGCTTTCTCTCGGGATCTTGTTAGTATTCTGCGCGGGTGTCAAGAATAACCTCGCTGACAGCCATTACCAGTGCGACTATAGCAGCAGTTATCAAGATATCGTTCCTGTCGGGTTATGGGAAACATGGAGACTTCCTATTCAACAGCACTGATATAACAATCTGGTAAGTTCCCGGTAATCTCAATGGCTATCAACGTCGACCCTCCATCGTCTAACATCTGCGGTTCCAAGGACAACCGTCGAAATATGCACAGCAATCATTGCAGCCTCGATACCTTGCCTCAAGCCGCTATTCAAGGCCATACTCTCTGGGTCATCAGTCGAACAATACAACTCGTCAAAGTACAATAACGATGGGTACATGCGGAACAAGAATGCAAGCAAGTCAAGGAGGGCGCGCACTCCGGAAGGAAACTTTGAGATGTTTAGCCAGTCTCGACATACAGCGGCGATCCGCTCAGGCTTTGGATCCAAGATGGGCTCGCAGGAAAGCATTATTCCTGACCATGGTAGTGGTGGCGAAGGCATCACAAAGACGATGCAGGTGTCTGTCTTTGTAGACGAACGGCAGAAGAGCCCCAAAGATCTTGTATAGCGGGGGCGTATGCAACGGAATGAGGAAATTCCTCTTCATTGACATGAGTTGATCTCAGCCAATATGGTTCCATCAAAGAAAAATACTAAGTGACCAAGTTCGACAAGGGTGCCATTAGCCCGACGCCATATCGTGATCCCATAATGAGGCAGGTGAAGGAAGATTAGGTGGGTTGTTCGAACCACCCCGTGTGCCTATGTATACAGAATCATCCCTAGAATACAACCTATTGCCCCTTCATGCCACCTCTCACTGTAGGCTTGAAGGAACGAATGGTAATTAGAGTCATTCTCTGAAGCCTAGGTACCTATTCCACCGAGTCCTGACGTCATTGAAATAAGCAACTCAACCATTCTCTGTAGTATTCTGCGCGCTGCAATTCATGCTGACTAGAGCAAAGAGGTCGCTGACTGTGCACCTGGCCATGTGCTAAGGGACTTATTCAGATTCCCAAACGCGCTGAGGACGATTTCCATCAAAGAGTTGTACACGCATGGACTCGCAATGATTAGCGTTCAGCTGATAGCCGATAACGTGAAGTTTTGTCCGAGCGTAGAACAATGCGCTGCGGTACAGGTTTCAATTGCTTGAAAACGCATGCAAAGTCTGTGCCAAGAGTTGAGACCACGACTCCGTGATGGAAAGACATTAAAAGCAGCCTGTTTCTGCACGCTGACTTCCCTTGTCTTTTGGTCCTGGTTACGCGACCACTTACTCAGTAACTCAGCGGTTCTCCTTAGCCTCGTTGCCAAGATGAAGTTCTTACTATCTCTCATCGTTTTTGCTGCCGCCGTGACGGCCGCAAGCCCTGCTTTGCTCACGAAGCGCGCCGTGTATCCCCAAGAAGGCCAGGTGTGCTGCAGACACGACCGAGCTGAAAACTGTGTAGGTTACAAATTCTTTCACAGCGGGCCTTTTTGACGCAAATTGGCTAATTTGTTAATCGGTAGATCTGTGTCGCTCGCGACAAAGGGGTTTGTCTACTCTCGAGAACCCAGCACTCGAGCACAGAGCTAATTGCCACGTACTTAGGAATGCAACAGAGGAATTTGCATCATGTAGTTACTTCCATTGATACCATACAACAGAAATCGTTCAAGACCATGTGTTTGTGGAAGAATGAGCATCGCTCAACTCCCCCTTGTTCTTCCAGTGATGTGAGCTCCCGGATCTTGGCGGAAGTCCGGGGAATCGTGGTGCTTGGGCGCTCAGACACGGTGTTTTGGTTGCAAAGCTGCGATGTGCTCGGCTGTTTGGACGTTTTACATTATGCGATGGAGCATTCTGGAATAATCCGAGTGTTCTAGACCCTAATAGTGAGGATTCAAGCATCTCTCAACTTCTTCTCCTGGTGCCAAGTTGCTAACGTCCCATTCTCCAGTCCGCACGACGCGACGGACGTAAGTAGGTCTCCACTCTAGGGCGCGTTCATCGGCCGGCAGGAATGCCTTTGGCCGATGTGCCGTAGCGCCGGTAGCCGGCAGCCGGTGACGAAGGCCGCTCCGGTATTGAGTCTGACTCATGGCAGCAATTTTCCAGTGTTAGCAGGCTCTTTTACTTGATCGCTCAGCAGTCACTCAATAGGCTTCAGTGACTCAGCTAGCCTGGAATGAGTCCCTCTGTATCACCCGACATCGGCTTGCTCTCTAATTGTGCTAAATAGCATTCTTTCGCGATAAATCATCAACTGGATGAAAGCTGTAGGATTGGGTTTACAGGTCTTATTTCAACAATTCCATACGGCCACAACATATCGCTGTAGAAAGCCCATGGGAAATGGCATCAGTCAGTCCAGACGCACCCCTCGGGGGCCAAGGTCGCGTTCAAGTATCTATTTACTCTCGCTTCAGACCCTTGCAGAAGCGCACCATCACCGCCATCGCTGCATTTTGCGGCTTCCTCGCGCAGGCTTCAACGACATGCGTTCTGGCGGCTGTCCCAGAGATCGTCGAAACGTACCATACAACAGCGAATGTGGTCAGCATCAGTAATGCGGTCTACCTTGCGTTCATGGGCCTTTCCTCATTGATCTGGGGACCTTGGGCCGACATTTTCGGCCGTCGCTCTGTATGTTCCGAGTTCATGATCAGGTACCTTACATTGGAACACTCCTAATCAAGTCATAGGCCTATCTTTACAGACACTATTTCTAGTCTTCACAATTGGTACGGCTTTGGCGCCTCAACTAGAACTTTTCTTCCCATTCAGGGCCTTCACGGCGTTTCAGGGAACTTCCTTCCTCATCCTTGGGTCCAGCTGTATTTCTGACATTTATCACCCCGTAAGATCATTCATACCAAACGCTCCTCAAGATGTGTGACTGGACTTGCTCACCAGGACTGCAGACTGAGCGAGCCACTTCTCTGGGCTGGTTCTTGAGTGGCACCACCGTCGGTCCGGCTTTTGGACCGCTTCTGGGTGGTATAGTCACTTTCACCTCATGGCGCGTCATCTTCTGGATCCAAGCTTCACTTGCTGCCACTGCACTTGTTCTCGTCTTCTTCTGCCTCCCCGAAACACTCCATCAGTCTCGCGAGAGCGAACTGACGGGGCTCGGGCCACTTGAGAAATGCAGAAAGCTTTGGCAATGGGGAAACCCAGTCAGAGTGGTCAAGATCTACGGCAATAGAAATATGCTTCTTATTGTAAGGTCGCCCTATTGTAGCCAAGTGCATGGATACTGCTGCAAAGCCGCTGACCTATCTTCAGTGCCTCGCTTCCTCATCCTTGGTTTGGAATATGTACTCTCTACTCACCCCGATCCGATACGTGCTTAACCCCAGGTTTCACCTTACTACGCCACTGCAATCGGGGTTGCTGTATATTGCACCTGGAGCGGGATACGTTATCGGCTGCCAGGTTGGCGGTCGATGGGCTGATTACACCGTCAGCTCGTGGATCCGGAAGCGTGGCATCCGCTTGCCGGAGGACAGACTTCGAAGCAGTCTTGTCTTCCTCGGGCTGATGTTGCCAGGATCCATGGTTTTGTACGGCTGGACGCTTGACAAGAAGTTTGGCGGCATCCCCCTTCCTATTATCTGCATGTTTTTGCAAGGTATCGCACAGTTGGCTGCCTTTCCAAGCCTGAATGCTTACATTCTGGATGTCATGCAACATCAAAATGGGGAAGCTTCGGGTAAGTTACATGCGTGTTCTTGGACCCTGCGTATGATATTGATACTAACAATTCTGCAGCCAGTCACTACCTCATGCGATATATGTGCGCTGGCCTTGCAACTGCGGTGTGTCTTCCTTTGATAGAAGCTATTGGCGTCGGCTGGGTTTCAACGATTTCAGCTGGCATACAATTCATCTGTGCTGGACTAGTCTACTTAACCGTTCGGCTCGGCGAAGGCTGGCGGCAAACACATCAACTACCTGTTCCGCTTTAATTAGCCCCAAGATGGGTTATGCATCTAGAGGGCTATCTTCCATTCGTCCGCTTTACTGGCTTCGCGTTCTTCGAGAAACACCTCGCCAGGCACGAGATTGATATGGACATTGACTTGTATGTATCAGCCAGGCTTGGCAGTTTTATCCACGTATATACACTTGCTCTGCCACCTGCAGACTTTTCTTCACCAATAATCAACGCCCTGATTAGTACTAAAAGGTAGATGCTCGCGAGATTCAGTCAGTCTCATCACCCGTCGCAAACTCTCCAGCCTTGATCTTGTCGCTAAGAGCCTTGTTCTCCCTGATGTAAGTGGCAAGATCGGTCCGCTTCTCGAGAAGAAGATCGGCAACAAGACGACCGAATACCGTTTCACCGGCAGTGTTAAGATGCGTAGAGTCGCCCGAAGCAAGGTCGTACTTGTGTCCATTCTCGTTTCCGATGGCGTTGATGTAGTTGGTGCTGGCGGTGTTGAGGTCGAGGTACGTCGCGCCCACGGCCTCCGCGGCGGCGATGGCTCTAAGGCGCTCGGTTTCCAAGTTCTGGATGACCTTGCCGCCGCTGAACGTGCGGCGTGTAAGTGACGTGATCAAAATCTGCGTTGAATGTTAGCATGCTTGTTGGATGCATTCCTATCACTAATTCACTCACAGGAGTTCCGCCTGCAGCCGTGACCTCATTGGCTAGCTTCTCCAAGTTCGCTTGGAACTGGGCGGCAGAGATGTTTGCCGCTGCCTTTTGGTCATTGTGACCAAACTGAATCGTGACAATCGGGCTGAACGCATCTTTGTTCGCCTCCACCTCGCCAATAACGGTATCCCAGATGCCCTGAGCCCGGAACGACACAGTTGTCGCTCCGCTCTTGCCGTAGTTCTTTCCATCGGCCGGGGACTCAACAAATGAGAGGAAGCCGTTTCCCCAGCCTCCGCCGATGGCAACGGTCGAATCGCCCGTCAGGAGAAAGTAGGGCGGCTTGGCATCACGGGTCTGAGGTGCGCTAACTGCACCGAAGGGAATAGCTGAGACCGTCGTAAACACCGTGACGATGACGGACAGAGCTTGGCTGACTCTCATTTTGCAGCTTTTGTGAGTTTTGACAGGAACGACTGGGAATTCGCTAGAAAACGCTAAGCAACATCAAAAGACGCGAAAATGACCCCAATGACTTGAACCGTCTAGGCAACTAGGCTAACGAGCTTGATATAACGCCATGGAAAATGAGTCTTTAATCTATTTCTCCCCCTCTAACAAACTGTCAAAGTCGCATCGTCGCATCTCGGCGGAGACTGAGCCGAAAGAAGCGATGACACCAAGCAGGGCGCCAATGCCGCGATGTCCCCACGCCAATCCCACCAATAACTCTCGGTTCTATAAATTGACGTCTCGTGCACCTCCTGGAATGGCCAAGGTTTAACTCAGGGCGCGGCACAATTGCTGCGGAGATGAGATCTTGCTTCCGCTGATCGTATGGCGAATCTGGACGACCTCGGGCAACGGGAAGCTTGGCATGCAACAGTGCGGGGGAGTCCACGCCTGTCACTCGGGCTGCTCCGTGGCATCATTCGGCCGACATGCGCGCACCACGTGCGATGTGTCACTTACTATGTAACTGCGTGCAATACCCTCTCCTTCCTCGCGGCTAATGCCAAGGTTCCCGCGCAATGTGTTGTTTGAGCTCATTCCTCTCCGAGTTGTCTAAAGGTTGCTGATCTCGTTCGCGACTATGGACGACAGCTCCGGGCTACTATGCACCAGAAACTCACACAGTTCTGGCGAATACAGTTACAGTGTCAAGAAGTGATTTAACAATGCACTGGAAAGATGATAGGCTCAAGTCCATTGCAGAGTTGGAATTTGGCTTTGTCGTTGAACACAAGCAGCTTCGCACAACATTTCAACCTTCGTATGGCTCACATATCCCCATCGAGAGCCTCCCATCGCTATGTCGAACCACATTTGGTCTTCCAGGTCTTGGCTCATGAGGTAAGGCGCGTTGCTATCAATCCTCCGACACGAATTAGTCTTTCGGGATTGGACGTTCGCAAGCTCATCACATGATGTCTAGCCTCATAGGGATTGTTGAGATGTCTCACATGCACGATGCCCGGTAAGGCAAGCAATGACGTGATGCACGATTTCCTCACAAGTAAAACTTGGAATGTTGAGTTGCAACAGGCTCTGTGCAAGAACGCCTCTTGACAATCGCAAAATTCAGATGACAGGCACACTCAGTCGCAGCACCAGAGAACGAGCAGACAATTATCAACCTACACTTCCAAGCCCATCTGACTTGCTTTGAGTGAGGTTCCTTCCGAAGCTGCCCTTAAATCTACGAAATCTTCAAGACTGCAGTGATGGCTTCCTTTCACTCATTCTCAGAGCTCCCATTCGAATTACGCATTCACATATGGCACCTTGCAAAAGAGCCGCGGACTCTGGTCGTCCGTACCTGTGATGAACCTGCGAAACATCGCCGTCGCCCCCTCGAGTCCACCTTGATCTATTGCCGTTCGCCAAATACTGTGCCCGCAATTTTGCAGACTTGTCGAGAAGCGCGCAACATCGGTCTGTATGCCAAAGCCTTCTCTGGTGGCCTGAAGCCGCGATATGTCTGGGTTGATTTCGATCTTGATGTGATCCAGGCCTCATTCTGGGATCTGAAACTGATGGGAAGCGACAAGAGCCTCTTTCGGCATGTGGTTGTGGAAGTGAACGATCTGGAGTCCTTCAGGCGTCACTACAGCGATGCCCTCGCTGGCGTCGCGAATCTCGACACATTCCGAATACTTTCGAAAAGGGGACTAGAAGACTGGAGCATTGCGATGGATGATGTCCCAAGGGAAGACGCAACCTCGTCTATACAACGGGTTTTGACAATCCCTACAACTTTGTTGGAGGGCCACATCTAGGAAGAAGGTCTCAACTACAATCATGCCCAACGCAAGCTTCCAAAATCATATCGATTGATGGTACTGTCCCGTTATTGAAGCCGCTCATGAGTGTTGATGCTCTTCCTTCTCTCCTTCTGGCGGAAATGGCGGCTCCGCTCCCTCGACATTGGGATCCCAAGATGGATTGGGACCGGCATCGCGCCACCGCACCGACCTTGGGCCATGCTTATTCCAGTCCAGAATGGCATCGAAGTCTCTGCAAGTGTGCATGGACGACCAGTTGGGTAAAGCGTCTCGTCGCTTTGGGTTACCGAGGGGATCTACGAACAAGGCCGGCGTGACATCTCCCTGGCATTGCAAGTTCATCCTCAGCATGTCGATGCAATGGTCTGTACTGTCAGATCCGAACCTCGTGCGTTGGCTCCAGAGAGGTATGACACTCACCAAAGTGGCTGTAGATGTTTTCATCAGGGACACCCTCGTCCAAGAACTTGTAGTGCTCATAATTATAGAAAAGCCCCATCCTCAAAGAGTTCTAGAGTGCTCAACGTCAACACAGAAGAATGGTTCATTGAAGATACGTGACGGGCCTACCAAGCAGTGAAGGAGATGGAAGACTTCGAGCATTGCCAAGTAACCGCCTCCATGTTCATCGGGCACTTTGTGGAATGGCATTTCCGGCGAGTCGGTCATGTTGAGCAATTTTAGTTCCTCGGCAGTGACGCGGATGCCACCAGCCCCAAGTTCAATCTCGTGCCATGCGATATCGACATCGTTCGAGTGCGTCCCGGGCGGACCACGCCATTTGTTAGTCTGCCTGAACTCAGCGTTGTAATGCTCCGGTACTTTGTATTTGACCGCCTCAAATGCCGGCGCTTCATTGATGCGCAATCAGTCAGAGCTCGAGGGAAGGGGAGGGAAGTAGACTCATCGGTGGGTACTCACAAATCGTCGACAGGCTTTCAGTGCACTTCTGTAGGAAAACGGTCCGAGACTTAATTTGAGAGAGGTTGTAAACTAGAACAGCAAGTGTGACCAGGTTGGTCAAGCCAAGCCAAACTGTTGATCGAAGCCAGCAATGTGTGAACCAAGGCGCTGAGGTTGACGTTCCTCCGGCCTTGCCCTCTGATTGTGGTAGACTTTCATATGACGATTTCAGTTTCCACCACATCTTTGCAAATGATACCAAAGTTTGGGAAACAGGTGATGTTCTATGGATGTTGTTGGCGAGAACGAGAGGGGTTTAGACATAACGTAAAACAACAATCACCAGCGCAACTTATCACCGCATTTGGAACCCTGCCCACCTCCCGCGCAGTCATCGGCAATCCAAGTGGCAATAGACTTGCAGTATTACGCATTGTATGGGACGATGATACTCTCGCCAGCCTGCTTCTGCATAGTGCGATCCTTCAAGTTTTGAGCTTCTTATTCAGGCCTAGTCTCCGCATAGGAGCCGCTTCAAAAATCCCAGGTCATCATATTGTGGACCACGTCGACATAAGCTTTGCGGCCAAGCCTGTCCACTTAGAGCGGCGGGATGGTTTGCATATCTAGAAATCGGGCACACCCCATCGTGGAAGTCCGAGTGTGCGTGACAATCAGAAGCGCATCCCCGCCACCGTGGGATCGGATCCCCGGCCCAAGGCCTGCCCGCTTACTTGGATTTCTCGCTCTTTGAATGGTTAGATTTGCGAAGAGAAGGTTCGGGAGCTCCCAGGCAACCGTCAAACCCAAAGGCAGTTCGTCTTAGTTGCAGGTGTCTAGTCGTAGGAGGATGGCCTCGATAGGTTATAACTTACCCATCACCCTCCGTCTCTATTTACCTTCCCTTCTAGGACTTACGAACCCGCATGTTTGGCTAGAACATAGACGAGAAGTGCTGGAATGGTACCTTCGAATCGAGAGCTGCAGGATCGGATAAGGCGCAATGGGTTCGAGCCTTTCGTCATCCCAGAAGGGGGTTACATTTCTCCCACCGTATCGTAGGACCAGATTTCTGGGTAGTATATAACGCACTTGAACTTCATCGAGGACTTTCTTGAACGTTTTTGCCAGTCGTCCATCCTCCAAACTATCGCAATCGTTACGAGTCCTCTTCCATCATGCAGCTGTCTATCGTCACCGTCCTCGCCCTCCAGGCTATCGGCGCCGTTGCCGCTCCTGTCGCCGCCCCGGCCGCCGACTACGCCGACCTCGCCAAGGACTCGATCTACATCAAGTCCGTCAACACGTACAAGCGCGGAGAGGAGGATAAGCGCGAAGCTAGCTACGCCGACGCCGCAAAGGCCAACATCATTATCAAGTCTGCCGGTACCTACAAGCGAGACGAGGAGAAGCGTGCCCCCGAGGCCGACTACGCCGATCTTGCCAAGGACTCCATCTACATCAAGTCCGTCAGCACTTACAAGCGTGGCGAAGAGGAGAAGCGTGAGCCTAGCTACGCTGATGCCGCAAAGGCCAACATTATCATCAAGTCTGCTGGAACTTATAAGAGAGATGAGGAAAAGCGTGAGCCCAGCTACGCCGACGCGGCGAAGGCCAACATCATCATTAAGTCGGCCGGAACCTACAAGAGGGACGAGGAGAAGCGTGAGGCGGGATACGAGCAGCTTGCCAAGGACTCCATTAAGATCAAGGCCGTCAACACCTACTAGAGTGGCGAGGAAATGCTTGACGAGGCCAAGCGAGGTCGGCCGGGGACACTGCGGTTTTTGGGTTCCCTGATGTCTGCTAGTAACGCCTCGACATGAGGGTTGCCAACTACGCTATGCGGTATCGCGGGGAGGAGAAAGGCAGAACTTCAAGGGAAATGTTTCCTTCATAGCTAGAAAGCCGGCTACGTGAGATGGAAGACTGGACCAGGTCTAGGGCTTGCAAGTTGCGAATCACTTGACTTTACCACGCTCGTTAATGCATAACAACGATATCAATCACCCATGCTATAAACTTACATATACACATGCGCACTTCGTCATCCTCGTCGCTCCCATACAAGCACAGGACTCAGGAGTGATACGTCGTTGAAATTAAGTTACCAAAGTCCCTCATGTAGGATCTCCTTTCAACAAACTTCCCGTCCTCGATTCCATGACCTTACTGCGGAAAGAGAGACAATTCTTTGACCGGCCATTCGTACTTGCGCTCATATTCAGTCACAAATGTCCATTCACCAGACCCGACCATCTCCACCCTCTTGCTATCCTTGGTCGGCAGAACTACTTCCATCTCAGTGAGAGGTGGCACCACCACGTCGACCTTGAGTCGCAGACGCCCCTCTCCCTCGTCAGCCAACTTCCACGCGCAAGCAACCTTTCCATATGGCGTGACATGTTCGGCAGAAGCATCAGTAAGCTCTGCGCCCAGGATCGGCTCGGCTCTCGATCGCTTCCACCCAGGCTCCAGGCGCTGCAAGCCCGCAAGTCTTTCAGCGAGGAACTTTGCAACCGCTCCAAAGGCGTAGTGATTAAAAGAAGTCATGTCGCCAGGGTTGATCGTGCCGTCGGGCAACATACTATCCCAGCGCTCCCAAACCGTAGTCGCCCCCATGGAGACAGGGTACAGCCACGAAGGACACTTGCGGTTGAGGAGCATCGCGTAGGCTACGTCGCTATGACCAGTTAGGGTGAGAGCTTCGCAGATGTACGGTGTCCCAGCGAAGCCGGTGCCGATTCTGAAGCCATTGCGGCGGACAACCTCTGCGAGCCGACTTCCTGCTCTGACTGCCTGTTTTTCCGAAATGAGGTCGAAGCAGATTGCGAGGGCGTATGCCGTCTGCGAGTCTGACGTGAGACGCCCGTTACTGCTGACATACTCATCCTGGAACTCCCCACGGGCGGCATTGGCTTCTTTTTGATAGCGTTCAGCGTCTTCGGGTTGAGACAAGAGCGCGGCAATTTTGGCGATGAGGTCTAGGGACCTGACGAGAAAGGCGTTAGCCACCAAGGGCGGATCAGTCACTGCCTTCATGGGCTCATCGGGAGGGGCGTTGGGGTCCAGCCAGTCCTGCAAAATGTCAGTGAAACCATTCAATGTCAGCAAATTCTCTTCAACCTACACCAAGTTGGAAAAGGCCGAACTCCCAAAGATGGGTAGAGCCGGTCTTATTCCGGGGAATCACATCCATCCAAATCTTCATGGACTGATATTGATCTCTCAAGATACCAAGATCAGCAGACTCTTCGTAAAGTGCCCACGGGGCAAGTATCACGACATCGTGCCAGATCGCATTGGCCCCAATCTTGCTCCAATTCTTCTGTCCGATGAGCACGTTCGGAGACACCATCGGGGGGACGCCGTCCAGAACCTTTTGATCGTGGGCAACATCGGCCAGCCAGTTTTTCAGAATCCCGAAGCAGTTGTAGATGAAGGTGGCAGTGGGCGCGAACAACGCCAGATCGCCTGTCCACCCCAAGCGCTCATCTCTCTGAGGGCAATCAGTCGGTACGGACAGGAAGTTGCCGCGCATCGACCATCGGACGTTGCTGTAGAGCTTGTCCAAGTCGTCATCGGAGCACGAAAAGCTGCCGACTTCTTCCATGTCTGTGTGACACACGCATGCCGAGATCGAGTCTTTGAGGCCCGGGGCAGTGGAAGGCCAGCCCTCGACTTGGACGTAACGGAAGCCGTGGAAGCTGAAGCGCGGTTCCCATGTTTCGCCGCTATCGTCGCCTTTGAGGGTGTAGACATCCTCGGCTTTGCAGTCTCGCAGAGGCCTAGTTCCCAATTCTTCTTTTTCAAGGACTTCCGCATGAAGGAGAGTAATTTTGCTGCCGCGCTGACCTTTGACGCTGCTGATACGTATGATCCCGACAAGGTTCTGTCCAAAGTCCAAGATCGACTTGCCTGAAGGGGTCGTGATCAACTGCAAGGGCTTCACATATTCGAGTCTCTTGACTGGTTCACCGTAGCCGCAGATGAGATCCGTCGTTTCGGGGAGTTGAGGAAGCACTTTGGCTGTCTCCCATGTCCCGGCAGGCGAATCACTGCTTGACCACCCCGGTATCTCCGCAGTAGCATCGTACTTTTCGCCATCATAGATCTCTGCGAGCTTGGTGGGCCCTCGAGTAGTCGTCCAGCTGTCATCAGTGACTACGATCTCAATGGAGCCATCCTCGTAGGTGATCTCAAGCTGGGCAAGAGCCGCAGTACGGGTGCCCCAGATACTTCGTTTGCCACCCTCAAAACCAATACGTCCATTGAACCAGCCTTCAGCTAAGCGTATACCAATGCAATTCGTCGCACTCGATGCAATGTGTGCTGTGACATCGTATGTCTGGTACTGCAGTCTCCCGTCATACGCCGTCCAACCAGGGGCCAAGAAGTAATCGCCAACCCTCTGTCCGTTGATCTCGGCTTCGTAGACACCCTGTGCCGTAGCGTAAAGTCGTGCAGACCGCACTTTGCTCTTCGCTTCGAAGACCTTCCGGAACAAGTCCTCCGGTTGCGGACCGCTCTTGCTATCTTCCGCCCACGGCGCCGAGATTAAGTGGCCGACCCAGTCGCTGCGGACTAAAAGGCCAGTTTCGAAGGCGAAGGGTTCGCTCCATGGAGAGAAGCCGGTTCCGTTTTCGTCTCTGGCTCTGACCTTTATCGAGTACGATTGTCGTGACTGTATGACGATGTCTTTGGGCCATTCGGCTGACGGCGAGCTGCCCCCGTGGCTATTGGACGGGGCACTGATGACTGAATGAGACCCGTCAGGCTTCTGAATCTTGACTTCCCAGCCGTCAAGGCTAAATTTTGAGGGTGCGTTGCTGAAGCGCCAGGAAATCTGAGGGCGTTCAACGTGAATACCGAGTGTATACGGCTGTCGATAATGATCGACGCGTACGTCAACCACGCGAAGTCCTGCCATGGGTGTGTCTGCGTCTCAAACTCCGCTCACACTGCTGTGGATGGACTTAAGACTAGGACTGGGCTAGGTTGCTCGGTTATATTGATAGGACTCTCGAGAAGTTGTTCAATGTGATGTTCTGAGATCGACCGTAAGTGCCACGGCCACATATTTCAACCACATGAATAGAAGCCATCGGTGCGATGATGTGACGAACGGACAAGCAGAGACCGACAAGTTGTCTGAGGTTTGTCTGGTGATGAGGTGTGGATGGCCGCTTTTCTGGAGCTTGATCCTGGACAGAAGAGGGGCGTTCCGCACTTTGGAAAGAATCACCAATCAGATATGTTCTCTGCTCCGAAGTAAAGCCTCCAAAGTCCAAATCAGGAACGTTAAGACTCGAAGAATCGCCGGTGTTTTGCCAGCCCCTCACGTTAGTTTTCCGCCGCGTCTGAGCTAAGGTCTGGTAGGTTGAACAGCTCATGGCACCCGATCCTCTAGTCAACTCGGATTCTCAGTTTCTCATAAGGAATTAAGGTGTTTGTTACATTACGTAACTTCGTCGAAGGGATACCAAAGATGTATAAATGGACGAGTCTTGCGGAAGAGCGGGGTCAAGGTGTTTTGAGTCTTTCGCGGCAGCTTTTCAAGTTATCGTACTTGCTTGTAGACAGTAGAACCTGGAGAAAGAAAATGGCTGACATCAAATATGATGCCTGATGATTAGCTACTATATTATAATGACATGGAGAAATCGCTGCTAGTCTGTAGAGTTGTACAACAAAGGAAATCTTGGGTATACATGTGTGTGGCCAGATTCATTATTGACCTGACAAGAACGTCTTCCACCGCTCTATTACCTCGTTCCTCTCCGCTTCCGTTGACCTCCTGAAATCATCGATACCCTGTCGTAATCGAATGAGCAGTACTTCGGCTTTGAGCGCCGTAAGCCTGTGTTTTGAGAATTCCTTTTCTATGCCCTTTAACGTGTATCCAGGGAGACCAAAAATAGCTGCGCGACTGTTAGCATCCCATTCTTCAGAGTGACAATACCTCATCCCGAGAGTTGGGTGGGAAGGAGGCCCAAAAAACCACACGAGAAACTTACCAGCAAAGAGATTAAACGTGAACCCGCGACCAGCCTGATAGATGCCCTTCCCGAACCCCTTGACTCCCTCCCTCTTGGCCCCCTCGTACGGCTTCACGACAACACCGCTAAACGCCTCCCACGTTCCCAGAACAAACTCCTTGCCCGACGTCCGCAGGCCGCTCCCAAGACCGGTGATCTGGTCCCGCCGTCGCACCTCGTGTCCGATGAACCCGTATGAAGGGTAGTTGTGAAACCCGTTGGCGACATTATAGCACACTGCCACCGGCGCCTTGAGACCAGCCTTGACAAGCTCGATGCCGTATCGCCCCGTTGCGCGCGCAATCTCCGTCGGCCTGTTGCGTTTCTTGACGAGGGTCGCCACGGAAGACTTGCGTCTACCGCGTTCGTCGACGTCATTGGCGTCCATCATGGCGATTTCAACAGCCGGGTCGGCGCACTGGAGGGACTTGGTCGCCATCTTCATGGCGATGGCGTTCATCTGCTTCGGAGTCATACTGTGCGCCTTTGCCACGCGCTTCAAGTGACCATCCTCCCCGTCCTCCGCCTTGCATTCTTGGCCCGGCTGGACGTCCGGTCCCTCGCTGGGTTCCGCTGAAGGTTCGCGCGTCGTGTTGCTCTCCTCCTCGGGCTGCTTTTCGTGCGCAGGGCGCTGGGCTTCGAGGTCGACCGCGTGCATCCGGTTTTGGGCGGCTTGAGGCGGGTGCTTCAGCCGGTGCGAGTAATCCGACGTCGCCACACCGATATTTGTAAAAAAGCCCGATACCGCGGCCACGAGGCCGATGACAGGGTGTTCGGCGCCCTCGTCGACATACCAGTGCTTGTGCTTCAGCAGCTTGAAGTCGTGGGGCTTCATGTACCCCTTATCGACGAGGCACCCGACCGCGAAGTTACTGAGGTGCGCGCCCGTCTTCCTGTGTCGCCAGTTGGCTAGCCTCTCGGGACAAATGTCGCATCGCATCGTATCGAGGGCTAGTCGTTCCTGAATATCCCTCGCCGTGTCCCCCGCGCCGTCCTCTTCCGCAATTCGCTCCGCCATCTGCTGCACAGCCACCTGGACCTCAGGCTTGAGCGCAAAAGTGATGCTCGCAGCCAGTGTCTCGGCCGTCATCTCCTTGAAGGGCACGGGAGCCGGGCCAGCACCGGCACGGGCGATCATCTGGCCCCAGAAAGGTTGGTCTCCAAAGAAGGGGACCACGACAGTAGGGCGTCCGCATGCGATACCCGCCGCAGACGTGCCGGCGCCGCCGTGGTGCACGACAGCAGAGACGCGTTTGAAGAGCCAGTCGTGCGGGCAGTTGCCAATGAGATAAACATTGTTCGGTACATCGTCGCCGCCGCCAACGCCGCCCCAGCCCTTGGAGACGATTGCGCGGACGCCGGCCTGTTCGACGGCTTTGAAAATGAGTTGGGTGAGAGCTTTGGGGTCGTCGACGACGATGGAGCCGAAGCCGATGTAGATTGGTGGTGGGCCGGCCTCGAGGAAGGTGGTGAGGTCTGCGGGGGGCGTGTACTTGTCGGCGAGGGGGAGAAATGAAAAGCTGGTGATGTTGATGTGGGAGTCCCAGTCAGCGGGTTTGGGGATGAGAGACTCGGACCAGAGGAAGGTGTATGGGACGCGAAGTCTTGGGAGGAGTTGGCATCCCCATAAGGGACTTATATGATCGAGACCTAACGTCTGAGTGCGGAACTTATTGATCAAGTCGCCAAGTCTAGATGCATGTCAGTAACGAGTGAAAGGCTTCACAGACTGAGTGAGAATGAGTGACTGACCCTTGCCAAGTCAAGAGCTCCATCATGATGAACGACAAATAGTTGGCGGCGCTTGTGTCGGCCTCACCATAACTCATCGAAGCCAGCGGGTGATGAAACGCTTGTGTTGGGCACCACGGCATCGTGAAGACCATGTGAAGCGGGATACCGAGCTTCTCAGCGCAGTGAATGTGAGCCATTGATGGCGGGTTAGCGATGATCGCATCAGCGACAAAAAGATCATCAGCATCCAACACCGTAGCAGCCGTCGTTCGTTCGCCCATGCCGTCTCCCGCCTCTATACAACTCCTCCATGCGCCGTTGATAATCTCAGCCATCTCTTTCCTACGCTGCTTGATGTCTCCAGCCTTGACGCTCTCTCGGCTGGGAAGCAGTCCGGGGTTCTTAACCATGTAAGCCATGAGCGCCTCCGGGTCGCCACCGATGCTGAAGAATTCGACGCCATTGGACTCTACAAAGTCTTTGAAAACGGGGTGCGTGCAGATGCGGACTCGATGGCCGTAAGGCTCCTTCATGAGAAGCTGCGCAATGGGGATGAATGGCTGGACATCGCCGCGGGATCCGACAATGTGTATCGCGATGTTGAGCCGCGGGCTCTTTGACGGCGGGTGCTGCTGCAAATTCTGCAGAACGACGCTGCTGCGTCGCCGTAACCGGGCCTGTTCGAATTCTTCATCGTAGTCGCCAGAGTGCGGTCTGAATGCCCCTTCAAAGTCGCGAAGCCAGTGGGCAAGCTTTTGCGGATTCTCATGGAATCTCACTCGTACGCGTCCATCGTTGCCGACGTTGCCGGATGTGGACGTCTCTGAGCGACCGCCGTCCCCCAACGCAATGTGGCCCAGTCCCTTTGACTTTACGCGTGTGAGTGCCGCCATGTTGGAGAAAGAAGAAAAAAAGACTTCAACCCAATGGAGCCTCCCCAGACCAGACCCCAGTGAGCTGGGCTGGTTATGTGATGAATGGATCCAGTTCTCAATACAGTCGATGCTTTGATCAGTCCAGGCCCTCTAATGCGACGTTCGATGAGATGAGAAACGAGCCCATGTAAGCATATATGAGTTTGTATGAGCTCTGAAGGTTTGAGATGAACTAGCAAATTCCATCTCTTGCCGCACTGCCGCTGACTCGGGGAACAATCACGTGTGTCATTCCCGCTCTCCGAGACTTCCCACCCACTCAGTGCCACCAGAACGGCAGAAATCCCCCAATGCCCGCTGCTTTCATCGGCGTTGTTTATCCCTAAAACGTCATAGAGGGGCTGTTCTTTTGCAGATTAGCGTCGAATGGAAATGAGGTTACCATGCAGATTTACGAATGGGACTTTAGGTTTACGCCGTTTGCAGTTAGTCCCCTTGGCTCGCCCTTTTTCTGTGGAACTCTGTTTTCCTTGTGCCGTGGTGGCCCTCTCGGTCTCGCCTTTCTGTCACATTTTCTCTCTCTTGTCTAGCAGCTCTGGGCACCTCTGGCTGCCTGTTTGGGCCCCTTGGTGGTACTGTAGTCGCGCGTATAGTGGTTGGCTTGGTGGCCTGTTACGCGCATTCATCTGGTTCCGTTGGGGGCGAGGCAGAATGGAACAAATGCCATTCGAGTTTCAGAGATCCCGGTTCCGTTCAATGTTCTTTCTGGGGTCCAAGGGAACTGCCATTATCCCCCCATATCCAAGGTCTCCATTCACTAAACATCTTTGTCCCCGTCATTCTCTCACAAAGCCTGTCATATGCCTTGGCAACCGTGGTAACTCAAGACTCAAATGACCTCTTCCAGACTTCCAGAGTATTCCGAAGACGCAACAACCGGATTGTTGCTCGGGCTCCAGGCCTGAACGGAGTGCTCGGGCGACAAAACCTCGGCAGTCCAGCTGGGTTATTGTAGGTGACCCCATGCCGCAGATCGGGCACATCGGCGGTCCGTCCCCCGTCCTCACAGACCAATTCACCGAGACTCCGTTCAGTTCTTGGGAAATTTCCGTTTCCTTCGCCCGCTTGTGACCTGCCAGCTCTAGCCAGCTCGGGGCCACGTTCATGGACGAAAACCCGGGCCTCGAGATCGGAAAACACCGCAACGCATCTACTGGCTGACCCGGAATGTTCGGCGAGTCTGCCACCGGGCTTGCCGCTTGTCGATGCACCTTTCAGGTTTTCTGCACCAATCTGCTGTCCAAGGTGGTGGCTAACTGCACTTCTGGTCGGTACCAACACACAACATGCACTTTTTACACATTTTTTTGCTAAGCGCCTGGCCCCTGGAAACCGAGCAAACGTCAAAGTCAATTGCGTTGTTTAGCCTATTCGAGATGCTAATCAAGATGCCAACCAGAACAACAACCGTCCTCCCCAGTGGTCGTGACATTAATTACCACGCAAACTTAATCATGTCTCATCAATCATAATAGCAAGAAAAAAATGCAGAACCAAAGCAGGGAATCGAAAAATCAATAGAGAGCAACCGGAAACGAAGAGCATGGGGGAAGGCCCCCTAGTATCCAAACTCCAGCAAACGGTCAATGGCGGCTAAGAAAACGCCTAGAGAAAACACAAAACTGGCGCCAAATACGCGAACAGGTGAAGCCGCCAAAGCAACTCGGTCTCGGTTACTAATCAGCGAATCGCTGCCTGAGACTGCTCTTCTTCGTAGCCAGCATCGCCAACTGCGCGATACTCGAGTTATTCGTAATGTCAAAGACAGATACCTCGGCCCCAAGCTCCTTCATCAGCCATGACCGCAGCTCAACCGCCGTCAGGGAGTCAATGCCGTACGCGTGAAGTGGTTTAGATGTCTCGAGGTTGAGCGCGTCGATGCTGAGCATCCGCGCAATCTTGAGGAGGAGAGCGTCGAGCACAATCTTCTCGGCTTCTTCCAGTGAAGACGCGCATTGCAGGTGCGCTTTGTGATTGATGTCCTTGTTCGCGTCGTCTCCTTTCCCTGCGTCGTCCGTCTCTGTCAGTCGCAGGTGGCTAAACAGGGGATCCTCCCCCCACGTCTGCGTCTGGTATCCCTCCGCAGCTGTCTCCTGCGGCAGCCAGAGGCGAGGGATAACTTGCGCCCTCGCCGTTTCCTGGGATGCACTAGCGCTGGCCGGGTGGCAATGATAGTCCAGCACGGCATAGAGCTCATCCGCGGTGATGTGAGTCCATCCTGCAGACGAGAGGTAGTCCCAGAGTTCTGGCTTCTCTGCCACGAAACCCACGCCATGGATGATTGGAAGGTCGATCGAAACGGCGTTGACGCCCTTGGAGACGAGATGGTGCGCGAAAGCGTCTTGGAATGTTCCTCCTGCGGCGTAGTTGGCCTGCTCGGGGCTTCCTGTCACTCCCACAGTCGACGAGAGGAAGACGAAGAAGTCCATCTTGTCACCGAGGGCGTTGTACAGGTTCCAGGATGCCTGCACCTTGGGCTGCACGGCAGCCTTCCAATTGTCGAGCGACATGTTCTTGAGGAGATTGTCCTTCATGCAGATTAGTATCGGCGCACCTTCAAGCAGAACAGAACACCAGTTATTCAACTTACTTGGAGCACCATGGAACCTTGGATACATCCCTTGATAGGAGGAAGAGACTCAGCAAGCTCAGCCATGACAGTTTGCAGAGCCTTGGCATCCGTAACATCACAGGCCGGGGTAACGACATTATCGCACACAGGCTTGAGCTCAGCAACCAGCTCAATCGCAGCTTTCTCCACTGCGCCACGTCTCGAAAGAAGGATGAGGTTCTTGGCCCCCCGAGAGGCCATCCACCGCGCGACGGACCTCCCAAGGCCACCGAGACCACCAGCGATCACGTACGACGCCTGGGGATCGAAGCGGCTGAGGGACTTACGGCTCGGCACGACGGGTATCATGTCGTCGCCGCGTGGTTCGAGAACGACCTTGGCGGTATCTTGATCTTCAGACTGCATCCGGCGGAACGCGTCGCCGACCTGGGAGAAGCTGTAGATGGTGGTGGGCGAGGGGCGGCTGATATTGTTCCAGTTGGCAAAGACGATGTCGACCATGTGCTGGAACATGGTCTCGGTGCGGGAGAGGTCGAATGCGAGGCAAGATGTAAGATCGAAGGACTCGAGACGGATGTTGCGGCCTCGCGGGACACGTGTGTTGGAGATTCCGGCACCTGAGCCGATGTAGACGATGCGTCCGAATGGTGCGATGCAGTCGATGACGCCGTCGACAAGGTCATCGGTCACCGTGACAAGAACATTAATGCCACGTCCCTTGACCAGTTTCTGCTGGGTGGATCGCATTGACAAGTCACGGCTGCTGAAGATGTGGTCTTCTGGGATATTGCATTGCTTGACCAGTTCGTCTCGCTCTGACTGATTCGTCACGGTTGTGTAAACCTCAGCTCCTTGAAGCTGGGCAACCTGCCCGAACGCCTTTCCGATGCTGGAACATCCGCCGTGCACCATGACAGAGTCACCCTCACGGATGGAGCCGACCTCGCAGAGGACAGCGTAAGCCGTCGTGTAGTCGACGGGCAGGACCGCGCCATCAGTGAAAGACACTCCATCAGGCAGCTTCGCGAGCAAGCCGTCCGTGGATCGAACATGAGTCTTCATGGTGCCCGACACCGCGAGTCCGAAGACCCTGTCCCCAACCTGGAACCTAGACGCAGGCCCAGACTTTGTGACTATACCGGAAGCCTCCAGACCCAGGGGTAACTCTTCAGCCTTCCCGAGGACTGAAGAGACGTCACCGATGCTCACTCCGCAAGCCATGGTCTTGAGCTCGACATCGTGGTCACCCAGTAGTGTCTCAGTCAGGGCGTCTTCCTCAAAGCGAAGTGAGTCAAGTTGGCCAACGTCTCCGACCTGGAGACACAGTGAACGATAGGCTTCGTCTTTCAGAAGCTTGTTCTCGACGCTCACCACACCAGTTTGGTTTTGAATGTGGTCGGTCATGTAGTCTGCCTGCACGAGTCGAGACACGTAAACCACGTCGTCAATCACCCTGAACGAGTTCTCGACGCTATCTCGTGCTGCCCCAAGAACTTGGGCGCACTTGGCGGCAGCGAACTCCTCGGTGGCGTCCTGTTCGAAAGAGAGAGTGACGAAGTTGACGTCTGGCCTCTCTGACCGAACCACCCTAGCCAGACCGGTCACCAGCTCGGAATCCGGGTCGGGCGCAGTGGAGGTACCGCCACGAGTCGCCCAAAGGATGTTCTTGCTTTGGGTGAGTACACGTTTGAAGCCATTGAAGGTCTCGTCGTCCATATCCTTCAAAGTTGAATGACCCAGCTCGGAGAGTACAACACACGTCACGTCAGCCAGACTCTTGTCAGCCAAGGAAGTGAGAGTTGCGATTTGGCAATCACCTCCTTGACCGATAGACTGCGAGATCTTCGCGGCCAGCGCGATCTGAGCCGGCGATTCCTTGGTCAGAATGTAGTACGATGTAGGCGAGCATGCTACCGCCTCTGATGGAGGGTTACTTGACACGAGGATCGAACTCATCTGATGCGGCGACGAAGCAAAATCGTCAAACACGGCATCAAGTCCACTGAAACCAGAAGCTCGAAGATGGGTATCCCATGAGTTGGGAGACATCAATGGACCCCAGATACGGTCCTTGTCCTCGGAGAGCCACCACCCATGAAGCGTACCGAAGCAGAAGCTGCCCAGCAGGATCTCTGTGTTGGTGATCTCAAAGAGAAGAAGCTTGCCGCCAGGCTTGAGGAGCTTTCTGGCATTGACGAGCGTGTCGTCAATCTTCTTTGTAGCGTGCAAGACGTTCGCCGCAATGATGAGATCGTACTTGCCAGCCTCGAAGCCCTGGCTCACCGGGTCATTCTCGACATTGAGCACACGAAATCCCATACGGCCGACCTCATCCTTGAAGGTTTCCTTAGCTTGTTCGAAGAACGACGGCGAGATGTCGGTGAAGTCGTAGTGCCCGTACCGACGACCGCTGTCTCGTGTCAACGTCGCTATGGCAGGACGCGTGGCGCCACCTGTGCCGGCACCGATCTCGAGAATTTCCATGTTAGGATTCTTGTGCGCCATGATGTCGAGGTAGCTACAGAGCTGGGTGTAGCATCTCTTGGAGCCAAGACCGTTGCTATAGACATCCTCTGCCAGCTTATCTTTGAAGATGACGTCTAAGGGATCGCGGTCTCCGGTGAGGATACCCGAGAGGGCCTGGCCGACGGCAATGATGAGTTTTCCTTCCGAGGCGTTGCCGGCCAGAACCTTAGCTTCAAGATCTTCAATACTCTCACTTGCCGGACCGTCAGAATGCTGGCGGGCAACGTGCTGGAACCACTTGACGTATCGTTGGTGGTACCAGGTCATCTTGCCAATGGACCCTTGGGTAAGAGATTCTACGCAACGGCGCATGTAAGCCAGACACAGCGCCTCGCAGTCCAGCATCCAGGTAGATGGGTCATCCTCCTGCGTCAGAGGCAGCTGGAAAAGCTGTGAAGCCTGCTGCTTCGTCAGGAAACTCGGATCAGGCTTCCAGGATATGTTGAAAGCCGGATGAAGCACTCCCTGAGAGGTCTCCTTGGACGGTCCACTCGAGATAGTCTTGAAGACAAGGCCAGACATTCGAACCATCTCGTCGCCTTGCTCTAGGTGTGAAGCTTTCACGTCCGAGACCACCTCGCTGCGTCCTTTGACGCGAGACTCGGCAGACACACTGTAGGAGTTATGAGAGAGGCTCGATTGTGCCGAGATCCAGCCATCAGTAAGGTACGTAGGCACTCTAGTCGCCCCGGCGTATTCGGAGCTCGAGATCAGAGCGACGAGATTGGCATGTACGACGCCGTCGAGAGTAGCCGGATGCACCAAGTGCGGCTGGACATACTGGTGTGGCATCAATTTCTTGATCTTCTCCAATGGAGGATGGAGCGTCGCTACCATGTTCAGGTCTCGTCCGAGGCGGACGTCGCTTAGAGTCTGGAAGGTTGGGCCAAAGTTCAGCCCGGACTCTGCGAAGCTGCGATACAACTTGTCGACAGAAACCTCCGTCGCGCAGCCATCATGAACGCTCTCTTCAGATCTCCTGAGTGCGAGTTGATCATCCGCCTCGTACTCTGTCTGCACGAAACCGTGGCAGTGCTCCCTCCACGCGCCATCTTGCAGGGTCCAGAGCTGGAACTCTCGCCATGTCGAAACAGTGGAGTGGCTGTTTTCTCGGTGCTGACGGAGGTAAAACTGAGATCCAACACCATTGGCATCATTGGGCACTCGCAGGGCCAGCTTGAATGACACGTCTCTCAGCCTGAACCCCTTCAGGGCCTTGCTCTTGTCGGCAATCTGCCGGCTCGCCTCGATAGCCATGACAAGCATACCGGCCGCGGGATACAAGACATCTCCAGAGACCTTGTGGTCTTCGATCCAAGGATTCTCCGAAAGTCGGATGTAATTGCGCCACACCGCATTATTTTCATTGAAACCCGCCATGGGAGCTCCAAGTAGCTCGTGTCGGCTCACAGGTCTCTTGCGGAAGTCGTCGCTCAATGTGCTGTTTACCCAATACTCTTTCGAGTGGTCAAAGGGATAAGCGGGGAGGTTGGTCAGCATGAGCGGTTTGGGCCCATGAGGCTCGTCTGCGTCGTTGACCTGGGCCAAGTTGACGTTGTAACCGTGGCAGAAGAGAGTTCCGACAGATTCCAGTGCTGTCTCAACACCTGGCTTCTGTCGGACGAGAAGGGAGTGGTAGTCGACTTTGGCGTTGCCGCGGACCTGTTTGACGGTGCTAAATAGTGGTCCCTTGAGGGCGCTATGAGGGCCGATTTCCAAAAAGTCGGTGATGGGTTCGAACGGGAGTTCTTCATCACAGTCACCGTTCACACCACCGTTGACGTGGCCGTTGACATTTCCGTTGACGAGGCCATTGATATGTCCATTAATATGTCCATTGATTTTGGGTGTTTTAGAACCCTTGAGCATCTCTGTGACCGACTCGGTAAACCGGACGGGTGACACCAGGTTCTTGACCCAGTATTCTGGCCGTCGAAGCTGGGAGGGCAGTATCGGCACTCCCATCGTCGAAGAGTAGAACCTCGGTTTCACAGAGCTTCTCAAAGTACCCTGCTGAAGGTCTCCCATGGCCACCAGATACTCGTCAGCCATGGCTCTCATGTACTGCGAATGGTATGCAATCTCAACGTTGAGCTTTCTCGCAAACACCTTTTCGGCGCTGAGTAGCTGGACCAGGGCGTCGATCTTTTCAGCATCGCCGCTAACGGTATGACTGTCTGCGCTGTTCATGCAAGCGATCTCGAGGGTACCTTCACCCCCAAGTTGATGGTTCACGCGATCGATGGCGTCCTGCGTGGCGGCTTTGCTCAGGCCGACGGCGGCCATGCCTGTACTCGGCCGAGAAGCGGAGCGCGCGAGCTTGGCACTCAGCTTTCCGCGGAAGTAGGCGATTTTCCAGGCTGCTTGTCGTGAGATTGCACCAGCGGCGTAGGCTGCGGCTACTTCACCGGATGAGTGTCCTGTAATGGCATGCGGGTAGACCTCCCAGGTAGAGAGAAGATCCACCATGGCAACCTGCAGAGCAGTGCAGATGGGTTGGCAGAATTCAGGGTCATTGATTCGAGAGGAAGTCTTTGACTTTGATAGCTCGACTAGTTTCCCGACAATCATCAGTAAGAGGTCACATATTACTGGTCCAAGACGTTGGACTACTTACACGTTAACGACCAATTACAACCGAGATCATTGAGATACCGATCAGCTGCCAAAAGACTTTCTTGAAAGGCGCGGTACGCTAACAGGTCCATGCCCATCGTCGCCCATTGCGCTCCCTGGCCGGTGAAGACAAACGCAAGCCGCGGGTTGGTCTTTGCTCGTATGGGAGTAGCCGCATTCCCCTCGAGAGACTTCTCCAACTGTGCCGGCGAGCTAGCGATGCTGAACGTCCTCCAGGAATGACGGGTCCGCCTACAGGCCAGTGTGTAGCTTAGGTCCCTCAAAAATCGCAGCTGGGCGGATTCCCCGACGATCTGGGCTGCTTTCGTTGCAAGATAGTCCCTGTATCCGTCTCGTAACCGAGAAACGGCATCCTGGTCGTTTGCCGACAAGACAAAGAGACGTGGGGCGTCTTCAGTGTCAAAATCGTCTAGATGGATCCCGCTATCCGATGGGCGGTGGAATCCATTGACGCGGCCTGTGTAGTCGTGAAGAAACGTCAGCGTGTCCCCATTGAGCCTGGCAGAATAAGAAGAACAACTTACCCGTCCCGTTCGCTAAGGGTGCGTCTAGTTGTCTTGGAATCTTGGGGATCGTCTCCGTACGATGGTTCCCGACTAGGCGGAAGCTCTTGAGGAAATGGAGCGCATCATCCATCACTACATGGGCGTTGCTGCCACCAACGCCAAACGAGTTCACGGACATGCGGCGCAGGCCCCGCTGCGGCCACGCCGTCGGTTTTGTGGGAAACCTCAAGTTCCATGCGTCCTGGATCTTTGGGTTGCGCTTCTCGAACCAAATGTTCCCGGGAATAACGCCGCTCTCTAGCGTCAAGACACCCTTGATCACGGCCGCTACGCCCGCAGCGCCCTCCAAGTGTCCAACATTGCTCTTCAGCGCACCCACGTACAGCGGCTCGTCCGCAGACCGATGAGGCGCAAAGATCTCGGCAAGGGCACTCGCCTCAATGGGATCGCCCACGGGTGTACCCGTGCCATGGGCCTCGGCGAACCGCGTGAGCGAAGGGTCCAAGTTGGCCCGCTCGTAGACGTGCTTGATGAGCGCGACCTGGCCCCTTTTCGTCGGCTGCGTGATGCCGGGCGATCGGCCGTCCTGGTTCGTGGAAGAGTTCCGGATGACGGCGCGGATGACGTCCCCGTCCCGAATAGCATCCGATACCCGCTTTAAGACCAGGGCCCCGAACCCTTCGCCGCGGGAGTATCCGTTGGCCCGGTGGTCAAAGCTGTATGACTTGCCGTCCGGACCCAGAACGCCCGCCGCGTCTAGCTTTAGTGTCATCTCGGGAGTCAGGATAAGGTTGCACCCGCCCACGACGGCCTAGTACATGATGACGGGGTGGTTAGCCAAGAGCCCGGCTTGCAGACGGCGGGGGAGAGGAGGAGGGGCGTGGTTTGGTTGGCTTCAGTGTCACCGCCCCCTGAGATGAAAGGGACTTTGGTGAAATTGCATGCATGAGAAAAAGAGCCTCACCATGTTGACTTCACGAAGTTTGAGACTCATGCATGCTTCGTGCACAGCCACCAGACTGCTTGAGCAGGCCGTGTCTACTGTTACACTCGGACCCCGAAAGTCGAAGAACCACGAGACTCTGTTGCTGAGCATACTTGCTACTGTGCCCAGGGCTGAGTATTTATTCGGGATATCCAAGTCTTTCGCTATGTGATCATTGTAATCGGCCGTAAAGCAGCCGACGTATACGCCGGTCTGGGTTCCGGCAACGGTATCGAGAGGTATTCCGGCTTCGTGAAGAGTCAGTATCAAGGCCAACTTCAATTTCGTAGCAACGAAAATCAGAAAGTCTCTTCGTACCATTTTCGAGAGCCTTGTATACACTCTCCAACATTCCTCGCTGTTGAGGGTCAATACTCCGTGCTTCTGTGGGTGTGATAGAAAAAAAGGGCGCGTCAAATGCCGATATGCTGCCCTGGAGAAAGTGGCCATGGCGAACTCGTGTCTAAATTAAAGCGTTGCAAATCAGTTTTCGTCGCATAAACTTCCAAGTTTGCATAACACGGGGCGGGAACACGCACGGCGCCGCTCCTGTCGGCATCCGGATGCCAAAAGGCCTCTGCGTTGTATCTCTCCCGCGGCACTTCCGTGCGGGCTGACCTCCCGGCAAGTAGCGACTCATAGAACTGCTCTGGCGTATCGCCGTCCCCCGGAAGCCTCGCGCTGAGCCCAACAATGGCGATGGGATCTCCCATGATGTGTACCGTAAAAGGGCTGGGGGCTGTATTTTCCGTCTAGTGTTTTGATACTATTGATCTACTCAGGTCCGTGCGGTGAGCTACGGTGAGAGTTTGAGGGATGGTGGGAGTCGGGGAGGTGAGTTGAGACATGGAACGAAATCCTTAGGACAAGACCAGAACCTGGATCAGGGCTCCAGCGAGATAGTAGCATTATTAGAAAGAATCCACCACTAGGTTTCCCCTCTTTCACAATTCATGTGGACTACTCCATAGCTAGCTATCAGATATTTCTGGCGTCAACCTCGACAAGCAAATTTACTCAAACCCCGGTCGGAAAGAAGAGGCCACACGCGTCATGTTGGCGAACTTGCGATGCACCAAGCACGAAGATGGCTCCAACAAGCTTCGCACTTTGACTGGAGTTTCTCTTCCAACAAAACATGGTGCATGAAGAATAAGACAAGGGTCCCGGATGGAAGGGGAGGAGATATAGTAGATACGTGGTGAATTATGGTACATGCGGGCGGTCGAGAAGGGTGGCTAGTAACGTCGATGGTTTTCGTATCCGTACAAGGTCACGAGGCTGGAAAAGACAATGGCGATTCCCGATGGACACACTCGTTCGTTAGGTAACTGCGAAGCTTTGCGTTCCGCGTTCCACAGAGTTCATTTATCGCTCCGCCTTGGCATGCCGTACTTTAGACCCTAGGAGCAGTTCAAGTAGACGTGTTAGTGCAGGCGAGACATCCATCGGGCCCAGATACAGGGGACCGGTGGAACACAAATTACACAAGATTCCTCGGGCTGGTTTCGACCGGGCTTCCTGTGTGTTGGCCCGCAGTGTGCATGCGCCCCCGTCACTCGTTCTCTATCGGTTCTTACAAGCTCGCTCAACTCGGGATCGGTCTGACCCCTCTTGGAAAGTACGGCGACAATGATGCTCAAGTCAAGACTCGAGGCGCACAGGGTCTCGCACACATTTTGCAGTTTAAGGTGCTTACGAAGGAGAGGGGTGGGGGCCACGGGAGATTGCTGTTGGTTTTCCCATTTTGTTTCGGCTGCAATTCTTCGGCACCACGTGAAGCCAAGTTTGCCAACTCTTCAAATCCAATAGTCGAGCATAGACTGCATCAGTGCATACTCGAGCAAATGGTGAGCTGTGCCTCTTGGCTGCTTCTTCCCCCTTTTCGACGACTACCTCGCTGCACTTCTGCAGTGAATGCCTGGATCGGGAGCCGGATCCCGCAGATCCGATGACGATCGTTGCGATAGTCTGCCAGGATGCGCTTGGGCGAATCATTGCTCCTGGATTCTGGAAAGCGGCATCATGGCAGAGACCTTGACTCAGTGCCGTGTAAGCAGGCAGGCTCAGTCGTCAGGGTCGATCCCACACGATGGCGTCCCAGCTGCTGAACCCTGGCCTGCTCGGCGACAGGGTTGCGCTGGTTGCTGGCCAGTGGCTCCCCCTGGGTCTCGGCTCCCGCTCCATAAGAAAATGCAAGGTCATGACTAGGAGGATGACAGGTTTTAGCTGCCGGTCCAAGGCGTTGGGCCGCGTTGGAACGTTGGAAAGTGTGTGATGGCTGTGAATGCGAGGCAGAAGTTTGCGCTCTGATAAGGAGATTTCTGACAGAATTGATAGATGCGCCTTGATATACAATGTTTGCTTCCCCTTTCTCATCGGTGGCACAGAAGAGCCCATGCCAAAAATTTCCGTTGTTTCTTCCCCAAGGGTGCCAACGTCGCCAGCGTCGCGTGACATGACGACTATAGACTGGGTTGCGAAATCGCGAGGGTTTCCGCAACGTTTCCCTGGACTATGACAGGCCCGGGGAAGATGCCAGAGAGCCAGAGTTGTCTGCCCATCCGGGCACATTACCACTGATTCTGATAAAGCGCCGACAAAAGCCCCGCAGATATTAGCACTTAGCAGCGACACGGCTACGCGCAGTACGAGGGCTTACCAAACCAGCTCGCCATCCGTACAAGGTTTTTCTGTTTTAGCGGCAAGGGATGAAAAGGGAGAAGCGACACAAGACAGGGGCCGTTCAAACACGGCAGTGTCCGGGAGATGATGGTATGGCATGGCCACCTTGGGTTGGGACCTTTGCACCTTTGCCCAAAAATTAAACTGTTGCCCTAGCCCGTTTTTATTCGGTTTCCCCCAGAAATGAAAAAACAAGACGAACCGCTTCTGGTTCATGGGACGACCTTGTCTATCCTATCCCGCCGCACCCTCTTTCTTGCTGGTTGCCTGTCTATCAATTTCTTCCTACCCTCATTGCTACTGGTAACCTTCTTTCTTCCCCCTTGCGTTATACGGAGACCGGAGTAAAAGCCCGCCTATCGTCGAGCCTTGCTGACCTGCAACTCTCTTGGTTTGTGCATTGCGTCTTTGGTCCGGCATTTAACTTGGAACCCCCCAGTTTCCCGAATTCCCCCTCCTCCAGTCCCGAAGCGCGCACCGCTCCCTTCTACCCTTCCCCCTTGCCCACCACGGTCTCGCTCGGAGCGGACCGCATGTTGATGGACAGGTTCTACAACCAACAGCGGCTTCGCAAAAGCGGTGGTAGCAGCTTGAGCTCAGGTCGTTCTGGCTCGCCCGTGGGACGGCACCAGCCGACCCGTCCTCCAACGGCCGCCAACAGCATCTCGGCAGCCTCCACATCGACGCTGCTCACCGCTAGTTCGTCGTCCGAACGTACCCGCAACTTTTCCACAGACAGCAGGCCGCGCACGCCGCCATCGACGAGGCCATCGATGCAGTCAGGCGAACAAGACGTACGTACTTCTTCAGTCTGTGAGACACTGACCCCTCCGTGGACCGTGGTAACTGTCATGTTGTCGCCGGCGCCTACGGATACAGGTGGTACAGGCTTGACCAAAGCTTTTGAATCTCATGCCGCAAATAGGAGTACCCCGAGGATCATCCGAGTCCGACCTCCGATGAAGTGAACGAGGCCGTCTGGGCGGGAGGGTCCGATTCAGACGACGGATCGGACAGCGACCCGACGCCGGGTCAGAGTCTCCGGGCAGTAACACAGTGAGTCTCTCATTCTCATTCGATGATAATGTCTTTCATTGTTTTTTTTTTTTTTTAATTCATTGTGTTTCATGTTTATCCTCATTTTCACTGTATCTCGCCATCTCATCGGCTACTTTTCTTTTCCTGCGACATTCTGACCATCCTGACCATCCGTGCAGTAGCGGTTCCAGCAAATCAAAGATCAAGTCGGGCAAATCGTCCATCTTCCAGTCCATCTTCAACAAGTTTGCCAAAACCGGAAAGCGCTTCGGCTTCGTGCCAAATACCAAGGTACGCTTTACTCAATTATCATCCTTTGATGCAGGTGCCCCATGCTAACCCGCCTTACCAATTTCTCAGGAAGAACAAGACAGAAATGGTCAGCAGGCATCCTTCACCGTGGTCCACCGGTCCTTGAGCTCAAGACAACCAAGCCCTTCACCTCCGCATGTATCTTGCGCTTCCTGCAGGATCTAGAGCGTCTAGACCAAGACCTAGATTATTGCTGACCAGGAATCCGCAGTCCTCCAACACCAGATCATTGCCGAACTCTTCGACCACAGACTCCACTTGGCCCCAGTCGTCAAGGCCAGGGCCGCCCTCGACGTAGGCACGGGGCCAGGGCTATGGGCATTAGTGCGTTACCTTTTCACCATCAGTCACTTCGCAACGCCCCCTCCCCTCACCTTTTCCCGCATGAAATGATGTAACTAGCCTGGTATCACGGAATGACTCGCTAACTAGCCTCATGTAGGAATACGGCAAGTCGCTCCTGTTAATTCCCACGGTGTATTATAATACCGGGAAGATCACGCTAACGCCAGTTGACCGCCGCAACAGCCAAGAAGAACCCAAACTGTGCCGTGATGGGCGTCGATATTGAGAAAGTGCGCCCTCCATATAACGTGTCCAACTGCCAGTTCAAGGTTATGGACATAACTACCGACTGGAACATCGGCAGACAGTTCGACTTCATCCATGTCCGTATGCTGGGCGATATCGTGGAAAAGGAAAAGTTCGTCGACTCCATCTATCGTCACCTGAACCCTGGAGGCTGGGTCGAGTTCAGCGAATGGATCGCGATCCTCGTATCCCCAGATCACTCACTAGAGGGGACAGCATTTCACAAGTGGAACATGCTTCTTCAACAGGGTCTTCATAATATGGGCCGTTCCATGCACTACGTCTCTCAATATCAGCCCATTTTGGAGAAGTCAGGGTTTGAGAGGATGAAGTTGACAAAGCACGCTGCGCCTACGAACGCGTGCTATCCGGGCAAGAAGTGTCAGCGGTTCGGCACCATGATGTCCAACAACTGGAATGCCATTATCGAGCCGCTAAGTGTCCCTGTTTTTACTATTGGCCTAGGCTGGTCCGAGGCCCAGGTTCTTGCATTGGTTAAGAAGGTCCGCAAGGAGATTGACGATACGAATTATCATTCGTTCATGACGCTGTAAGTGATCTCTGGAGTCAGGCAAGGTTGGAGGAGGCCCTGGATCATAACTGACAATCACTTTCTGATATCAGGCTTACGATATACTGCCGGAAGCCACGTAGCGGTGCATCATCGTCCGCATCGTTGGCGAGCTCATCACGCTCGGCAGCTCAAATGTCGGTGTCCAATGTCAGTTCACATGGGTAGTAGAAAAAGGCGTCTAAAAATGGGTGATGTGTTTACAAGGGGGTTTGGGGATATCATACCACAATTGAGCGTTTGCAAGCCAAGCGAGCGATTTTATTATCAAAGGAGTCTTCCGGTTCCATTATCAATATAGTCGAGGTTTCCAGCCATTCTCTATTCTGGTTTTATAGCAGGAACAGTCCCATAATTGCATGTAGGTACGTGTATCCGCGCATGTAGGTCGTCAAATTGAAGCAAATGCCGCATCTTGTTGATGAACGCAAGCGATTTCCTCCCCACCGACGGGCAATTTTCTGCTTTGGGCGGGACTTGTTTTCTCTTCGATTAAGCGATAAGAAGCTGCGTTTTTCATCGGCACAGCCACCCCGCAGTGCCCGCATGCCAGGATCAGTAGACTGCCACAGGATTTCCAGGGCTTAATATGCAGGATTGCGGCGCAGTCAGGCGACTCGACGCGCGCAGGCACCACAGAGAGAAGGATTACGGGGGGTCTCCAAAAGGGTCCTCTGATCCTATGATCCTATCTTCTCGAAGCACCGGTAGTCCCGCAGATCAGTAGTGCCAGTTGAGGCCATTCAGACCATTTAAACCCCCTCAATTGATTCTGAGCCGGCATTGCTACATGTCACATGCATATTCGCTTGCGTGGGGAAGTATGAGCTGATATGATATGGGCCAACCGGCTCTTACGGGGGTCATCTGAGGGATTTAAACCCTTACTCTGCAGACCGGAGCCAATGGATAGGTAATCCGACATGAACATTCACGAGCACAAAGATGATAGTTCCTCTTGCCAACTACTCTAGCGCCAACGAGACTGTCATGACATACGTAGAAGACTTTGAGCGTTTGCCAGAAGCAGAAGGGAAGCCGGCAATTAACCCACCACCTTGCATATGACAGAGCCACTTGGTCCTGGGTACGGATACCGAAGGATGCAGTAGTTGTTGCTGCAGAATTCAGGACGGAACAGACTCCGTCCTGCAAATTCTCATTGGCCAATTCCGACGCAATGTACTCTTGTTAACGCAGAGTTGAACAATAGAGCAATCCATGCTTGAGAGTGAAGGAAGCTCGGAACAGGATTCAAGCGCAAGTAAACTGAATAGCCACGGTAAGCGCTCGGTGGCATACTATCGGTGAGTTGTTACCGACACGGTGATAATTGCCCAGTTCCCGGAAGGATCTAGGGCTTTTCCCGCCCCTTTGGATTGCGTTTCCAACAGACTTTACTGACGAGTCACGACAACCCAACGAAGCGCAAGTGATCGAGCCGTCTTCATTCCCACCCCCTTGCTGCCAATCTTTCCCCTCTAAATCAATCCCTCGAACACTTAGTGTCATCGTCAACAATGGCCGATCTCGGCGCAGACCGCACTGCCGCCTATGGCGCAGTCTACTCGCCCTCATTCCTCACAATCTTCTACGACAAGTACGTCCTAGGCTTCAACATGTCAAAAGTCTGGGGCTGCAGCACGGAAAACCTTCTTCTCCCCTTCTTCAGCGAAAACTTCACCCGCAATCACCTCGACATTGGCGTCGCTACGGGCTGGTTCCCGGCAGCCGCCCTAGCGCGGCCGTTCCGCGCCACCAGCAAGCAGCGCATCACGCTGCTGGATCTCACCGCGCCGCCATTGAACGCGGCAAAGACCCGCGTGCTATCAGTTACGACGAACACCGAGGTTCAATGCGTTGAGGCTGATGTCACAGAGCCGCCGCCGAAGCAGCTTCTCGGCGAGCGGTTTGACTCCATTTCCATGTTTAATCTGTTCCATTGTATGCCTGGCGGCAAGGCCAAGCTTCGTGCATTTGGTTTGTATAAGGAGTTGTTGAGCCCGGAAGGTGTGTTGACTGGCTGCACGGTGCTGGGCCCAAATGAGTCGACTGGGTGGTTTACCAAGTTCTATCTCCGGTGGTACAACAAGTGGTGGGGTGTATTCAACAACTGGGATGACAAGAAGGAGGATATTCAGGAGGCGTTGGATCAAGAGTTCGAGGAGGTTGAGACGTGGATTGTTGGACAGGTGATGCTGTTCAGGGCAAAGAAGCCCAGGAAGGCGCTTCTTGATTTTTGAGATTCGGAACGGATGTGATACCTATAGCTGCATGAGTTATGAGTTAATGAGATGGGTACTTAACTGGAAGTCAACTTCTAGCTTCAAAAATAGTACAAAAAGTTCGAATTCTTTTCCATACTTGAGTAGTGTGTTCCTCAAAGTCAGACTCTGTGTCGCTGCTTTGATGAAAGAGAAATTGAGGTGCTTCTGCCCCCGTATCATTCCAATTGCGAGAGTTAGTCGCAATCGAACCGAGCTCTCTCCATGATGCTGGTCAAAATCATGATATCCCAACACAATCAGCTCTCGATTTCGCCCGCCGAAACACAACTACCAGGCTTAGTAGGGGACTCAGAGTCTCCGGGGTCGATGGTCATCATCTCTTTTTCACCCACAGCGATTGTTTGGTTCAACCTGAATATGTCACACATCCGACGCATTGCTTCCTGATTGCGTTGATCCTCGAAATATCCGTTGTGTTTGAGTTCGAGTGTCAGCTTTCTCCAGACCGACTTCGGCAAACGGCTTCTCGTAACTTGACTCAAATATGCTATATACGTATTCTCCTTTGATTGTTTTCCCAGCCTGCTGTGGGCACGCATATTCTTCGTGCATTCAGGTCTTTTGAACTTTGGAGTAGGAGTAGGAGTTGTGCCTCCCACTTGGTCTTCCAGAGAACATCTTTTGACATCTGCGTATGAAAGCTGCCTGAGTCGACCGACACTTTATCTTCTTCCATATGCATCTATGAAATTTCTCATTTGTCATGCCATTGCATTGGTTCCGGCGGATGAAGGCATCGAGCTCGCCGCTCCAGTCGAATAGCACAACCGGGTAACGTAGGCCTTACACTTCTGGGAAACAGCTATAGGTAGCTCATAAAGGCTATTCATCATCGGGACAATATGGACCGCAAGAACATTTTAAAGTGACATACCTCGTTCGAAACTCTTCCTCATTTCTTGGAACATCGAACTTCTTCTTAAAGAAGGCACTATATCCTTTCATCTAGTGCCAAATTTCCCTTGGCGTACGAAGCATATTAGCTGCTGTCTGCTCCAGTCAGGCGTCTGTTGATTTTGAGCCGAGAAACGCTTCGAACATTTGGACTTGGTCGATGAGTAACATCGTCGAGAAGAGAACACCCGGTCGAAACCCCAGTCTCCACCACTTCATCAGGTATCATCTTCTCAAAACACTCACCATAACCCCATTCGGCCTCTGCCGTGGACCATTCTGACCGAATGTACGTAATTGACTCAGCGGTGGCTATCTACTGTGGGCTTCTCGTAATTTTCTTGTTTGTTGCCCTACTTAACCCTTCATAGCTGTTATACTGTTTTTTTATTGGCCCATTCTTTTGCTATGTATCAATTTCAGATGAAGCAAGCAGCAAAGCTAGCCGAATCCCGTGAAAGTGAGCCGAGATATCCTCCACTCCGTGGTCGAGACCGTAAGATTTTATTCATCATAGGGCATCTCTTGCCCATTTGGACCTGTTGGAGCCAGAACAGAGCTCCCAGCTTGACGATAACTTTATCGTCAACTTGAGCCTGATCCTATCAGCAACTGGCAATGGGCCTCAGAGAAACATCACCTATAGACATTTGGGCGTGTACTATTACACCTCCTAGGAAAAATTGTACGTTCAGACCCGGCGAGGCTTGTGACAGCACGCCTGTGTTCCATTGATCTGACTCGGGCGAAAATCATGACAAACACACAGTCAAAGAGGGTTTTCTGCTTGGGAGAACTTGCGTTTGGCCGAACTAATTGGAATATCATTTCTGAATTCTCGCTACAATTGATGATTGCAAGCTACAACTCCAGCTCACTTTTCAAGCTCTGGTACATTTTCTTGACGAACATAGAAGAAGTCCTAGACCATCTTTCACACTGTATTCTCCTCCTTCCGGGCTTGGATGTCTAGCTTCCTCTGCTTTCGCCATTCCTCGGCATATCTCACGCCAAACCCGTGCTCGAAAACTACCCTGATCTCCTCCAACGTCATGTTTGCTGCTTCAGGGAAGCAGAAGATCACAAACACCCAGCCCAAGAAAGACAACCCAGCGTATAGACCAAACGTGCCTGATGGGGTCATACCTCGCATCATTGACAAGAACGTCGAAGAGACGATGATGTTAGGACCCCAGTTGAAGATGTTGATCATCATGGTTCCCATAGCTCGGACTTCCATGGGGAGAAACTCGTTCGCCTGCCAAGGGACACAGCCCAAACCGGCCGCGTAGAAGGCCACGAACATAATCATTGCAACCAAGACCAGGGTTGCGGGCCAACCCACTTCCTTGGTGGTCAACTCTAGAGTGTTGTTGTCCAAGGGGATCCAGTGGAACGCAATGGCGGCAATTGCGAGACAGACAGGCATGCCCCACATCGTCCAGAGCAGGATTCTTCGTCGGCCGATTCTGTCAATGAGGAAGATTGACAAGACTGTGAAGATGAAGTTGGTACCTGCTACGACGGTACCAACAGCAACGGGGTTCGAGAAGCCGACGATCTGGAATAAACCTTGAAACTCTGTTTAGCATGGCACACAAAGCACAGTGTATAATAAGTCATGGCACCGTACTGGAACTATAATACATAAGTGTATTAAACCCGCAGAGCTGCTGCGCAGCCATTAGGCCACAAGCTGAAGTGACTGCTCGCAGGTTGGCTGGAACCTTGAATAGGCTGGTGACAGACTTTCGAAGTGAAATTTCTTCGTTGAGGACCTTGGCTTGGTTGACGCCGCGCTCTATAGAAATCACTTTGTCCGCGATTTCATCTTCGCTGCCGTTAGGATAAATTTGTCGTAGAACCCGGATACAGTCGTCTCGGTGGCCGTGAAACATGAGTTGACGAGGTGACTCTGGACACCAGAAAAGGAGAATGCCGAGTATGACCGAAGGAACACCACCGATTCCAACCATGTATCTCCAGCCGTGTGCGGTTGTGTTGAAGGCTGCGGCGAAGGCATATGCAAGCACGGATCCGGCCCCGAGGAAGATCATGTCGATTGAGATCATCCGGCCTCTGAACCTTGCAGGGGAAATCTCCGCAATGTATAATGGTACGATCTGAGAAAGCAACCAATGTTAGCTTATGGTCTCCGGTCAAGTCTGTTGGGAAAAGGCATAAAGATACGGAGGCTTACCATGGATGCAGAGCCGACGCCAAAGCCTATCACAAGTCGACCAACGGTCATCTGCGCAATTGTGAAAGAGGTAGCCTGGAGCAGGGCACCGATCGTAAAGAGGATAGAGGCGAACCATATAGCAGGCTTTCTTCCGTATTTATCGGCAGTGATACCGGCAATGACGGCGCCAATCAAGGCTCCGGCTGCGGTAACTGCTGTGATCAACTCCTTTTCTGAGTGGGTAAGGTCTTTGTTGTCGAGGTCTTGACCGATAACAACAAGGACTCCGGAGATAACGCCAGTATCGTAGCCAAAGAGCATGCCTCCAATCGCGGTTGCTGCAACACAGAGCCAGACAAAGGTACCTGGTTTGGTTTCCTCGATCCGCTCTAGGTCACGGTTTTCTACGGCCTTGACTGCGTCGCTGACTGCATTGTTCTGCTCGACGTGCTGAACGCCTTGCTTGAAGGTATCATCTGGTAACCCCATGGTGAAGTTAGCCGTAGGTCAGCGCAAGTTTCGATGAGAAGAAAGGAGTTATAGCAAAAGGTCCTGTTAGAGCATTAAGTTTGCAACTGGAGACGAGGTCTCTAAGATATTGCCCATATCTAGGGACTGGGTACCGGTGGGATGGGCGAGCTTTATAGACTTTGCAACTTCACCACACGCTTTGGAAAGGGTATCAGATGAAAGCTAACACTCAAGCTCTGGAGTAACAAAAGCAAGAATAAGACACGTCGGACTAGCGTACGGGATGATTCCCGGCAGGTCTAAATCGTCTCATGGGGAGAGCTGCTGCGGGGTTGGCCCTCATCTGACAAGGTGAACACTATCCAAGCCCTCATCTCGATGTCTAACATCTAAGGAAATTCCAGCCGTCCGACATTACTCCTTGTTTCTATAGGTCAGTAACACTTTCTTGACTCTAGTCCGTCGTATTCGTTGGGTCTCTAGCGGGTCTGAAGCACGGGGAAGTTTGGGGGAAATCTGGATTCGCGGGGTAGTTGACTAGGATTCATCTGGGGAAATGGAGCAATTGCGAGCGCCCCCACCAATTGTGCGACAGTCTATTGCCCGGCCCGTCGAGTCAGGCCTGTCTAGCGCCGCGCGCTTTTTACTCTCTCGAGACAATGAGGCATTCGTTTCCGCTGCGAACCCGAGCCGCGGGCTGAATCTGTTGCCGTTAACAGGGTAGTCAACACTTCCGTCGCCCCGATTGCTTCAGTTTTGCGGCCGCTGACCATTCTTTTGGTTGAGTAACAGTCTGGATACGCTGCAACATTCCGTGGTATGATAGCCTTGACGGAAAAGGCCTCTACGAAAGCCCGAAGGTTGACGTAACGTCGGAAGCATCCCCTTGAAGATGGGCGTTTCCGCCGTTTCGCACCTCTTGAGGCATATGCTGGAATCTCTGGACTCTCCTCCTCTAGGCAAATTAAGGATCATCTTGCCGATAGGATAAAATCTCCGGCAAACGCACGTAAGATCGACATGTAAGGGTGCTTCCTCTACAACGCCACGCCATGGGACATCGATGTATTTGGGATTCCTGGTGAGGTGATCTGGGACCACATCCTTCCCAAGCGACTTTATGTTTGAGGACCTGACGCTCTTCACTACAGGTAGAAAGTTTTCATGATTGCAATCGCGGGAAGGTCTTGTATGACACTCACCCCTCCAATCGAGAAACTGTAGTAACGTGTGGATGCGATGGAGTGGTTGACTACAGTGGAGAATAGTCACATTTGATTAGTATCAGACTATTCACAGAAGATGCATCCTCATGAACCTTTCGTTCAGCACACGACATTCGATATAGAGTCAAAGTTCGAGCGCACTGCTAAACACGAGAGGAAGAATTGATAATTATAGCGTGGGTCGGAACACGCTTTCCGTCAGCCTGCCATTTGTGAAAGCAACCCCCTCAGCGCAGGCACCGTCAGGGGCTAGACTGTTGGTCTCGAACCTGACGCGCTACAAGCATCCAATCAGACCGAATTGAACAAGTATGTCGTGCTTCACTTGACGTGAAGAAGCCGAGTTGAGTCCACAGTTGGCGTGTCATTGCCTGGATGTGGAATGGATAAACATACCGAAGAGTCCAAATGGGAGACCTCACCATGGGAAACTCATGTACCTTTCATTTGACTGATGATTTCAACGTGGGTGATCCCCTGCCATATTTGCACGTCTACAACAATGGTTTTGCAATCTTCTTCCGGGTGATCTGACAGTGGCCATCATCAGCAAACTCCTGTCTTCGGAATTGTCTCGGAGCGAAGTGTACTCGCGGGTCTAGGTACCACCGGCAGGTTATTCGCCGAAGTGGATCTTCAGCCCCGCACGGCCTCGGACCCGAAAGACCGGCTTCTCCTACATGCCTTACAGCAAATAGGGCCGAGATGTCCCGATTTCTCTGTTGCGATATCGGGATCATGGCATTGAATATTAGCGTAGATATGTGTAACTTGATACAGACCAAGACTTCCTGAATATCCGACAAGCCGCTAGCCGAAAATAGAAGCGGAAGTTGTCGGCGATGCTCCGTGGTGCTTCCCGAATAAATGCATCGTTGAGGGCACCTGATTCTCGGACTCAAGGCCTTGCAACGACCAAGACTTGGAATAGTAAGTCATTTCAGTGCTACTGCACGTCGCGTGGCCTACGCCCGGCTATATTCAGGCTCCCCACAGATGATCGAGAGGCTCGACGGCAAATGTCGACCAGGCGACCTCTCTCATCTTTTTGCCGCCGGGTAAATCACTATTGCCATATTAATCAACCCAGCTATGCTAGAAAGCTCAATGTGGCTAACATTCGGACACGGTCTAGATATTCCGACTTCCTTTTTCAACCTCCCTTGAAGGCGCTGATACAACACTGCGACATCTCACGCCTTGGTTTTTCCCAGGTACATTTCACTACTTTACGGTTCCAAGCATGTATGAATCTGTATCGACATTTCCTAAGAACCAATGCCATATCAGAGAGAAACAAAGGACGAAGAGAGATGTCTACCCTACGTTGATGGAAAACCACAAACCAAGTACCAAGTTGCTGGTACAGACTTAGACAGGTGAAAGAAATTCAATCAATTTAATCAATTCGTACTAGGACCGATGCCAAGGACTTGGTTCCGGGCGAAGTCTAAGGGAACTTGAGATGGAACGAAGTGACATTGCACCCGTCTTGGACCCAAGGATCCTGCCCGATCGGTTGTCAGGGGCACATCAGTTTGACTCATGGCGTGGTTGTACTAGTACCAATATCTTTTAGAAGGGAGGTGTGTGTTACATCCGGCGTTCTTGAGTCGCTTTGGTAGACTGAGACCGAAACTGGCACAACATGCTACAGATATAAAGCCACAGACTTCGCCTTCGTCTGAATCATGGACAGCGGGGGTGACAGACAATATCAGCAATCAAGTCATCATGGTCACTTTCAACTCACTTTTCCTGGCGTTCGCCTCCGTGGCCAGTGTTCTCTCTGCTCCCGGAGAGCTGATGAAGCGCCAGTCAACTCCTTCGTCTACTGGAACAAACAACGGCTACTATTACTCTTGGTGGACTGACGGTGGATCTCAAGTTACTTACACCAATGGTGCAGGTGGACAATACAGCGTCGTCTGGCAAACTGGTGGTAACTTTGTTGGAGGCAAAGGCTGGAACCCCGGTGGACCGAGGTACAATCGCCCCATACCTACTCAGACAGAGTCTTGAGCATGTTTCTGACGATACCCTACCTTTCAGAACTATCACGTATTCTGGCAGCTACAACCCGAACGGTAACAGTTACCTCGCGATCTACGGCTGGACTAGGAACCCCCTGATCGAGGTTGGCCCGATATTTCCTGCTTGACCTTAAAATCTGCTAACCATAATAAAGTATTACATCGTCGAGTCCTTCGGTACTTACAACCCTTCCAGCGGGGCTACCAAGAAGGGTACCGTCACCAGTGATGGTGGCACCTACGACATCTACGTTAGCACGCGGACCAACGCCCCTTCCATCGATGGCACAAAGACCTTTCAGCAGTATTGGTCCGTCCGCCAGACTAAACGCGTGGGCGGAACAGTCACGACCGGCAATCACTTCAATGCCTGGGCCCAGGTGGGCTTGAACCTCGGCACTCATGACTACATGATCGTTGCCACGGAAGGATACTTCAGCAGCGGCTCTTCCACAATCACTGTCGGTGCATCGGATGCTGGTGGTGGCGGCACAAGCCCGCCTGTGACTAGCCCTCCGCCCAGCAGCGGCGGTGATGGAACTGTGAGACCTCAATCCTTTACTCTAAGTCTACCTTAACTGATGTATCGTCACCGTGCTAGTGTGCTGCGAAGTGGGCTCAATGCGGAGGATCTGGCTTTACCGGACCGACTTGCTGCCAATCTGGGTCCACATGCCAAGCGTCGAACCAGTGGTACTCTCAATGCCTGTAAATTCTGCAACTTGGGAGTAAGAATGCCCTGCAATGCATTCTATCTAGCTTGGAGCACAAGTTAGCACAAAGGAGATGTCCTCAATGAGCCATATTGCTGTGGTTCAGGGAGATTTGGCGACAAGCACCGTCCACGATACAATTTGTATTCACCAGATTTGCTTAACTGAATGAAGTATGTTTAAATGCGGGCCTACACCCTGATTTCATCTATCTACTGTGAAGGATGGACGAAGGGAAAAACACATGCATTGGTCTACGAATATCCTGCATGTGCGTTTCCACAATCGCAGGTATGTTGTCAACTAAGGTACCGATATCACCCATAAGAAGCACCTTGAGTATCGGCAATGTCGTTCAATTGCAACTCTTCTCATGTCATGCACTAGACCTTGTTTGCAGTCTGATATCTCGTATGAACAATGAACTCCTTGTCCTACTATCTCCTACGGTAGGCGCACTTAGTTTTGATCCCATAAGCATGAGCACTATGCTCCCAGGATTTAGTCAATGGAAGGTGTTGTTGATTGTGCCGCAATAAAATCGCTTCAGGCGTTCCTGGGCCGCCGATGCATATCCACTCTGTGCCGTCTTTTAATCAAACTAGGCGGCAATTTCTTCCGGTCATCCCTCCCGTCAATTTCAGTTCTTGTTGGATATCCGCACAGCTTGTAATTCCATGCGAATCCCTTGATTCCGTCCTCATCACTGCACCTGTCTCCGGCGCATATGTTCAAGTGATAGGGCCACCAGGTGCCAACCGTTCCCCATTCATCGTCGCACCATTGCTTGCGCGACATTTGGAACACGTCTCCGACGCCTCTGGTCTTGTTATTATTCCATCCGAAACACTCTTGATTTCATTCTGGAAGCTTGTGAATGGGGAGAACTTGGTTCTCATCTGGGATCCTCCAGCCGGGATGCGTCTTGATATCTTTCAATGTTGTGACACCTCCGAAGACCAGAAGAGAGAGCAGAATGGTCATTGCGTTGAACGTCATCTTGTTGTGTATCATGTCAAGTGAATGTTCGGGCTGCTTGGCCCAGCGGACAGTCTCAGTTCTTTTGCAAATGGTTGATCTTCGGTCATTTGTTGGGCACAACAAGATCTGGAGTGACCTCGGTACAAGATATGCCCCTGAGAATTATGAAGGGGGAAAAACAAATGAAAAAAGGCGAACTAATATAAATGAAAATCGTTCGACCTTGCCCCATTGAATTGCCTAGTATCTCCGTCGACGATTGTACCGCCGGAGATGTGGTAAGTCTGGAGAATATTCCAATTGAAGCTCTCTTATTTGTACGATTTTCGATGACTTGCTGCCGTATGCGTTAGTTTGCCAACAGGATGGGACCCTATGGCATTTTTCATTCAATTGAGTCAGTGCTCCCTTGATAGCAATCTATATCCGATACGACTGGCCTCACACGAGCAGCTGCATATTGCCACAGAAATGAAAAAATCCAAGTCAGAAGCAGACTATGACCGTCAGGGTATTCAGCCCCTTTCATTCCTGCAAGAACTCCCTGCCCATTGACGACGTCGTGATTCAAAACCCGACGAGTTGCTCAGTCAGCACACAGCCGGCACATCTCAAGTTCATCTTTCGACACTGATTCACTTGTGAGTATCCATTCACCTTTATGAGCAAGTCAGGTCCCTCGTCACCTTCACCATTGTACCGCTGCCACCCTAGGCACGTAAGTATTCTTCTCGTACCGTCAACCATCCAGCTCCTGGGACTGTATTTAAACTCTCTTATGGCCCCGTTCCCCTGTCATCTCCCAAACTCTTGTTCTCCCCTCCCTTCTTTCACCTAGATCTGCCTCGACCAGACCATGCGTAACTTACTAAATTCCGGCTCGCTGTCTGACGACCCGTAAGAATCGCCCTAATTTACATTTTGATGTTCTTAGTCGATCATCCATCACCGTATTCGCTTGACTACATTCTTAGTAGCACCATGGTAGGCCTTAGATATAACTGGTATGATACATTCACTGCGCAACGTTTTCACCGTTTACCCAAGGCTTGAAATACGTATTGACAAAATTTAGCCTCCATAAGATCCTCGCGATGAGAAGAACCGCGGCGAAGACTGAACCTCAGAGTCGAGGCTTTCAACTTATAGACGGCCTTCCATACGAGATCTTGAACGAGATCGGCCTTCAGCTTCCCGCAAAGGATGCCCTATCACTCATTCGGTGCTCGCGTAGATGTGCAGCCATTATAGGGTGGAGTTTGTACCACCTAGACTCACTCAATGGGCACCGGGCCCTATTCTGGGGTGCCAGAACTGGTACACTGAGTGCCGTGAAAATGGCTATTGCTCACGGAGCAGGCCCCCTTAGTCCCGTCATTGACTCTGATTATGACTTTGGAGCTACACTCAACAGAGAGACTGCCCTAAGTATTGCAATCGATAACAACAAGATCGAGGTTGTGCGATATCTTCTCCAGGGCTGCCACCCAATCGAAAACGTCTGGGCCCAGAAGAGCTACCTTCTTCACTCGGTCAAGTGTCCCAAGCTGATGGAGGTCCTTCTCGCCGGAGGGTTTTCCAATGGAGTCAATACCTTGGGCAAGATCGATACATGGGACGACGACGTGACCCCGTTGGTTGCGGCTATTGAGCGAAATCATCCTGAAAGCACGATTCGCACACTGCTGAAGTTTGGGGCCGAGCTCAACTCGCAGAACGTTTCTTCGACGCGTCCCAATATGTCTGCTTTCCATATTTGCCTCTGGACCGATCGAGCTTCAGTGACAAAGATACTGATAGACCACAACGCAGATGTCAACGAGGCAGAGGGACCGGAGCCGTTGTCAAATACTCCTTTGGGTACCGTACTCCTACAGTGCCAATCAGGAACGACCTGCGATGAGATCGTAGCCTCACTTCTGCGCAACGGAGCTAATCCAAACCTGTCCACACGAGAACCAGGCGCTGGACTGAACCCCATCATGCTCGCTTCCTCCCCGGACGTTCTACCTAAGACGTTCGCACGTCTCCTCGCCAAAGGCGCTCGAGTTGATGAAGAAGTACAATCCGAACTTGAGCAGGTACTTTTCTCGGCGAAAACCGGTGTCCTGCGGTGGAGCTCCACGTCTCAGCGTCAGGCTGTGCAGAACACGAATCATAAGCTTCGAATGCTTCGTCAACTTGGTCACATTGCACTGCCAATAGAGGCTGGATCCTTGGATCTAGATCGGCCCAAGGCAGATTAGCTAGCAACACGAGACCTCACCGTCAGCACATAATGCGACAATAGATTCAAATATGAAAGTAAAGCCATTATTTGAGAGGAAGGTATGAGGAGATTCGCTTGAGGTTGTAAGTTGTGTTGCTTTCCGACAAGCGGCAACGCTACTCCGGTCCGCTGTGGCCTGCCATAAATTATACGACGACGGAGGTAAAGCCCGGAGACGACCTCCCGGACCTTATACCTTGAGGGAGTTGTTGCCCGATACTTGTCTGAGAGGTCCAAAGTCAGTCCGCAAATAGACACCTCGGGTTATTATTATATGAGAATTTTCGGTGCTTGCTCAGACCTGCCACAGTTCCGTCTACCATATCGACCTTCTCCTGCATCTCTCGATGCCGTGATTTCTTTCTCTTCTTTCCCTTCAAATTTTTCTTCGACCACTGGCAAATAATGGCATGTTGACCTTACCTTACCGCGACTTCGTTCATCGAAGTCCCACCAACGTCTGCCTTCTCTAGACATTTGATATATAAACTCAAAATTCTTCTTATTTTCCTTCTCTTGTGTTATTCTCGCCAAGTGCCCCGCTCCAAAATGCCGTCAGGGGCTTATACATTTGCGTCGCTTTCGTTAGAGGAGTTTACGCCTTTTAAAATGCATTATTCGTTTCTCTCGCTGTTCTGGTTGTCTTGAACACCCTTGGGTTTAGCAAAATCTCTCGTAAGTCACATAGTACTATCATCCACAACCTGCCTTCACATTGTGGCTGTGGCTGTCACTACCCTTCTCAGTAGACCGGCCTACTTCCACGTGGACGCAAATTCCATAAGGAATAGATTATGACTAGCGAGGGATACCAACATAATCAATAGGTCTAACACCTTCTAGGTCAGAACAGAAACAGACTGTTATTAAGCGGAAAAAGAGATCGTCGCTGCGACGTGTACCGTCTGGTTGGCACCGTAATCAGACTAGGGAGTGAGCGACATGTCATAGATTCTTTAGTTATACAAGTCGACTTCGGCCTACCATCCCATCCACTACCAAATGGCGTCAATGCATCTGTTCTTGGTACTTGTCTTTGTACTGATTTGATGCCGTCTAGCAATCAAGCGCTCAACTCAATACAATGAACTCAATCCACAGACAGCACGATTCAATGTCCCTGAATGTCATGCTTGAACGATCCTCACCGATTCTCACCGAGCCATCAAGGTCGCGATGGTGGACCCTCCTCGGTAAACTTCGGTCAGAGGATTGGTGGGTCCCAAGGTTCAGGCGGGGGCGCTGACACATCAGCCTGATTGGGCGATCTGGAACTGCATGGAAGGATTATTCGCCGGCCGGCCGAACTGCAGGTCCGGACGGGGCCGAATCGGGAGCTTCAACCGTCGGTGAAGCCAAAAAAAGCAAAGGGCACACAGAATCCATTCCCCACGAATTGCCTCGGCTCACCCACTCCCATTTCCACGCCGCCTTGGACGGCGGTGATGGCGTCCAATCGGGGTTCGCCCAACCTCGCCATACTCCATCCATCTCGCACTCGCAGTGCCCTTTTCGATTGGCGATGATTAGTAGCGCATCCGGTGCCAGCCAAACAGGCAGCTCAGCAGCCATGCCAGTATCTGCACGTACGGAGTATTACGAATACAGATAGCTGCGAGAATTCAGGAACGAGAATTCAACCCCGACAGCCCGACACGAGGTGGATGACAATCCCGATTATCTCTGGACCTTTTTGAGTTTCAGCATTTCTAAGCCCGGACGGCATTGCACATCCTTGGCCCGCCCCAAACCCGCTTCTCGAACACTCAATCCACCCCGCGACCCTCCTTTTGGGATCATCAATGGAACGGTCAACGGCCAGCACCCCAGCACATCTCCGTTCCCGACGTCCCCGTTCCCGCATGGTCGCATCGGCCGCAATCGCAAGCATTGCAGCTTCGCTTCCGGGGGACCCTGAGAGCTGTCAGTTGCACTACCGAGTGATGGGCGAGGGGCTGATGACAACGCCCTCCTGCGTGTTGTCCAGTGGTGCCTCTCGAATCCTCCGACGCCCAAGACTCCAGAGTCCAAGAGAGATAATGTCCCGCCATGTCTTCAGAGCCTCCGACAAGCTGAGAGTCCTGATAGGCCGAATGCAGAGAGCTGAGCAAGAGATGACAAGCTGAGGTACCATTGTCTCAAGCCTCGGCATGTCGTCATGTCCGGTTCAATCCAGCCCCACCACGGGAACGAGACGAGACGTAGACGCGGACGCGGACGCAGATGCAGACATTGCAGACGCAGTAATCCGCCGCCTTTTGGGACGAATATCTTCCTGGGCTCCTGGAGCGGGAGAGTCTGCGGCCTGCCACCTTCATATCGAGTATCGACTTCGCGTCCCTGCCCTTCGGAGCAGAAGCAGTCTAGCTAGGATCGCGCGTTGCCCGCAACCCGCCAGCCCCTCCTTAACCCATATGAAGAAAACGTCCGGTGGAAAAAGACCCTCCGACTCCATTCGTTGTTCGGGCGGCCACTCCGGGGAAATCGGCCACACGCCACACCCACACACCCATCTTGGGTTATCCATCCACCACTCTCTCCATCCGAAAGTCTGCTAGACAATCTGTGTGCCCGTGGTACCGTGTTACCGTGTGCGTGTGGTGCGTTGACTGTTCAAAAAAGGGGACAGAGACACAGAGAAGGGAAAGACACAGAAGGAAAAAAAAACGCCTTCAGGCCCCATCCCTACTAGCCCATGCCCCGTGCGCCGGAGAACATTCCTCGATCGTTCGCCAGCTCGTCGAGTCCTTCGGAGCTCGTGCGGGCCAATGTCCCGTCTTGGTCATCCTGCTCCGGCGCGGGGCATGAAGTCATGACATGAGCCAAAGGCAAAAACTCGGTGCAAGCGACTCACGCACCAAGCGTCCACCGCTGGCACTGCACGCTTGACCGCGGCCATGAAGCTTGGAGGGGTAAGTGTAATCCGCGAAAGCGGCGGAGGAAACGTGGGACACGAAAGCAAACGGGCGATTTCAGAGTTTGCGAATTAGGCTGGATGTCCCCGACTACTAAAGAGCTCCCTCTGCTCCTCTACCCTTGATTTGGAAAGGCTCTGTGAATCAGTTGTCTCGTATTCTGTGTTTGTTTGCTTATAATCTCAAATACATACCATTCGTCTTCCTTGATACCCTCTTCCCTCTTCACACAACATCACATTCAAAATGTCGCAACAAAACCTTTCCGTCGTGCTGGCCGAGCGCCCCACGGCCGAGATCATCCCCGGCAAGACCTTCAAGACTGAGCAGAAGCCTATCCCCAAGGCTGAGGACCTCAAAGATGGCGAGATTCTCATTGAGAACTGGTACCTCTCCCTTGACCCCGCCATGCGTGGCTGGTTGAACGGTATGTCGAGAGAGACCTCTCCCCTCCGCCATCATCACCTTCGCAGGGAAAAGTACTGATTAAGCCCCCATCTAGACCGCCGCTCCTACCTTCCCCCCGTCCAAATCGGCGAAGTCATGCGCGGCGCCACCGTCGGCCGCGTCCTCGCCTCCAAGTCCTCCAAGGCCAAGGAGGGTGACGTTCTCCCCTCCTTCGGCGGCTGGGCCGAGTACAGCGTCGTCCACGACAGCCGCGTCGAGCCCGTCTCCTCCTTCCCCGCCGTCTCCCAGCCCATCGACTACCTCTCCGGCATCGGCATGACCGCCCTGACGGCTTACTTTGGCATGCTCCGCGTCGGCGACCCCAAGCCCGGCGAAACCGTCGTCGTCTCGGGCGCCGCGGGCGCCACCGGCAGCGTCGCCGGCCAGATCGCCAAGCTCAAGGGTGCGCGGGTCGTCGGTCTCGCCGGCTCGGACGATAAGTGCAAGTGGTTGACGGAGGAGCTCGGCTTCGACGTCGCGCTCAACTACAAGGACCCCGAGTTCAAGAAAAAGTTCAAGGAGGCCACGCCCGACTTCATCAACGTCTACTTTGACAACGTCGGTGGCGAGATCCTCGACATGGCGCTGGCGCGTGCCAAGGAGTTTTCGCGCTTCGTCATGTGCGGCGGTATCAGCCAGTACAACTCTGCGACGCCGCAGGGCCCCAAGAACTACGCCAACATCATCACCATGCGCATCAAGATGCAGGGCTTCATCGTCTTCGACTTTGTGCAGGAGTACGGCCAGGCCCGCAAGGAGCTTGCGCAGTGGCTCGAGGAGGGTAAGATTAAGCGTAAGGAGACGGTCGTCAAGGGCGGTCTCAAGGCGGCGGAGCAGGGCCTCGTCGACCTGTACAAGGGCATCAACACGGGCAAGTTGATTGTCGAGATCAAGAACCCCAAGGATGCGGCCAAGTTGTAAAGGAATCCCGAGCCAAGGTCTCTGAGGAATGATTTGATGACACTGTAATTTTATGCATAATGACCAGATACTGGCACATATAGAAAGGCATGCCAAACAAACTGGAAAACAACATTACAAATATCTTCTGTCTGTACATGTACTTGGGATGATCTGTCTGCTCTTAGTGGAGGCATACCGCACGTTGAAATTGTCTTAGAAACCTCATAAAAGCAAAGATTCGTGCATGGTACGTGAAATATTCACTTTTGCATCAACCTGAACACCTCGTTGGCGATGTCGTAGGTGTTGGTGAAGCATCGAGTTATGGGCTGGGATCGTTGTGTCGAGGGCCATGCCAGTATTCGATATGCAAGGAGAAGGCACGTATGGATGTAAGCGGTGCAATCCACCAAGGTACCCACCGACACCAACCGGTGATCGCCAAACTGCCCCAAGCTCCTCCTTTCTGCCGGGGCCATCCCATCTTCCACCATCGATCTTCTCGACGTTGCCCCGGACACAGCTCCAAACACATGTAGACAGATCTTCGCAGACATTCGCAGCACCTGTTTGAAATCCAAACGTTTGCATGCCACACTGCGTCGACATGGCACATTGCAATTTCTTTCTCTGACCTGCAGGGCACGACCTCTTTTTTAAGGATTTACCGGCGCGGCTCGTTCGGAGGCTTACGGAGAGGACCCCAGCACCACGGCGTCGCAGGTAAATTTCCTTTCAGGAGGCTGCGCATTCCCGACGCAGCGAAAAGCGAACCCTCTTCGTACGATTCCTAGACGAACAGAGACGGCGATTACGACTAGAGTTTCAGGCTTGGAAAAGCTCTACTTCTCACGCTTCCTGCAGCTTTCTTACCGTGGCCGACCACCCCCCGCCAGGTCTGCGTGCCTCGAAGCGAGACATTCCACTCCAGATCCACTCGAACTCCTTCACCTCTGGAATGCGCCCAGCCTCAAGTAAATGGTGGTGATATTTCCCACGCATCGGAAGACGGCCGTTTAACAAGGACGAGACGATTGGAGACACAAAAAATAATAATGCTCTTTTGGAAACCGAGAACTTGAACACAACAAAGAAAGTCGAACACGAGTCCATGATACCCTACAATACATCCTCGACGTACCCCTAGTCGGAACTTGCGAAGCCCACGACCCAACCCGACGTACATATCCTTTCAAGTCGAGGTCGCTACTGTCCAACCTCTACGATGGCTTTGTCTTTAGAAGAAGCCACCCACCTCCACAGGCAGGCAAAACGACGAGCCGAACGAGCCGCAGCCGAGATGAACTTCCGCGAAGTGACATCGGAGGAGTACCTGAAGAAACTACGGGCCAAACGGCGCCCCGGGAGACGATTCGAGATTGATAACACACCTGCCGCGGTCGAAATCGGCGAGGAACCGCTACCTCCGCAACGAGAGTTCAAACTTTCGACGGGCTCCGACAGGCAACGGACACACGCCCGCACAAAGTCGACACCGACAGCGAATACGAATGGTTTATCAACATCGGGCAGCCGTAGAACTACGCTTGGGGGTCCGATAGCTAGAAACACTGCCGGAAAGGCGTTGGTACCTTCTCAGAGGCTGGCTGCTCAGCAGACGAAAAGCCAGCCCAACCTTTTCTTACAAGCTACGCAACAGCGAACGAACCCCGCCATCACTCATGCCAACTTGGGAACAACCACGACAGTCTCCTCATTATCATCTCAGCCGCAAAGATCAAAATCAAGCTTAAGCATGTTCTACCCCAAAAAGCATGTTCGTCGCGCAGCGTCCGTGTCTGTCCTGTCGTCAAGACCTCTAGAGTTGGACCCGATAGCCACGGCTCACCAAACCGGCCACGCTCGAAGCCAGTCGCTTGGCAACGCTCTCTCTGTTGTTGATACAACACCGCAGCCTGTCGCGCTCAAGAAGCGAGGCTCGTTACGTATGCTGAAAGACAAGATTAGGAGAGTAGCCAGCTCTTTCGAACTTCGATCGGCTAAAAGCGACGGTTCAGTGAGCAGTGATGACGATGGCTTGAAGACCCGGTCTAGCAAAAGCCTTTTATTGCGGACGAAGAACAGGTTTGGCTCACAGCATCGACTGGGGACCGTAAGCGAAGAATGAGCGACGAGGTGATCTAAGCTGGTCTCACACGCCAGAGACCTAATCATGCGTGGCCGAGGTCCTCTGCGCAGAGAGCTCTGGAGAACCTCTAAACTGTGTACGATTAACGCGGACGAGATACGACAGCTCTGAATAATGGCGTAATGTAATTCATACAAAACTTTCACATTTGTTCATATCTAGGCAAACATACCCGGTTCATATTTCCATCAATCCCACCGTCTCTATCCGGAATGGTGACGCAGCGTCAAACCCTGGCACTCAACTGGAATTGATGGCAGAAAGGATAGTCAATGTATCCGGTTGGCAGCTTTGGGGTGTAGAAGTACGTCCGCTCGTACTTGTCCAGCTCGATACCCTCTTTGATGCGGAAGACGAGATCGGGATTCGAGATGAAGTACCGCCCAAAGACAACAGCAACGTTGTACTTCTTGTACGTTTCGTCCACAGCTGCCTTTGCAGAACTGGCATTCAGGCCACCGGCAAGCAAGACTGGGCTCGCGTTGTCCCAGAGCTCGATCAGCCAGCGCACCGTCCGCTGTCCACCGCAATCGGTGTCATCATTACCGCTGATCCGAGCTTCAATGAGATGGAGATACGCAAGCCCCAGAGGCTTCAATTGCTTGACCAAGTATTCAAAGGTCGGGTCTGGGTCGTCCATGAGCATGCCCTGAAAATCACTGTACGGGCTGAGACGAACGGCCGTCCTATCGGCGCCGACGGCATTGACGACAGCCTTTGTCACGTCGATATGGAACCGAGCATGCTTCTCGATACTGCCGCCCCAACCGTCGGTTCGCTTGTTGCAGGTATCCTGAAGGAACTGGTCGGGTAGATACCCATTGGCGCCGTGGATCTCCACCCCGTCGAAGCCGGCTTCGAGAGCGTTGCGCGCGGCCGTCGCGTAGTCCTCGATGACTTGCTGTATGTCGCTTTCGCTCATTCCTACAGGGATAGCAGCGCCGTCGGCTACGGGTATCGCACTTGAAGACTCGAGATGTAACCCGAGGGATTCGAGGACTTCAGCTCTGCCACCGCGACCCAAGTGCCAGAGTTGGCAGTAGATGAACGAGCCCCTGGCATGCACGGCATCCGTGACCTTCTTCCAGCCTGCAATGTGCGCTTCATTCCAGATGCCAGGGACGTTATGACGTCCGGCGGTACGGTACGAGATCAGAGTTCCCTCAGAAATGAGCAGAGTACCCGGTACGCAGCCTCTCTGGGCGTAATACTCTGTCCTCAAACGTCAGACAGTGAACGAGTTGAGAGACGACGGGATTGCATGCTGACCCTCCATCATTGGAGTCGGTGTCCATTCATCGTCTGCGCGGTACCTTGTCAGCGGCGCCAGGGCTAGTCGGTTAGAGAGCTGGATAGGCCCTATAGCCAACGGGGCGAATAGTTTTGACATGACTAGCTGATGTAGATGAAATCAACTAGATGCAGTTAAAGTTTTGAAGCTATCTTGACAAGTCAAAATAAGGTAGATGCGATGGCAGAGTCTAAAATCAGAGACGTAGCAGTATCCCGTCATCGACTCCTTCGCTAGCGCAATTAATCCGAGTTCATTCTCTTTGACACCCATGCCGATGAAAGCCGCATCGGCTTCCACGCCTTTCTCGCCCAGAACAATCATCAATATCGTCTCGTCCAACAGGCTCGAATTTTTGTCAACGCCGATAGCGAGGGATTGTTTGTACAAACAATAGCCTCAAGATGGCCCATATAAGCCCGGCGCAAACCCGGGAGGGCATCCGGGATCTAGAAGACTGGATCGCCTTTCAGAAACAGGACACAGCCGACATTGCGGATGCGTATCGGCACAAAACGTGCCGACAAAGAAAGTCGGACGTGCGATCGGCGACGACGGCCACCCAATCCTCGCGCTGTCCCCGTGCCGACATATCCAGGGTGGAGCGCCCACGATTGAGCCAGAATGGAAGAGTCCATGAGGGTTTCTGGTAAACGGTTCAATCGCAATTGACGCAATGGACTCCCGGTTAGCAACATTGAGGCCATTACCGTCGGGTGCGTCCGATGCTAGCCCAGATCCTCCCGGGGAAGTGAGGACCGGCGATTCGGCACCCGAGTTTGGGAGATTCATCTAGAATTGCGACTTCCTTGACATTTTTTGGACTGTATTCTGAGCCAAGACCTTTTCTTAGGGATTTCACAGCCTATAGGTTAAGGCTAAGGTTGTCAACATGAAGAGAAATGCACCCATCACCGAAGCCAAGCCGATCGAGCAAACGCAGGCATCACAACAAACCCTACGCTCAGCTTCACCCTCCAGCGACGAAGATGCTACCACCACCAATACCCCATCCTCAACCGGGCCTAACCCCCAACCAAAAAACGACACCGACGCAGAAAGCATAGGCGGCCAACGCAACACAATGTCCCGTAAACGCATGCTCCTCGCCTTCTCCGCCCTCTCCGTCTGCCTCTTCGTCTCCTTCATCGACCAGACCAGCGTCTCGACCGCCGTCCCCGCCATCGCGGAGGACCTCGACACGGGAACGGCCACCTCGTGGATCGGGACGTCGTTTCTGATTGCCTCGACGGCGTTTCAACTCATCAATGGGCGCTTGTCTGATATCTTTGGCCGGAAGAATCTGCTGATGATTTGTTTGGTGTTGATGGCTGTTGGGGATGTGCTTTGTGGGTTTTCGAGGACGAAGGAGCAGCTTTTCGCGTTTCGGGCTGTTGCCGGGATTGGAGGGGGTGGGATCAATAGTATTGTTATGATTATTGTGAGTGATATCACGACGTTGGAGAATCGGGGGAAGTATCAAGGTAAGTTCAAAGTCCTGATCCAACATCTTTTTCATGGATTTTGACTGGAACTAACACACAGTTCAGGCGTCCTCGGCGCCGTCCTCGCACTTGCAAACGGCGTTGGACCCTTTGTCGGAGGCGCAGTCGTCCAAGAATCGACATGGCGATGGGTCTTCTGGATGGTCCCCATCATCAGCGCCCCAGCCGCCGTCACAATCCTCTTTTGCCTCCCGTTGAAGCATCGACCCGGAAACTACGGCGAAAAGGTCAAAAAGATAGACTATGGCGGCATCGCGCTCAACATGGCCTCGACGTTACTCCTCCTCATCCCACTATCTGGAGGCGGCGTGACATACCCCTGGTCCTCGCCCTTTGTCATCGCTGGGGTGGTCGTGGGCGCCGTGCTTGCGGTTCTTTTTGTGCTCTACGAGTGGAAGCTGGCGAAGCTGCCCATCATGCCTTTGCGATTGTATCAGGCGCCGCACTGCAGTGCGTTGTTCGGGCAGACGTTCCTCATGGGCCAGGCGTACTTTGGTAACTTATTTTACCTACCGATTTACTTCCAGTCTATCCTCAACTATGAGCCCCTTGTTTCCGGGGCGCTGATCCTCCCCGTCATTATCACGACTTCGGGACTGTCTATACTGTCCGGGCAGTATATGCTACGAGTGGGACGCTACATGCCCTGCATCCTCGCGGGCTTCTTTCTCTGGACGCTGGGAAACGGGCTCACTATCCTCTTTGACCGCGATACAGGCCTAGGAAAGCTGATCCCGATCCTCGTAGTCATGGGCGCGGGTATAGGGTTGACGTTGCAGCCTACGCTGGTGGGCATGTATGCAAACTCGCGCGCCGAAGACCGAGCCGTCACGACGGGCTTGCGAAACTTTATCCGGACTATTGGAGGCGCATTTGGGCTTGTGGTGTCCGGGGTAATACTGTCCAACACGCTGCGGCGGGATCTTCACGGGAAAGATTTTATTTCCGATGCGGTGATTGCGGAGCTCACTTCATCGACGTATACCTTGGACCAAGAGGGGTTTTCGGACGCGGAGAAGGCGGTGATATTGGAGGCGTATATGAAGGGGTTGCATTATATCTTTGTGTACTATGTCATTTGCTCTGGGTTGAGTCTGGTGTTGACTCTTGGGGTTGGGAATACGGGGTTGAAGGCCAAGAAAGCGGCGCCGTCTGAGGAGGCTTCGGAGGGTCCGAAGGGGGCGTCGGGGGTTGCTCCGGCGAATGACCAAGAGAAGGCGGGCGAGAGCTAAAGGCACGATGTGTTCACGATACACTTGCATACAACCTTAGGCATTCAAAAAACCATGGCAATGGGTGAGCGTCATAGCATCAGTGGCATTTGATGAATTTGGCTCATAATCAATGTCATAGAGGATCGCGTTACATTGAATCTTCACCTCACAACAAGCTCAAGGTTTCTTGTAGAGTTGCTTAGAGTGCGGATATCCGATTGACTTGCCGAGCATCTCATCGCGGAGCAGCGGACGTCAGCCCGACTCACATCCCGCAACTCAATGCTAAACTTGCCGTCCACGCCGTGCAAGCTATTCCCGGTCAAGACTCCGGTCAGAGATAGACCTGGGCATTACATCAACATGCATCCCCTCGTGCCCCTCGATCAATCTTGTTATCAGCAGTATCCCCACAGCCAACGATACCCCGTTCACAACCCCGCGCCTTATCACCACCCCTGGGTCGACGAAAATTTCCGAAGTACTCCAACGGTTCGATGTCATCCGATGGGGGACCACCATCCCTGTTGAATGTAACGCCTCCAACAGCTGGCATCCTTGCCCCCTCCAGACCCCGAGACGTGTGTGTGTGTGTCCGACGGCGACGTGATAACGCGCTGCACGCTGCAATGAGCTGGAGAATGAAGGCATCAGGTCTGATAGGGAGAGATTGTCTGCAGAATTCTTTGCTCAGTGCAGATAGCCGTGATAATGCGCCCCAAATAGCGGACTGCGTCGCCCGATGGACGATTGGCCGGTTGATTCTGGCCGATCGCAGTCTTGGTCTTGCTATTTGTACGCTTGATTAAGGTCGTTGACTCGAGATATGGACGGCGTGTCACTCAATATTTGCACCCTTGTTTCTGCGATTGACTTATTCTTGAGGCATCACTGAATCCTAAGAATCTAGTCGTCTTACCTGATCAACAAGTAATTCTTCATCATGCCGGAAGCATACCACGCCCACCCAGACTATGGCTACCCGCGCGACTTCAAGGGTTACGGCGAGAAAGGTCTCGCCTGCCCATGGCCCAACGACGCCAAGATTGCAGTCTCCTTCGTCATCAACTATGAAGAGGTTCGTCTGCTTAGTCCTAGCCCCCTCCATGATCTCAGGCGAACAAGCATAAAGGGGTACAACAGCTAACATAAGTACACCCACAACAGGGTGGCGAACGGTCAGTTCTAGCAGGCGACGGCGTCTCGGAAACCAACCTCCGCGAGAACCCCATGGGCCCCGCAAAGTACAACGAACGCAACTACAGCGTCGAGTCAGAATACGAATACGGCTCCCGAGCGGGCTTCTGGCGCCTCTTCCGCCTCTTCAACTCCCGGAAGATGAAGTTCACCCTCTACGCCGTCGCCCAGGCCGTCGAGGAGCAGCCCGAGGTCGCGACGCGGTGCGTGGAGGAGGGCCATGACGTCGCCTCGCATGCTTACCGTTGGATCGACTACCATGATGTTCCCATTGAGACGGAGAAGGAGTATATTCGTAAGTGTATCACTTCGCTCAAGAGTTTGACGGGGTATGCGCCCAAGGGATGGTACTACGGTCGTAATTCGCCGCACTCACGGACGCTTGTGCCGCAGGTATATGAGGAGATGGGGGAGGATCTTGTGTGGGCGAGTGATACGTACGCTGATGATGTGCCGTACTGGATTGATCTACCCACTGAGCGGGACAAAGCTGATCCAAAAGGGTGTCTGATGGTGCCGTACAGCTATGACTGTAATGACTTCAAGTTCCACGTCACGGGGTCTGGCTTCCGCGACCCACAGGGATTCTACACGCATTTGAAGAACGCGTTCGATGTGCTGTACGAGGAGGGTCAGGAGGGTATGCCCAAGATGATGACGATTGGGCTGCACTGTCGTATTGTTGGACGGCCGGGCAGACTGGCTGCGTTGAGGGACTTTGTGGATTACATTGCGAAGAAGGAGGGCGTTTGGGTTGCTACGAGGACGGAGATCGCAGAGGCGTTCAAGGCGAAGTATCCGTATAAGAAGGGACAGTTAGCATAAGGGGACGATGCCGGTGGTATTGATAGGGTGTGCGTATTCTGATGATTCATGAAAGCTTCTTCGATTCTTTACGTTTCCCGTGATCTGTTGAATCTGTCTCCTAGACCGCTCCAGCACCTCCCTTTCCCAACCTGCTCCCCAACAGCCTAAAAATGAGCTAGTCACATCTGTTCATGAAGTGAGAACAAGCTGGGGTCATGGATAGGCAACCCAAAAAGTTGTAAATATGATTCGGAGCAAAAGAATGATCAGTGGGAGGCTTGAACTCCCGACCTTGGCATTACTCAACATTCCTGATGAAATATTAGTACCACGCTCTAACCAACTGAGCTAACCGACCCGCTGGTGATGACTAATCAGCCGATGGGAAATCTGAGGCTATTCGCATACTGTGGATCAAGCACTGGCTGCGGTGAGCGGTGATCAACGCAGACCCGACCCCAGGAAGCGACGAATCTGCCTTGTGTTTCGGCACTGATCAAGAAGAGGCATGAAATTTGGTTTCAGATAGAAATCCAGGGCCTTTCATCGATGGCAAAGAGTCGGCACGCTCTTTGGTTTCAGATAGAAATCCAGGGCCTTTCATCGATGGCAAAGAGTCGGCACGCTCTTTGAGCCTTGGCCATAGGAAGACTTGATAAATCGGTTTCGAAATTGTTTATTGAAACCTATCTATCCTAGTTGCCTTCAATGGGTATCTTCTTCCGAGTCTCTTTGTATTTCCGTTTCTTTGACGTATTCCAATTAGATTAATGAGTAGATGGGTGAGTACGGAGTAGTAGAACGGCCGTGTGTTTGAGGCTGCGTTGGGTCTTGGACAGAATAGAAGGTTGAAAGAGTGAGCCAAGTCTTAAGATCCTTTATCTAGATAGTAAGGATCAGAAATCTCGAGGGACAGATCGTTGAGGCAATTGAAGGGTTCGGATGGGCAGGGTAGATAGAGTGTTTGAAACGAGCACCTGTGGTGTTCTCAAAAGGCCGCTCCTCGTTAGCGCCCCGAAGAAAGAAGCAATCGTGAAAGCCAGTAATTTGCAAGCACGAGCGCGATCACTTTTCCAGGCTGTAGCATTCCGATTCGAGCAATCTCTCTCATTCAGCCTAAACTTCCGAACCCGCCAGAGTCCCAATTGGAGTCCATTACGTCTCGATCTGTGCCTTGTTCAAGCTCTTCCGTGAAGCCCAACTCCAGTCCGGGACTTAGGTAAGTACCATCTGGTTGACCTGCTTGATCCTTCCTTTCTTGAACCTGCCCGGACCTAGAAGAATGGTCAGGATGTACCATCTCATTGAACATTCTCCAGCCCTGCCACCCACCCGGCGCTTCCTCGTCTACCTCCATGAACGCTTCTTTCACAGCATCAGAAATCGCATGGGCCACAGATGATGTTTCCTCTGCTCCATTGCCTTGACCCATAGCTATGAGCCCAGAAGGCTTTACGGGCGCCATCTCCGGACACACCATCGAATCCACTCCTAAGTCAACATCGAGAGGCTTTGATCTGTCGTCTGGGCCCGTGAGCGGATCAACAATTATCTTGAATAGGCTCCCCGAGAGAGCATCAAAAATATCGCGGTACTTTACCGCACCGCGAAACTTCTCACCAAAGATTGTTAGGGACTGGGAACATGCCCGCGTGGCTTCAAGCGTGTCGTACGAGAAGAGAATGTGGTCCCTCCATATGCAGTATACGAGCGTCAAGCCAGCGATGAAACATGAGTGCAAAGCCATCATGGTGTAGCTGAGCGTCTTTTGCTGGTTGAGGCGCTTGTAAGCTGTGCAGACACAGGCGGCGGATCGGGCGGTAGTGAGGAACCTCGAGTCGGAGGTATTAAGTGCTGGAAGGAGGACGGTGTAGAGCGACAGGACCGACTTGTGGTACTGACTATTTTCCTTGTCAGTGCCTTCTGCTATGGTGCAGCTAAGAATGGCAGAAACACTTACAGGTTGAAGAAATCTCTTGAGTCATGATAAGCGCTTTCTGGGTCGTACATCCAGCTTATTGTACCGGCGTCTTTGGGCGGATGAGGAACCGTTCTCACCCATTCATCGAGTTCGGCTCTGATATCTCCCATCTTCGAGTCAAGTCTTGCTCGATCTTCCCTGGAACCTGAAAAGACGTCTTTGTCGACACGATAAACTCGATGATGAATCTTGGACTGTATTCTCCGAAGCTTGATTATGTGGATGAAAGGCTTCGTGTTTGACCAGGGAAGGTCCGATGTACTTGACGGGTCCTTCAGTGCTGTCAAGTTCCAGAACTCCAAGCTTTCATTAGGAAGCTTTATGGCTGTCAATGATCTATTTTTTATATCGGTCTCTGTCATATCTTACCTCGGTGTTGATGTCTCTATCGGCGATGGCGAATGTACGTCCAAGCACCACACTCGTCATACGGTCCAAACAGTAACATGACCAAAAGACGCGCCTACGGATCTCGAGATCGCGTGGATTATGAGTAGAGGTATTGGACTGCTTTCGATGTAGACCTAGCTCTATGCAGAGAGTAACAGCGTACCGCACCTGGGACCATGCACCGGCACCGTAGGGGCTTCTAGTTCCATGAACGGCGAGGAGGAGCAGAAATTGCACAGTGGCTAGATTATGCTGTTCCAGGATGTAGTCCATCGGCTCAAGGGCCGCCGCGAGATGTTTCTGACAGCGACCATGTTAGATTCATAACGACAAGCTTTCCTTGTAGGAGGTTCTGACCTGGGGATCAACTTCACATGGCTTCTTCGTCAACTGTAGGAACCTTGCGGATATGGCGTATATCAGGTGCATGATGCTTCGGTGCTGTAAAGACAGGGCTCCGTGATTGTATTGCTTCTGGAACCACTTAGTGTACAGTTTGCGATCTAGAATAGGCCATCGCGTATGAAGCCGATCGAAGAAGACGTCGAACAGCACCCCTGCTTGATCAGGGCACGGAAACTCGGACTGGCATTCCTCTGGGCTAGAGGAGACCGATATTTTGCGTTGCGATTTCGTCGAATCTGATGCAATAGTTTGATTAGTTGTCATAGCATCAAGCGCAGTTTTACCGCCTGAGCTGTGAAAGATGGAAGACTGAAGCATGCGCGCAATAGTTGCGCCGGAGCTTGATCCTAGGTAGAACGGCTCTGGTGCAGTGTCTGTTGTGCCAGATGCGCATAGCGACAAGTATGCAACACCGTCAACAAGAGAGGACGGCTCACCATCCGACAGTGAGCCTCGCGAGTTTCTGCGAGGACATTTAGTCTCAAGTTCCAGTGGTAATTGCACGGAAGATGTCTTGATAAAGTGATCTTCTGCATAATCTGGCATCCGGGCCTCGAGAAATGCGATTCTCTCTTCTAGTGCACTGATGTATCTGGGGCTCTTGTAAATATCCAATCTTAGCAGCACGAAAAGAAAGACTTGCAGTGATTTCCCGCCAGGATAGTGCGGCCTCAGTGCTCGTTCGTAGACACACGACGAGTTGGACTTGACGCAAGACCTGCAACTCGGATGCGCGCCATCGCACTTCCATGTCGTGTTCAGTCACCAAATGAACATGCGTGATCTAGTTAACTTCAACGACTTACACGTTGCTTTCTTCTCTTGCATCGCTTGCAAGCCAAGGCCACCCTCGACTTCCGGGTCTGCGGCACCGGGGCCAGTGGGACGGTGCGGGGACTCACGGGACCATCCGGGTTGAAGCCGGCCGACGTGGAGTCGATCATGTCTACGGGAGACGTCTTGCCCAGCATGCTCTCGGTCCGAACGTGGGCAGTCATTTCTAGTATTCTCCTGACTTTGCATGTATGTATGGGTAGATTCTGCAATGAGAATGCGAAGTAGAAACTTAGGAAGATTTCGAGCCGAAGTAGAATGTGTCAAGAGAACACCTGCAAAGATCCTCCGCAATCGCAACCGGGGGTGTCATTGGACGCACTCATACAGACGCAAGCATGAGATGTATGGGTCGTTGGGAACATCGAAGTACTCAAACTCCAAAACCCCCTAGATAGCACGTGGCCTAGGTATTCATCATGAGAGCTTGACCTTAAGATTTAGTTTGGCGATGATGGTTAGCGTCATGACCCGGCTTTTCCCCAGCTCGTATCTATCTTGAACTCGTACACAAACGTTTGTATCAGCCAGAAGCTCAGTCGTTATGCTGCGTTGTTGGCCCGTTCTCGGGAATAAGCACTGAGCAGCTGGGATTTTCTCTCCCCCAGCGATATACCCTCACTCCGGCCTTGAGTGATACGTCAATGTCGGTAGTTCCCTCCCGACGACAGCGTCTTTGCCGGATTGGGATACCTATTCGGACGTCCACCGCAGATAAGACCAACGGCCGGCCACCGCCTTATCTTGGTGGATCATCCCCGAGACCAGGTCCCCGGCCCATCCATCTACATGCCAAGCACCACTCTCCGCATATGCCATGCCAAAGTCTTATCATCATGTACTAGGTAGCTCATGATTACACAGCTCTCTGGGCTCGCGTGGCGACAGGCTGTTTGTCGGTTGGAAAGTCGCCGACAAATGAAGAAACTATGATCAGGGTTGCAATAGAGCTCATGCGTGAGAAACGGGCCTCTAATATGGACGACAGCCCTCACGGTTATAGAGGGAAGAAGAATGGGGATGTAAATTTCCATGAAAACATGTCTTTTTGATGATTGCCAGGGTTCTGATAGTGTTAATCACCACAGGTTCTAACCATGGCGCGCTTCCGTATACCAACGAGGGGCGAGATGACCGCGCCCTTCCAATCAAAAGGCGCCTTTGTAGAATGGATCAAGGCCCCGGAAACTCACGAAGGACGAACTCAGGTCGGAGACTCTAGGTGGTCGAACAAGGATCTCGAGCCGACGCCGCCAGAACAAAGAACATGGACGTGGTACAATTTACCATTGTACTGGTTTTCAAACATGTTTGGAACGACTGGGTGGAATGTCGCATCTTCGCTCATCGCTGTGGGTTTGGTGAGTAATCAAAACATACAATCATTGAGCATGTCCGCTCACACAACCAGACATGGCAACAAGCCTTCGTCTCCTGCGTACTCGGCTCACTCATATCCGCCATCATCGTTACTGGTATGGCGAGGCCTGGCGTAATGTACCACCTTGGATAGTGCGTTCAAGCCCTTCTCCCGTGTGATGTTTGCTGACCTGTGTTCAAGCCCTGTTCTTGCACGCTCGGTGATGGGTATGTATGGCTCGTACTTCTTCATCTTTATCCGAGCAATCGTTTGTATCATCTGGTACGGTATCCAGACCTACTACGGCGCGAACCTGCTGTCCGTCTGCTTCCGCTGCATTTTTGGGAATAGCTGGGACAACTGGCCCAACATGCTTCCCGCTGGTGCCGACGTCACTTCAAAGCAGCTGCTGGCGTTCTTTCTCCTTTGGCTGGTTGAGTTCCCGTTTGTGAGTAAATGTAGTATGCGACCCTTTAATGACATGCATTCCCTGACATTGACGGCAGACCTGGGTACACCCAACTCACATTCACTACATCTACACCGTGAAAGGCTTCATCATGCCATTCGCGTGCTTCGGACTCTTCGGCTGGTGCATGTCCTACGGAACCGGCATCTCCAATATTGGCGCTGCATCTGTGGCAGGCGCATCAGCAGCAGCCAAGACGCCCGTCGGCTGGGCTATCATGAGCGGCATCAATGTCATCATGGGTTCTCTTTCGCCAATGCTCGTGAACCAACCTGATCTCGCGCGATACTGCAGAGAGCCTCGGGATGCCGGTTGGCTCCAAGGGGCATGTGTCTTCTTCGCCAAGATCCTTGTCTTCTTCCTTGGCCTGGCTTCGACTACCTCGTTGCAGGGCGCCTGGGGCAAGGCCTACTGGAATTTGTGGGATCTTCTCGATGCTATCCTTGACCATTACTGGAATCCGACCGCCCGTGCTGGTGTCTTCTTTGTGTCGTTCAGTTTCATTCTCAGCGTGCTGGCAACGAACTTTGGTGCAAACTCGCTGCCTTTTGGCGCGGACATGACTGGATTGTTTCCCAGGTATTTGACGATCCGTCGAGGCCAGATCATTTGTGCGATCCTCGGTATCGTTGTCTTGCCGTGGAAGCTTATTGCGAACGCGTCTGCGTTCATCTCATTTCTGGGAAGCTACAACATCTTCATGGCCCCCCTATGCGCTGTAAGTACTTGAACGCCCAGTCTCAAGAACATATTGCTGACTTTCACCAGATCATCATTTTTGACTACATTTTGGTTCGAAAGGGTAATATCCATGTGCCGTCGCTGTATAATGGCTCTAAAGAGGGCCTCTACTGGTTCAAGTCTGGAGTCAACTGGGTCGGGGTGTTTGCCTGGATCGGCGGTACGGCAATGGGATTGCCCGGCCTCGTCGGGCAATACCAGCCTCAGATTGTCAGCCAACCGGCCAAGTACATGTACATGATGGGCTGGGTGTTGACGTTCTTTACATCGGCCATCTTGTATGCTGTGCTAGTGCAGTTCTTCAAGGCCAAGGTGTATCCTCCGGGCTACGAGAATGCCCCGGTGGACTACGAATGGCTGGCGAAAGAAGGCCGGGATGGGTTCTTTGAGGGCGAAAGGGAAGGCGAGATTTATGCGCCGCCATCTCCGCGCATTGACGAGGCTGAGGAGTTGCACTTGGGAGAGAAAGTGCAGAAATTGGAGGCCTAATCGTGGTTTCCTAACGATTAATAGCTGTCGAGAACTTAATCCCCCGTTTACTCCTACTCTGCTTTTGAGATGAAATAATTGTGGACGAGATCTTAGTAGAAGGAGGAATGTTAGTAGCAATAGGTATCGTGGTATTATCAGTGACAGTATAAGAAGAACTACAGTAGTGGTAGAAGATGTGAGAACGTCTCCAGGGACAGGAATTCCTGCCAACTACTTGGCATCCTCTTGCTTTCATGTTGCCATGATGTGACTGGAGAAGCTGCCCCCAAGCCGCACCGGCCAGCCAGCAAAGGCAATTCGTTGCGTAAATCAGCGGGTCACCCTCGGCTTCTCAAAAGGTAAGCACTGGAGTTCCGGGCGACAATGTTCAGAGATCACGCCTCATTCGGTGAAAAGGTTCCGATTCGGACGTGTCGCAATCTGCTCTTGGAGGCGTAGGCGGAGATATTGCGGGGGAAACAAACGCGGCGGCGGGTCTGAAGCCGACGATAACGGCCTGCGGGGTTGGAGTACCAGGGATGGCCCCTCTTACGGCCGTTGGAGTCACCGGAAAACATCTTTGAAATAGCCGGATTGCCTCCAGATTACTCCAACTCTTGAGAACCCCACGACTTTGTTCATGTTCTCTTCCCGTTTCCTAGACTCTGCAAACTCGAGAGTTACCTCCTTAACCTCTGGAACTCAGAACAGCTACCGTACCAGAATCATTCACGAGGCTCTTGAGTGCATACCCTGGACAGAGTTCACTGCAACCGTGGCGCTCTGACTCTGCTAGTACCCCGCCTTCTTGTTCTAGATCGTCTCCCACTCCGAGGAACTTGACGAGTTTGTATTGTTGTCAAAACGGTTAACTCTCCTATATCTTTTCTCGGCAATAGAGCAACGGCAATACCATCACAGAATGGCAGTTGAACCGTACAGACTTACGGCGACCCAGGCGTCAGCTAAGATCCGGGCTGGGGAGTTGACTGTGGAGGAGTACGCGCGCTCGCTCTTGTCCCACATTGGGGAGAGAGACCCAGTAGTCAAAGCTTGGGAGTATTTGAACCCAGAACAGGTGATTGCACAAGCGAAGGCAATGGATGCGATACCGCCAGAGAAGCGCGGACCCCTACACGGCGTTGCGATCGCAGTCAAAGACGTTATCTACACAAAGGGTCAGAGAACATTTGTCTGTGATTCTACAAGAGCACTAACCGTAATCTAGATATGCCAACACAGCACGGCTCTCCAATTTACGCTAGAGACGCCCCCAAAGTCGATGCGGGTTCCATCATCATTCTGCGACAAGCCGGCGCGCTGCTTCTTGGTAGGTCCATGCTGATAATTCAACCCTAGCGATGCGATACTAACACTAGTAGGCAAAACAACCACAACCGAATTCGCAGCGACGGTTCAAGGCCCAAAGACAGTGAATCCGCATGGTACAAACCGGACGCCTGGTGGCTCCTCGTCAGGATCAGGCGCCGCGATTGCGGATTTCCAAGCGCCGATCGGCCTAGGCACCCAAACTGGCGGAAGCACGATCCGCCCAGGATCTTTCAATGGCATCTACGCCCTGAAGCCGACATGGAATTCCATCACGCGCGAGGGTCAGAAGATTTACTCATTGATCCTAGATACCCTCGGTTTCTTCGCCCGTAGTGTCGAAGACCTGCAATTGATGGCCGATGTCTTTGACTTGAAAGACGACGAGCCCCCGAAGGACACCTTCGCTGTCAAGGGCGCTAAGTTCGCTCTGTTGAAGACGATGGTGTGGCCTCAAGCTGGACCTGGCACCCAGTCCGCGATGACAAAGGCGGCGGACCTTCTCAAGGCTCACGGAGCCGAGGTAGAAGAGATTGAATTCGATCCTGAGCTTCAGGAGCTACCTCAGTGGCATGCGACTGTGTTGCACAGCGACGGAAGATCCGCTTTCCTGCCCGACTACCGCGCTGCCAAGGATCAACTTCACGAGTTCTTGATTTCGCATGTTGATAACACGAACAAGATCAGTAGAGCGGAGCAGCTAGAAGCGTTTGACAACATTGCCATCGCAAGGCCCAAGGTTGACAAGATGCTGGGCAAGTATGATGCCGTTTTGGTGCCTAGCGTCGTTGATGAGGCGCCGGAAGGAACCTCGAGTACCGGAAGTGCAGCTTTTAACGCTCCCTGGACTGTGGGTTTCTCTCGGAACTAATTTCCATATGGCATTGCTAACGAAAGTAATAGGCGCTGCACGTTCCCGTCGTCAACATTCCTGGCTTTGAGGGTCCGAACGGGATGCCCGTTGGTGTTTCTCTTGTAGCCCCCAGGTACCATGATCGTCATCTCTTGGTGGTCTCCAAAGCGGTCGGCGAGATCTTCGAGGCTGAGGGAGGCTGGAAATCTGCTTTATAATTATGAGCCATAAAGCATCTGCGACAAGTAGCCTCTTATGCTCTGTAGGATTCCTGAGCTTCGGTAAAGCCGCTCAGCATATGTTGGCTGTTGTGGTTAGGGTTTGAAGACTGCGGTGTAGATATTTAATTATTTCATAATCTGATTACCCATCTATAAGCTGTAACGGGATCGACCGAGCGGGGTCAGCTCTACGCAGTGGGATCGTTCAGGGTCAACAAGAAATACAACGCGGAGGCTTCCAGTGCCACTGCCGCCACTGTTGTCGTCTTCAGACGTTGATGTTGTTGCACTAAGGTAGAAGATGCCTGCACGTCATCCACCTTTCCCCGTTGCGACCTCTAGAATAGGTCGGTATCAATAACGTCTGTCTGGCAACGCCCTCCCCAGCGCTGCCAACACAAGCGCATGTCAAGTAGGCCACGCTGCTCTCGTCGTATGGAGACTTAAAGCGCTCTAGTAGAAAGGGCTGAGGCTGTCTTGATTGTCATCCCGCTTCTCTACAGCCTTTAACTGTCCCCGGCGACTCCAATAAACCGCTGAATAGAATTCCGTCTCTTCTCCCTGCCATGCGGATGCGTACTTGAGTTGAAAGTAAACGGAAATGCATACAACACTGGGAACTAGCTGCTCATTTGCGGCCTATGTACTTAATAACCCGGCCTTGGTAGGAACCTTCTATGGAGCAGTGACTTCCCTTTCGGGACAGTTTTCAGAACCATAAAGTCGAGAACGCTGCTCCTGTGTTATGGTATTGACGACTGTGGCACAAGGTCGCTGATAAAGCACTGCCTAAAAGTAGTTGACAAACCGTTCATCTGATATTTGCCGTTCCAGTAATTGAGCAAGGGACATCTATCAAACGTCTGCAACTCCATCTCCCTAAAGTAAAAGGGGGCGAGAAAGAAGAAAAGAAGACCACACAATTACGTGTATCAAATAGGCGAGAAAGATTTCCATGCGGCCATGTTTGGGTCAGCCAATAGCTTAGCCTGTCAGGCTGCCTATCAGGTTGCCTGACATGGGGGGCTATGCTTGACACTATCACTCAAAGCCACCACTAAATTTCCAATGGCTGAGACTCAGCCGCCAGTCAGAGCTGCTGATTCGATGCCGACATATCAGGCTCAAGCATAGGCAAGCTTCATTATTCACCATATCCTCTCCCGGCGTCAATAAACGATGTATCTCTTCAAGCAATGAAAGGCCAGTCCGCCTGCCCAATCAGGCGACCCAATAGGTATATATACCTGACACTATCCCGGCCTACATAAACCAGGAGATGTTCTCCAATCTGCGGTGGCTACCTCCTACTTTCAACTTACACAGCACCAAAACGATCGTACTTGATCATTGGTCAACACTCCGCGCAGGCATGTGCTGATGCCATTCTGTGCTCGATGAGATGCTGCTTTTCAACGTTGCAGGCCTGATTTACAAAAGCGAGACCGAGCAGAGTTGCACTTGGAGCTTAGAAAGCATGGCGGAGATCAAGCGGATTTGCTTTGCAGGCGGATGTAATTTCAACATAGTTCTTAGGACTAGTAGTTCCTAGGATCACGATTAACTCTCGAAACTCCGATCTCCGCCACTCAGGTAGCCATCCATCGACTACCTGGCGGATGTCAATTACAAATTCTCTGTCAGCCGTGAAATTTGATGCAATGCATTCTCAATTGATTGTCAAACTTTGCTGAATTTCTCAAACTTCGAACATTCCGGCTGAAAATATCTCGCCGCGGGCAGGCATGACATTTAGGATCGTGAGAAGTTATAAGAGCTCGGGCGTCTGTAGAGTTGAAAAGTAGCATGAAATTACCGTATGTCAACATCCCCTTGAGTAAAACTCCATCATGTCGTCCATCCCTATTACACAGAGTGCAGCAGTGCTTGAGCAGCACGGCAAGCCTCTCGTTGTTGTTAAAGACAGACCCATTCCAGAAGCCATTCCTGGAAGTATTGTTGTCAAAGTCCTCGCCACGCCACTCTCGCGTTACGCAAAAACCGCATTCGACGGCACAATCTCTGCTCCCCTCCTCGATCCGCCCTTTGTCCCATGCCCGAGAACTCTCGGGTACGTGCACAAGGTTGGCAGTGGCACCACATCCTTCGAGGAGGGGGATTTGGTGCATGTCGAGCCTGTAGTCACGGCTCGCGATGATCCGAACGTATTCATCATGCAAGGCCACGTCAAGGGACCGCCTGGCGATAAGACCGACAGATTGGCCGAAGGAGAGTTTCGCGACGGTGCTCTTCAGCAGTATCAGCGCGTTCCACTCGAAACCGCATACCGTATAGACGAGAAACTCATCAGAGAGTTAGGCGTCGACCTGATCAACCTCGTCTCCATTAGCACGTTTTCTCCAGCCGCCGGGGCTATCTTTGAGTCAGCGAAGCTCAAGGTCTGCGATACAATCATCATTGGGCCATCAGGCGGATCGTTTGGTGGAAGTGCTGTTGAGTTGGCCTTGGCAGTAGGAGCAAACGTCGTTGCGCTTGGACGAAATGCAGAGTTGCTACAAGCCATGAAGCAGAGCTTAAAATCTTCTCGGCTTAGCACCGTTCTCATGACGGGTGACATCGATACCGATGCCGCTGCCATTCTCGCGGCCACACCTGGCGGTGGAGGGGCGGACATTTACAATGATTGGTCTCCAGGCGGCGTCACCGTCGCTCCCTTTCTGCCATCGGCTATTCGCGCACTCAAGCCAGGCGGGCGGATCGTAGTCAGCGGTGGAGCTTACGGCTTCTTGGAGATCCCGTATATATCAATGGTGTTCAGTAGGCTGTCGGTCGAAGGCTCGTTCATGTGCAACCGCGAGTCTATGATAAGACTGATTCATATGATTGAATCAGGGCAGCTTGATATCAGCACTGGAAGTGGTACTCAGGTTCGAAAGTTTGGACTCGAGGAGATTGGCAAGGCCACCGAAATTACTGAGGAAACAACTCGATGGAGGAGCCACACTGTTGTGACTCCTAATCAGGTCGACTAGCAGCTTCATGGTGTTTAGCATCACCTTCAGAGTCTTAGGCTTGATTGAAACAATTTCATTTTCATCCAGACGACTTCCATGTCCTGAGAAGATTAAGAATGGCAGCTCTTATACACAGAGAAGAGAGGATAGAAAGACTTCATTCTTTATTTGCTTCAGTAGTTGTATGATTGTGCATCGGCCACTCCCCCATGCTCACCTTATAGCCCCCAGTCCAGCGCCACATTTCCCGGGTTCTAAGGATGCAGTGCAACGCTGCTGCCTGATTGGGTAATCTTACATCTCCAAATCCTCACTGTTGTCTTTCAACTTCATTGCAATCTTCCTGTCGACTGGGCATTCATCCCCAATACTCCCCAACCGCAAAGAGGCTGAATGAGACAATGTCACTAACTACAATGGCGAGACCAAACGAAATAGACGAGACCTTCTCAAACCTGGCCCTAGACCCCTCATCACCACCTCTCCCACTCTTCACCAAACCCGCAAAGTCACCTCTCCGCACCCTCTTCACCCGCAAATCCCCTCTCCCTCTCCAAACCACTGTCCTTCCTTACATCCCCCTCAAACAACACGAAGTCCGCCTCGTCAACCTCCACGCAGGATCCCCCTCCTCCCCAATAACCCTCACAACCGAAATAACTGCCCTCCCATCAGCAAAATACACAGCCTTCTCCTACGTCTGGGGAGACCCCTTCGACACCCTTCCCCTCCACGTCGACAACCACCTCTTCCACGCTACGAGAAACCTTCACTCCGCCCTCCAGTACATCCGCCTCTTCCTAAAGCCATCGCAGATTGTCCCACTATGGATAGACGCGATCTCTATAAATCAGTCAGATATCGCAGAACGAAGCCAGCAGGTCTCGCAGATGCGGGAGATTTATACTTCGGCTGACCTAGTTTTAACCTGGCTCGGTCCGGATCTCGCCCCGGGGCTAACGTACCTCCGCGAACTAGGCGACCACGCCCTCGCCGTCTCTCAAAATCGTAAAGAACCGCCGAAACTTCTTCCTAGCCACGTTAAAGACCGGTATACTACAATCCGGGAAATTGTCAGGGTCTTTCAATCTACCTACTGGAACCGAGTCTGGACGGTACAGGAGTACACTGCCCCCACCGACCTTGGGGTCTTCCTCTCTGGTACGGCGTGGATAGATCGTACTGCGTTCCTACCCGCCACGATTCTCTATACGCAAGCACTGCACTGGCTCAGGGATGGCTTGCGGAGGCGGGGCGCTGATGCCTCATTCGTGGACGCGACGCTTGCGAGGGTGAAGAAGGTTGTTCATGATCTCAAGATGAGCTATGCGCGGATGGCGGAATCCAATGACCTTATCAGAATGTCTGCTGAGACAAAGGTCTCTTCTAAAGCTGAGGGAGTTGGCCAGGTTAAATCAAGGCATAGGGAGACCTCAACGGCTCGCAGGTTCAATCTCATCAGCCTCCTTTTGCGTTTCCGCGATCTTCAAGCTACGGACCCGCGAGACCGCATTTACGCGCCCTTGAACCTCCTCGATCACGGTGCCAGGAAGGATCCCATCATCCCCGTCAATTACTCACTCACTGTCAAACAACTCTACATCTCCGTCGCCAAAAGCCTTTTAGAAAACAAAGACTACTGGCCTCTAAGCATTCTTGAAATATGCCGCTTCGGATCATCCGATCTACCGTCGTGGGTGCCAGACTGGCAAGTCCTTCCGAGAAAGGTCCTTTCGCGGGACGTCACCACAGGAGAGCAAGTTCTCTGTGCGAGTAGAGGATACCACACCAACACCAAGCCGTGGGAGATGTTGGATGAGGCTCGGTTGCAAATCACGGCTATGCAGGTTGATGTTGTCACGGAAGCATGGGAGGCATTTGATGCGCTAAGTGTGCCTCGAACAAAATCTTATCCGACGTACACCCTCAGAAACCCCAGTGAAAAGTACGCAATCGGGGAACAGACGGTGTTGGAAGCCTTCCACGGGCTAGCAGGAATCGAACCGAGATCGGAAGATGATGAAGAGGTGGAAAGTTACTACCAGGAGGATTGGCATCGCAACACAGGGATGATGAGCCGTTTCAATCGCCGCCGTTTAATCCGTACTAAGCACGGCCTTGTCGGTCTGGCTCCAGCTGAAGCCGTGCAAGGGGATAAGATCTGGCTGGTCCCCGGCGCAAACATGTTCTACATCTTCAGGCCTGTTGCAGACGACGGAAGTCACACGCTTATCGGTGAGATTTACTTCCAAGGTCTCATGAATGGAGAAGCACGGGGTTTCCTAGGCGATGCTAGAAAGCGAACTGTCATTACACTCGTTTAGGGTATAGCTTCTATCATGAAAAGGACCGACCCAATATCTACAAACTTTTCCCATTTTCCGCATTAGATGTGCAGCAGTAACAGGATTCTGCACCACGACTTATCATTGACCACTCTTCTCCTCCCACTGCCTTAATCAACGACTCAAGCCCACTTGCCGAGCACACTCATGATGATCATGCCGGCGATGAGACCGAAGAAAGCAAGGGTCGTAACGATCGGGCCAGTGCTTAGGAGCTCTGCGCCAGGAAGCATCCAGTCCTCGGCCCACATCTCCACAACACCAACCCAGACGAGGATACCGGCCGAGAGCGCGTCGAGGGTTCCGATGGCGATGATGGTGTCGCGGTCGTTGCCGTTGAACTGCGAGAGGACGCCAATTCCAATGGCCATTCCGATGGGTGTGACGAGCGCAAAGGGAGAAGCGAGGGTGAGCTTCTTGACCAGGGAGAAGCTGGGCTTCTTCAGGGAGTTGAGGCTGCCCTCAGCGGAGGCGGTTTGCTCGACTTCGGCTGGCGTACTCGGGGCAGGACGCTCTGTCATTTCAGCCGGGGTCGGCTGACCGAGCTGGGCGATGCGAGTGCCAAGTGCGATACCCTCAAACATCTGGTGGAACAGAATGACAACAAAGAGAGTCAGGAAGAAGGTGTCACCAGCCACAACAAGGGTGATACCAATCACTGTTCAATCCTTTGTTAGTGTGCTACAGTGAGGGGGTGATCTGAATGGGCAACATACAGATAGAGTGAAAGATGATACCGCACTCAAGGACCAGGACAGTGACTGTCTCGGGGGAGAATCGGGTCATCGCACCAGGATTGGCGGCCATCTTTGCCAGGACCATGCGCTTTCCAATGTACTCGACCAGGAAAGACAGGAAGATACCAGCCATAACAATCGCAGAGGTGGTTCCCTCGTAGCCAAGACTGCCCAGACACTCATTGCCAAACATGAGCTGGGCGTGGGTGTACAAATGGATGAAGGCGGTGGAGATGATGATACCTGTGCCGAACTGCTTGAGAATGAGGAAGATGGTGTGCGTCTTGGTGGGCATCCACTTGATCATGAAGATGGGGAAGTAGACTCCGAAAGCGCTAGTGACCAGGATTACGAAGAGAAGACCGACACGCAGAGGAATGTTATAGTCGCGTGTAACCTTCTCGCAGCTCCTTGTGCCGCTGCTCTCGCTCTCGCCTGCGCCAACGCAGTGCTCGACACCGGCGTGGAAGTGGCAGTTTTCTCCCTGAGGTTCTTCTCCACTGGTGTCGTCGTGATCGGAAGACTCGGCGCCTTCGGCAACAATCTCAACATCATCTCCATTGGGAGCGAGACAGTAAGTATCAGTGCCGTGGGCGTGACAATCAGTGAAGGCCGTCGGTATCGCTGAGGCGGCAGTGTTGGTAGGCGTTGTCATGACCTGGTATTCCGTAGTACCCCACATACAGAAGCTGGAAAGCTTGTTAGCGAATCTTGATAATACCAAGCAGATGGAAGTGCTTACACCGTGACCCCGTGAAGGTGGCAGTCAGACACTGCCGTTGGTGCGCCTGTCGCAGCGGCAGCAGCCGTCGTCGAAGCAGCGGTGGCAGCGGGCGCATTGGCGGCCACGACTTCCACTTCGCCATCCGGATAGAAGCAATACCTGGTGTCAAGAGTGTTAGAATGGGTGGCTGACATGGTATAGGGTGAGCTTACAAGTCGGTGGCATGCTTGTGGCATCCAGTGTATGAACTGGGCAGCGAGCCAGTAGGGGTAGAAACAACTGTGAACTCTGTGGTCCCAGCTTTGCAGATCCTGAAGTAAACGATGTATAAGTAGCTATTTGACAGTGAAAAAGCTACTGAGGGTTCTTACTGGGTAGATGAGGCAACGGAGCACTGAGAGATGGCCGTGGGATCAGACCCAGCAGGCGTGGTGGTGGTGCTAGCAGCCGTCTGACGTGCGACAAGGGAGGCCGAGGTAGTACTCAGAAGAGCCGCAACGGCGGCAGCGGGAGTGAACCTGACCATGACGTCTGAGTCTGGACTTCGAGAAAGCTGCCAGTGATAAGAGGGAAGCGAGCCTGGGCCTTGTCTGTGCTGAGATGGGCGGACAGGGCTGAAATTCTCCGGACGAAATCCAAGACAGGATGGTGATGCAGGAAGCGTCAAGCTGCGCTTATGGACAGGATGGTTCTCTACGGGATGTTTTATGGAAGAGAATTTGCGGTCGAGGTGGCGAGTTTGAATGACGACCTGTCAGGAGAGGTTATGAGAGTGAGCACCTTGAGAGAAGTGTCCAGGTGAGAAAGTCAATTCGCCGAGCCGGTATGTCTGGCCGGCGTAGTCTCTCAGGGTGATGAGATGGCGGATTAGAACGCGGAGGAGGAAGCAGGAAGTTTCTGCAGCAGGAGAACTTCTCAAGAGGGACAAGATGCCAGGGAGGCTGGAGGAAGAGAGGCGAGTACCAGGCGTAGGGTATTGCAAGTTGCGAAGTAAGCATGCGCAGGTTCGATTGAGGAGGGAGAAGAATGAAGACAGGATTCGATGCGACGGATGGGATCCCTGCCAGTTGGCCGTGTCGAATATGCGCGGATATGCCATCCATTGTTCTGCTTTTTCGGGTTCCCCTCCTGGGCGGATTGCTCACTTTTCTCCTAACGCAACAAAGCAATAGCTTCCGAGAATACATTGCCAGGCTCCTCTGTACGTCTCCACGACGCAAGCTTGTCTTTCATTGTCTTGGCCGTCGGCCGCGGCGGCTGACCCTGTCCTCGTCGGATGACTGTGAGCGTGGTTCCCCGTGGGCATGGCATCGTAGCTGGATGCAGCTTGCTGCGCGCCAATGACGGTCGAGGCAATTTTTCAGCCCACATCGATAGCATATTCCATAGTCAAATTGATATGGCATCCGCTGGGATGAGAGCCACCGCAGCCCGAGGGAACCATGGAAACGTGGGCATCACAAGCCCCTGTCGTCCAAAGTATACAGTAAGTGGACCGATGGTGTTTGTCGAGAGAAAAAGCGGGAAGCCAAAAGAGACGGAAAAAAGCATAAGACGACGCGGTCTGTTTGCCAAGGCTGAGAGACCCATCGCCAAGGCTGAGCACCCGGATGGCCAGCAATGGGCAGGAAAAGGAAGGAAGGGAAAGGCAGCAGCTGGCGAGATGGGAAGCAACGCTGATGGAGAAAGCCAAGACAGGAAGTCACGATGTCCAGTGGGTGTTTCCTGCTGTTGCCTCTGAGGACCCGCGCTGATTGGGCACAGACCAGCTGAAGTGGCTTAACGTCGGGTCCACATGCCTGTTTTCACCCGGTACGTACCGCCCACATGCCCCCCCACATGCACGTCAAACTAAGAACCTTGATGGCCTCTCCCAACGTCCCTCCTTTGCTTCTCTCAGTTCTCTCACTCACTTACTCACTCACTCACCCGCAGTCTCATCGCATTCACTCACGCACAAACTCACACCTGACTGTGGTTCATTTTCTCCTCCGACCTTGATGGTTATAAGTGGCGACAGCTGCATGCCAAGACTCCTATAAAGTAGGCCGGGTCGACCAACCCCCATCACGATGAGGCCTTTTCGAGGTTTTCTGCTTTGGCTAAGGGTCCTCGGAGCCTCTCGAGTTCAGCTTCCCATACTACGTAGTCCGTACCGGTCGTCAAACTTCAACGCCAAGATTGCCTTACTGCAGGCCCATAGGCTCGTATTGCAGAGGAGTCACCGTCCACAGGCACTTTTGCGCGCTCCTTCGGCCGATCTGACGTGTTGGCGCCTGTGAACCTCTGAATGACACATAGCATTCCCTCTGGCGAGGATCTATCGATGCTGGATGAGACGACTCTGGCTACCAATACTGCCTTGATGAGACCGGGCCGGAAGCAAGGCCGCAATCCCGGCTGGCTAGTAAAGACGATGACTCCAGACCGTTTCGTGATGTAGTCAGCCACACCGTGCTCAGAGAAGTCACCACCACTCCTGCAGCGCAGTCATGCAAAGACCAACGGTTGAAGATCCTCACCGGTGACATGACTAGCAGCATGCCAACGTTTCACGCATGGTTGCAGGTTTTGACTTCCCGCTGTCTAGACTCAAACCAGCCTGTCGGGTCTGTCACTACGTCCGTGCCTAAGCTTCTATGATGCAATGGGTGCAGCTCCAAATGTCAAGAATTAAGCCAGGACAGGGGCAGGTGTCTAGTGGTTGATGATCGCGGTCACGAAGTAGGGAAGACGTGTAGTCGGTGAATGCGTGTTTTGTTTCTATGCTACCATTAAAGCCCATCTCTATTTGGAGTGGAAGGGAAGGAATATGCCCTTAGGAGGCCCAGCTTCTCGAAATTTTCCCCGAGTTGGCCTGCCCGCTGTCCTACCACTGCCGAACCGACAGCCTACTCAGTGTATGTTCATGAATCCCAATTCGTGTATCCGTAAATGCTTGGAAGGCACATAATCCATTTTCTCGTCGACGAACCCCTTACAAAGCCATGACAGCGACAGCGATGGCAGCAGCACCAAACCCAGCGCGAGCAGCTCCGGCAGGAACGGCAGTAGAGCTGGGAGAAGCGCTACCAGCAGCAGTAGTGCCAGCGGCGCCAGTGGTAGCCGCAGCAGTGGTGGTGACAGCAGCGGATCCGGTGCCAGTAGCAGAAGCCGTGCCGGAGGCGGCGGTGGCAGCAGCATCGCAGTGCCTATTTCACGCGTTAGATCGTCTTGAAGCGGAAGGGAAGCCGGTGTATTCTGTGCTTACCAGTGGTCACCATGGGGCTCGCAGCCGACGGACTCAGTGGGAGAGGGAGCAAGGCTGCCGGTGCCGGAAGTGTGGTCGTCATCGTGGTCGTGGTCGTGGTCCTCAGTGGCAGTGGTGGTCGCGGCAGCAACGCTTGTGAGAAGGGTGGTTCCGCTGACGGCTGCGGCAGTGGTTGCGCGCGCGCCCTCGCAGTGCCTAGAGGTGTATGTGAGAATGGCTCCAACTTTTAACGGAAGTGGAAGTCTGACTTACCAATGGTCACCGTGAGGCTCGCAGCCGACGCTCTCCGTTGGTGAAGGAGCCAGGCTCTCGCTCTGGGCAAGAGCAAAGGCGGCAAAGCCGAGCATGGAAAGAATCTGAGAGGCCTTCATATTGATAGTTTCGGGTGGATGTCAGGCGAGCTTTGGTATGGATCAGGGTGACCGATCGCGAATGATTGTCAATAATCAACGAGTATATGCAGGCACAGGCGTGGAGATGAAGAAACTGTGAAAAGGCTGTGAACATGTGAGATTTATAAAGATGGTATTGTATTAAAGTGAATAAGCTACAAATGTCAACCGCCAAGACGAATCGCCCGAACCCCAGGCGCGGAGTGAGCATCAAGGCGTCAAGGTAAGAAACTCCTAGCGAATCTTGGCACGAAAAGAAACACAATTACGAAAATTGATTGATCTTTCCAAGGCGTTGGTTGGTTGTTTTTCTGTTTGCAACTCAGTTCAGCCAGGCCAGTTCGCCAAGAAACTACGCAAGTCAGGTTATTCGCGGAGACTACGGAGTATCACAACGTGCTTATCCCTCCCATTCGACTTGGCACATGCTCAACATGCCCGGTTCTGTTTACCGTCAAGCGGTCTTTCAAGGATCACCTCGCCATATCTGGTACCTCAGGCTCCAGTCAAAGGAGTGGTTGGGTTCTGGTTTGATCTCGTAATGCCGCACCCATGTCAGGCCCGCGTTTGCCCAGGCGCGAAGAGGCGGGCCGGGCCATCAAGGTCCTCAAAGTCGAATCCTCGGCTTGGCACATCATCGCCGCATCGAGGACTCTTTCGGAAGTCGCACCAAGTGAGTATCCTTGAAGGTGGTAATATCTCATCTTCAACTTGTTATTCAGTTGCCTCTTACTGGCTATTCAGCACAGGAGCTTTTGCCGTTTTCGAACTTTCATGGTTGCAATTGATCCCATATATCATGCTAATCGGCCAACGCCCCTCTCCTTTACCCAAATCCCTGGGTCCTTTTTCATCATTACCAAGACTTCAAAGAGCCCCTTTCAACTGGTTTTGTGGAATTGTCTCGAGTCTCAACGACAACCACCTTTGTTGGACGGAGTTCAATCTACGGTCGGGGCTCCGACTGCCAGCCGGTCTCCTGACGGAACCATCAAGCTCACACCTTTGAAATTCTCAACCTTGTGCCAGGCGCTTTCTGTCTTTCCTAACGACAAGAAGCCAACCTGTCAGAATCGAGCAGATACCAACCACGAGTACCGACAAGTTGACCGCATACGAGACTCGATATCTAGGGCCGAACACCGTGCTGAAGACGTGTGGGCCGACGATGCCACTGTACCTAAAAATCAGGAAAAGGCTACTCGATGAGAAATTCTTTTGAACATACCCGAATTGAGCACACGCATTTGTCAGGCCAATGCCGATCCCAGATGCCACGGTTCCTTCAAGTGCCCTGATGCGCTCCGGCCAGATGACTGGGTATGCGCACCCAGCGCAAGCAACAGACACGATCAAGCAGATGTAGCGCACCACCGGGTTATCGACAAAGAGAAGAATGATGTAGCATACGATAATTGTTGATTCGACTGCGTCCGTTAGCTCTGTGCTAAGTCTGAGTGTTTCCCCAGGCGACTTACTTCCTGCGGCTGTCACCCACGGTCTGATCCACTTTCTTTGAAGCATGAAGCCCAACGTGTTCAGAAGCAAGAAGGCCGAAACATACGGAGGCTATATAGTATCAGTCAAAGGTCCTTGACATTATTAAGATGAAGCGCGGGCTCACAATGTTCATCAACTGAGAATATGCCGTAGTTGTGAAGCCAAGCTGGTAGATGACAGTCGGCAACGCGAACCCGACCCCGAACCCCCCGATACCGTGGCAAATCCAGTACAAACTGAAGGTGTAAAGCGTCGGGTCTCGGGCCATGACCTTCAAAGACTTGAAGTCCCAACTCGCCTCTCCCTTGGGCACAGAGCTAGCAAGTCTCTGCTTCATGTACAGCCGCTCCTCCTCATTCAACATCTTGGCTGACTCTGGATAGTCAGGCAACCAAAACGCAAAGAAAGCGAGAAAAATAGCCGGTAGACCTTCGAGAATGAACAGCCACCGCCACCCGGACACATTTCCAAGCTGATCCATGTACGAGATGGCATATGCCAGCAATCCAGACAGCGCACTGGAAATCTGTCCCACGGAGTAGAAGAAGGCGATACGCTGCGGCATCTCTTCTGGCTTGTACCAGAACGCGTAGTGATACAAGACCGACGGGAAGAAACCTGCCTCAGCCATGCCGATCGCGAAGCGGACACACATCATACCCGGGAAATTCGTCGCCGCGGCGGAGCAGCACGCAGATACGCCCCATGCCATGATGAGTATGAACATCCATCTCGAAGGTTTGAACAGCTTCAGTAAGATCGTGTTGGTGGGCTCAAAGATGAGATAGCTATATGAGAAGATTGAAAGCGTCCAGGCCCATTGTGATGGGTTTAGTTCGAGCTGCTTCTTGATACCGGTGCCGGCCTCGAGGTTGATGATGGCTGCATTAGAGTAGTTGGCGCTGTCAATGACTCGAAAGACGTAAACGAGAGAGTAAAACCCCACGAGCCAGAGGTCAATCTTTCTCAAGAGTTTCTTCTCAAACTCGGGTTGGGCATTGCTTGGTTCGGTCTCAGGATCGGAAAGATCTAAGCTCTTTGTCTTTGTCGCCTTTTCGGGAAAGGTCTGTACGTGGTCGGCGACGTAGGCCGATGTGCTGATCGGCTCTCTTGAGGTCGCCATTTTAGACGTAGTCGTGAAGCACCGAAAAGAACCAGGATATCAATTGACACAACTCAAGACGAAGCCAAAACCTCTCCAACCAACCAGCAGAAGTACTTTTACGTTTACGTTTCAATCGTAGTTCTAAGAGTGACGGACCAAGAACCATCAATTACCGATGCCGGATATCTCCCCTGGTCCTTCAACTTTGGACTCATCACGACATGATAACAAGTATGGCGATCTGTGTAATCATCCAATCCTGACCGAGGGTTGAAGGTCTGTCATTCTTCAATTTGATCCTGGATGATAAGTGCGGCAACAACATCTCTCGGACTTTGCCCGACTGTCGGGTAACATTTCCCCGTCATTTTCTATTGTTCGAGCACGTCTTGGTCGAACTTGCCTGGAGGATGATAATCTGGGGTAGTAGCCGGGAGCGTCTGGTAATATCGTTGGCTGATGATTACGAGCACGATGTTGGGGTTCCCAAGCACGCCATGGCCGATCGTGTGTCGACCCCGCGTGGGTGTCAGTAAGCCATCAAGCATGAAATTCTGCGATGGACTTCTATAAGGCGCTGCGAGAAGATTGAATTGAGTCCAAACAGTAGCGTCCTCATTATTCATCCCACATAGTTTCGTTTAAATAGGTAATACACACCATGGCTCCCTCTGCAGTCTCACCACCACCCTCCAATACCGACAAGCTGCTTGTCAAGCCCTGGTCACGGCCGCAGCCAACAAGAGAAGATCTAGATTGGGCGCCTCTCACTACTATTGATCTTTCACGATTCGATGAGCCAGGTGGAAAGCAAGAACTAGCGAAGCAGCTGTATGATGCGATCTCGCGAGTTGGGTTCTGGGTTGTGACTGGCACCGGCATCGACGATGAGCGTGTGCTGCGCCAGTTCAGCATTGGAAACACTTTCTTCAAAGAGCCAGTCGAAGAAAAGCGGACCTATCCGTGCAACTTTGCAGAAGGCGAATATTTTGGATATAGAGAGAACGAAAGATGGCTTGGTGATACGGGTGTAAAGGAGAACATTGAGATGGTAAGGCGCAATTGATCATCATTGAAACAGCGACTAACGAATCATCAGCTCAATATCCACAAGGACATCCCAGCTTGGAAGGATGTCGGTCGTCATCGGGTTGTTGAAGAGAACTGGGATGAAATTCGAGACTTCCACCGCGACGTCTGGGAAGTCGCACGAAAGCTCTTCGTTCTCATCGCTATCATCTTGGAGCTTCCTGAGAATCATCTCGCCGATGCGCATGCCTATGACCAAGTATCGGACGACCATCTGCGGTACATGATCTACAATGTCCGGACTGAAGAAGAATGGGACAAAGCGCAGGCCTTCTCGACGGGCGGACATACAGATTTCGGCAGCTTGACACTCCTCTTTTCCCAACATGTTGCGGGACTGCAAATCAGGACACCAGAGGGAGACTGGAAGTATGTAAAGCCCGTAGAGGGCGGTATTACGTGCAACGCGGCAGACACCCTGACGTTCCTGACAAACGGTAAGTGTTGTTCTTAATCCATCAGTGTTGAGAGTTATTCTAATCATGAGAAGGATTCATCAAATCCACAATTCATCGTGTCGTGAAGCCTCCTAGAGACCAAATCAATATTCCCCGACTGGGACTTCTGTACTTTAGTCGACCTGGGGACCACACGCCGATGAGGACGTTGCCATCGCCTCTTCTAGATCGTCTTGGCATGATCAGAGAGGAAGACCGAGACTTGAGCAAGCCAGTTCCATCAGGGACAGATTACGTGCGGGCAAGAGTGAAAGATGTGCATCACAAGAAGGTGCTTGATCAGCGCGAAGGGACATCGTTTCAGTACAAAGGTTTGGAAGTTAAAAACCATTATGACTGAGATGAACGCGAATTCAGCTGCAATCGATCTCATTCCAAGATACTTCATCAAGAACTTTTTGACTCGACACTTCACTGTTTTGTGATTTGTTGGGTTCGTCGACTTAGAATGGCATAAGTATTTTATCCAATTGTGTTGTATTGCCCTCTTAAGGGGGCATTACATACCCGGCCTCGGCCTAACAAGATTAGTGTCCACTTCATAATGAAATACACGAACAACAAGCAGATGAGGCCAATGATCACAAGTTCTCGACCAAAGCTAAGTATCGTATCAAAAATGTGCTGTGCCTCAAGCAGCTAGCTGCACCTCAGCTGAGAGAATTCTACCAATCAAAGCCGGTAGTCGGGATGACAGGCGTCCGCCACGACCAAGGGTATTGCGGACCAACACGCGCCCATTCAAGGCAATCGAAAGGCATCATAAAGAGGGGTATGCAGGCCGGAATGTTCCAAGGACGGCATGTCGTTGAAATCATCGAAGCATCAACCCCAGCTCCATGCACCGTACGCAATGGCGGATTTCGACGATGACTGCGCCTGGCCGCGCCGGCTACTGCATGTACCGTCCATGACATCAATGCAGTGGTCGCCTGGCAATTATTATGGAAACGATCTCGCGCCCAGATACATCGCTATCTCGTACACCTGGGGTAGATGGCGATTGAAGAGTGCGACACAACATCCAGACGTGAAAGGACTCCCGGTCAAAGGCGTTACCTGGGAAATGCCACGAGTAGACCCAGATCATTTCACGATGGGTGAAATGGAGAATCTGTTGATATCAGCTTTGAAACTCTCAACGGAGGTTAGAGGTCAGTCAAAATATGCGAAAGGATAAACCTCAACTCCGTAGGAACGCGTCGCTGACGACGAGTAGCCTTTGATAATCCTGGCGAACCGGTCCCTCAAATCCACCACGTCTGGCTGGATGTTGCTTGCATAGACCAGACACGAGGATCGACAGAAATGGCTTTGGAGGTTGGCCGCCAAGCGAAAATATTCAAGGGCGCCACGCATACTTTTGCGTGGTTGACAACGCTTTCCCGTCAGGGATATCTATCACAAACTGAGCGGCTCCAACAACAGGCCAAATTATTACGAGCTGAGGCAAAAAGTGGCATTGAGCGAGTTCAACGCGGTTTAGAAGGCACTAGGCAAGAGATCGAACTTCTGAGCCTCGACCCATGGTTCTCGTCTCTCTGGACGTTGCAAGAAGCATATCTCTGTCCTCAGTCGGTGTTTATTTCCAGACAGGGGGAGCTCATGAGCCCGTCTGAGATTGACAACCCTGCCGAACGTCCTATGTTGCTTAGCGACTTCATCGACTACTGTGACCACATGATGACCATAGTGACCTCACACGAGAAAAAGCCGCAGACCATCGACCCAAACGACAAGTACCTGTTAGCATTAAAGCACGCAATCGAGCGCAGCGGTATGATCGGGCTCCGATCAAGTCTCCCAGTCACCCTCCTTGGGGCCGCTCGCCATAGGACCACGACTCGCGCCACGGATCGTGTGTATGGAATCATGCAGATCTTTGGATTTCAGTTGGGAAAGTCGAGACCGGGCTGTGACCCGCACGTTGAGTTTTCGCTTCCAGAACTGGAGGATGAGCTGGGTCGAGAGCTGCTGATCCGGGAACCTATTATGAGCCAGATGCATATCTTCGAGGTTCCTCCTCAAGCTGGGAAGAGATGGAGAATCTCTCCAGACTCTCAGCCTACAAGACGTCTTAATTATGGCGAAGGCAAGGCAGTCTTTGATGACATGTCGGTAAAGGCAGAGCTCTCCACCGTTGCTCTCAAAGAAGTTAACTGGGGGCACTTCAGCGGCAAACTCTGCAAATTTAGCACGCTGGTCGAAATTTGGAATTCCAAAGTAGGCTGGACCGGCGGAAACATTGACCTGGATGGTCCGGAACAATGGACCGCTGTTCATGGGCCTGAACTTGCACGCAAAGAAGCGATTGCTTTCAGTCAGCAGCACCCAAACGCAGTTCTCTTACTTCTGGGACTCAGAGAGATTAAAGCACCTCCTCCCGATTGGAGCATGCCAGTAGGTCTTTTGCTGGTTCCCTTCAGTGGCCAACCCGGGATCTCTGAGACTTCGAATGTTTGGCTACGGGCTGGTATCTGTCAATGGTGGACAAGCACCGATCCGGATCATAGTCCTGAAGTAGTGGGAACCTTGCAAGGTGAGTCGGAAGAATGGATTTTGAGCGCTGGCGCTTTTGGATAATCAGATATGAAAGGAGGGTGCGCAATCTAAATGACGAAAAGAGATGACTTCTCAAAATCGACCTTGATACGTGACTGGATCCGTATCGAAGATGGATGTTCCATGAGCACATGTAGTCCAGAGGCCATGTGCAAATGTTCGAATGTATGTACACTTTCTTTCGTTAGAAATTATGTGCAAGGACAAAGAAACAAGTCATCAACAGCTACAATCTCAATGGCGAACCGCTATTCGGCCTTCTGGGCCGGAATATTGAGAGTGCTGAAATTCCAAGTCTTCCCGCCGTCAGGAGATGACATCTCGCCGCCGGTGGCACCATGTTCCCAGCCTCCGGTATGTCCAAAGCTCTTGTCAGCCTGGCTGAGCACAATTGAGACATCCTCCCAGCCTAAATTCTTGTCAGTTGCCAATTTGCTCGGGGGACACGGAGTATACGTACTGTGAGCCGGGTGCTCAACGCAGCCGCCGGAGGCACACTCAATAGAGATGTAAAAGATGTTTCCTTTCTGTCCTTTGCCTTCAAATCTATGTTACTTTTGATACAAGAAATAATATTCAGATGATAACAGTTTACTTACTAGTTGAGACGGAGGAAGCGAGTTTGTTGTCTATGTAAACGTCTTGATCCCAGAGGTTGGTCGCCGAATTCAGCTTGTCTATCGTCATCTTTAGTCACCACAATACCTAGCTACGAGATGAGTTGACTTACAGTGCGTCCTAATCGTGGATCCGGATGATGCAGTGACAGGGTCACCGACGGTGGGATTTGAGCCTGTTGCAGCACTATGTCAGACGGGGTCTTTGGGTGTTTCGACTTGATTCTCGCAGGCCGATTCACTCACCGACCAGGGTGTAGGCAAAGTTACACCAACTCTTTCCTCCATCATTGCAGTAAGACCTGTATAATGCGATCAGTCAAGTATCGTGACGTAGCTAGGAGGCAGATCATCTTTCTTCTTACCCACTAGGAGAGTTGGAAGTTACGCCTTGCAGGAACGATGCCTGGTTCTCCATCATGACGGCACTCCATATCGCGACGTCTCCTGAGACAGAGCTAGGAAGCTTGGGAAGAACGAGAGTGGCACTGGCCTCCTGGATGTAGGCTGCGCCATTGGTGAAGAGGGAAACGATATCGGAGTTAGCCTGAGTCAGACCAATGAGTGTCGCGAGGACACCCCCAATAGCTTTGCTGGGTCCTTTCATGATCGCTGGCTGAGCTCTTGTGAATGCTAAGAAGGTTCGAACGTGAATCCTTTTTTCGTCTCTGCGCAATGTACCAGAGGAAGGAAGGCAAAAGGATAGAGTCCAACAATCTTATATGACCGAATTTGGTACCCCTGAAAGACGAAGAACCCCTGAGACCTGGAACTAGCACATGACGTTGGGACGAACAGATTCAGATGGAAAAGCTCTATTCGGAACTATGTCTGGAATAATTCGCCTAGCAGTTGCCTGGCATCTGGAACCTATGGCTCCGCAGGGTGGTGTTTCCAAACGTCCTTTAGAGAGTGACATTGTAATTATTCCGTCTGATAAACGACCCTGGGTGGAGTCGAGTGACAAAGATTAATATATGCATATCGTTAGCGTGTTTCTCAGATTGAGTGCAATGATGCCGGGACCCGGAGTAGCCCGCTTTTCTTGGACGCACAATTGAATCCTCCTGCACGCACTCTAACTTCCGGGGGTTCAGTTTACCAACCGGTCTAAAAAGGTAGAAGGGGGGATCGGTAGAATATCAGAAGAGAATAATACAAAATGATCATTTAGCCTTAGACCCGCTTTAGATTCTAGCATCTATCTCTTGATTTGCGATGATGCCTCCTGTTGCGCTTGCGAGCCGGGCCAACGTTACGCGGCGTCGTGTTCACCTTTTGTGAGTCAACCCCGCAGTAGCTTAGATTCCTTGCGATAGGTACAAGGACGAGGTTTTAGTACTTCATAAAGCGATGCGCTGACAATTATGTGGCTCAGATACCTCAGGTACGGTTAACTCACCGAATGGGCTGCACAATACGCGTATGCAACACTTACTTTGCCACCTCGATAACGTGGTAGTCGACCTTAAATCAAGGCCGTAGCGTACAATTCCGGGCACTGAGTACGCTACTCCACCGCACGTACAGGATCACCGGCCGGAAACTGGATACGAAAAAGGTAATACGAAAAGTCAATACGGAAGATCGATGTTAGAACCTCATCGGGAAATGACACGCAAAATCTATTCGAGGGAAGGTCTCTCAGCGGAATTTCCGTACGCAAAAATGCTCGTCACCGAGAGTCGGGACACGCGGAGGCCCATTGCGGGTTTAGTGCGAGTAATAACGGCGACAGCCTTCGCATAGAGCTTGTAATGCAGCAAGCACGCGTGACGTAGAGTGAAGTCCTCGGTTTAGAAGATGGATTAAAACTACAATCTCCCGTCTGATCTGTAAAAGATCAATCATCACAGACATAACAACATCCGCAATGACTCCTCCACGCATCGCAATCGTGCTGATTACGCTCATTGTCGGGTCAGTCCAGGCCGAAAGCTGCAAATGCGTAAGTCTCGTGTGAACTTGTCTTTGTTCTAGAGACACTTCTAACCAATGGTTCGTGTAGTCGCCTCAGGACCCCTGTTGGCCTCCAGCCTCGAATTGGGGCACGCTCAATAGAACACTTGACGGACGTTTAATACAGTTCAACCCGCCGGGGTCAGTCTGCTACACATCTCAGCCCGATTACAACCAGGAAGCCTGCGATAGTCTTATCGTCCAGTATTCCACATGGGCATTCAACTCAGCGAACCCGGCCAGCATGGGTACGAAAGATGCTTGCGATCCAATTTATCCCAACGGCACCAGTATCTTTGGTGATACTCATGCAGGAGCCACAGGCTGCTCCCTTGGTACACTCTCCCCTTACGTGGTGAATGCTACGGAGGCGGGCCACGTAAAAGCTGCGTTGCAGTTTGCTGAGGATCATAACCTGCGTCTGAATATCAAGAACACCGGACATGGTGGAAAGCTGAGGTACGGGCGACCCTTGTGATTCCCGCTTCGCTTTTGAAACAGCTAATAGAAACTGCGCGCGTAGAAGTTCAGCTCCGGGTAGCTTGTCGTACGTAATCAGCATGTGACGAGCAGTCTTGTATGCATAAAACTTACTGCTCATAGTATCTGGACGCATCACATGAAGTATTTCGTCTTTCACGAAACATTTCAGCCTGTCGGGTGTCTCAACACCAGCAAACGCGATGCGCCCATGGCGGCCACTATCGGCGCAGGATTACAAGATGGAGAGCTTTTCGAGGCACTGGCCGGCCACAATGCATTCGGAACTGGCGGAACCAATACAGTGAGACAAGCTTGCCACGTAACGTAACGTGCATCCCTGACCCGAGATCTAGGACGTTGGCGTTGTCGGGTGGTCGACCGGGGAAGGGCACGGCTTCATGACAGGTGCTTATGGTCAAGGAGCCGACAACATCATTGAGGCATCTGTCGTCACACCCTCTGGAGATGTCGTCGTGACCAACGAATGCCAACACGAAGATCTCTTCTGGGCTATCCGCGGCGGTGGCGGCGGCACCTTTGGTGTCATTCTGAACTTGACTCTTAAGGCGTATCCTATGCCCAACGTTACTCTCTTCGGGATCAACGCAGTCGCTAAGAACGGCACTTCACCCAAAAGCTGGTGGGAGTTTGTAGCAAGATTCCATACGATCATACCAGCCCTCCAAGACCAAGGACTTCACGGATATTGGTCAATGGACGCTGCATCCAGAGCACTGGGTGGCTCATTCTTCCTGTGGAATGCCGACAACGCAACAGTCGCTCGAGTCACGGCACCCCTGCAGGAATTCTTCAAAAACTCGTCTGACTCGATTACATACACTGCTGCACCCATCAAATTGACTACCTTTTATGACCTTGTGAAGCAGCTGCCAACTCTCGGCGACATGAGCAGGAACAGCGCGACATCAGCCTCCAGGCTCGTCTCACGAGATTTACTGACGCAGAACCAGACGGCTTTTGCGGAGACTTTGGAGAAGCTCGCTGAGAATAATGTTGAGAGTCTAGTAGGTTCATGAAAGCTCCCGTGAGTACATCTCGATTGCTCACCTGATTCTAGACGCAAGACAGTATCTCTTTCTCGGGTACTATGACGATCAGCTCCAAGCCAGTCAACAATTCGCTCAACCCCGTGTGGCGGCGTGCTTCAATTCACCTTATCGCTTCGCAGTCTTATCCCGCTACTCTTTCGTCGATCGAGACCGAGAAAGTTGTGAGCGACATGACATTCAACAAGCTCAATCTTTTGCGAGAGTTGGACCCATCTTCTGGAGCATACTTGAATGAGGTGAGTATTTCCGACGCTTCGATGACACCTTGCCAATGTCTGATTGAGATCTAGGCGAATGATTTGGAGCCTGGCTGGCAATGGTCCTTCTTCGGGGAGAACTATGGTCGCCTTTTTACGCTCAAGAATAGGTACGACCCAAATGGGCTTCTTTGGTGCAACAAATGTGTCGGGAGCGAGCAATGGGTGACGGTCAAGAACGGTAGTCTTTGTCCTGCGTATGCTTTTCATCAATAATGTCTGGATATTTAGTCCGGATTTCAAATGCTCGGCACGCAGCAATGCATTCTCATGAGACCATCGAGCCGAAGGTCGCACGTGACGGCTGCAAAATGAGATACATCCTACCATTTTAGTCCGCTAAATGCAGTTATGTCTGACAATCATACTCCAAGTTACTCTGCTCAAAGTAGAACTTTCTTTACACTGATTGAGGACTTATTTGTAGACGGTGGACTGCGCTATGCCCGGCATCCTTGCGGAACGTAACCTAAATCCGGTGTTGAATGAAACAGATTGCCGCGAACTTTGCTTTAGCGCAGAACAAATGATTCTTGGTGTCTGGCTGCTCCCTGGTCATGCAGCATCTAGGTGCCAGTCAGTTCGCACTTTGATGTCATCAGTCACCAAGGCGTATAGCCTATTTGATTAGCAATCAAACAAGTCGTGCTGTGGGTATTGAGTCTTCTATCTGAGACGCCTCGTCTTCTTACGCACCATAGTGCAAGGCATTTTGCGCCGGTGGCTGGCAACGACCTGGGATAGATACGAATCATGTTGTGCCAACATATATCAGAGTGCCTGAAGACCCTGAATGGAATGCAGCGCTAGTAGCGAAAATGAGATGTTACTGGCCGAGGATTTCCAGCTCGTTGCGCCATGTTCCTTAGCCGCATGCAAGTCGCCGGCTGGGCGCGCCATCGAACAACTTTTGGGGTGCCTCGTGGTTCGCCTGAACAACTGGAGCGGCACATAAATCCCCGGCAAATGGCACAAATAAAACACTCGGCAACCTCGAGCAACGAGATACCACCTGTGACGTTGATATAATGGTCGAGGTGGTAGTCAATCCCCTCCCCATCCTGCTGGGCTGGGATAGTGCCAATTCAGGCTTTCGCACCAGCGCCCATGAGAGCGATGTTGAGGCAAATCGCCAATCATTTCCTTTTCTTTACGATGACTTAGACCAACCTGAAGCCCTCAAAACCTCCGCGGAGGCTCTACAGCGTAATGCCAACGTAGCTATCCAGCAATATTATCAATCAGAGGACGAGATCGACCCCCTCTTCTTGCTGAAGCTCTTGGGTCATTGGAATCCGCCTTGGTTTGCGTCAGGGTTAGACTCCGCTTTCGTAATCCTCGCAGCGCACAACCCTGAGCTTGTAATTCGACTTCACGTTCTACTTAAAGAGCTTACGACCTTGAAGGACGTTGATGAGGACTTTCCGAAATTCGAGCTGTATAACCCATACTCGAACGGGAATCAAGCACTTTGCCTGCTACATGGGCAGACGCTGCTCACTTATCCTCACAGATGGGAATGGAACAAGGTGTTCAACATCTGGAGAAATGGTACACTATCTCAGCTACGCGACAGGGTCGCAGCTTTTGAGTCGGCGCTTCAAAAGCCACGAGAAAGTTGGACGGTGCTCCTGAGCTTGATTGAAAGTCTCCGAATAGAAGTTCCCCTTGGAATCATGGAGCAGCTGCGCGTGGGTGTGGATGCGACGTTTGGCTTCTTTGATGGGAAGGTTCAGGAGTGTCGGAATACCATTACGACCTTGGAAAAGGAGGAGCAAGGTAAGTGGTGGAACATGATATCGAAAGCTCATGTCGTTCAGTTTGGTTATACCTTAGATCACCCAGGTTAACTGAACATACAGCAAAACTCTCACTCGTACCCGAACCGGGCATATTCAAGACTCCTTCCATGTCTTCGGCCATTGAGGTCATTTCGATCGACATGAACAAACTTCGGCCACGGACAGGACAGTCCAAAGGGCCCGGTCCGAAGAAGCTGCAAAAGAAACCCCCTCAGATGGGAAGTGGAGGTAAGACTATGGCATCAAGGAGTCGATCGAACCTAAAAGAGCCCAAGCTCTGGCGCACTCTCTGCTTTTCCCTCGTCACCTGGCTTGTAGTGGTATCAGTCCCTTTCACTGTGCTTTCAACATTCCTATGCGAGGCCCCCGACGGCGTTCCCATGTACGACAGCAACTTCCACTCAACACTGAGCCAACAACTATTAGGGTTCGGCGGGCTCTATGCCATTGTCAAGCCTCAGCTAATGCAATGGTTTTCTGCACTCGGTTGGTTCAAGGAAAAAGGGAAGAAGCCTCCCAAAGGCATAGAGACGAAGTGGCCCATTACTTTCAACTGCTTGGTCAGCCTAGCTTTCGTCACTTTGCTGGCTAGCGCACCGGTCTATCCGTATTATCCTCAGTCCAGTATTCCACTTGGTGCTGTGGCGGCGATCTGCGCCAATCTTGCGACGTTGCTCATCATTGAAGACACTGGGAGCCAAATTGTGGAACAAGTGTACAAGATTGAAGAGCAATATGATGAAATCTCGGAACTGAATCATGAGCTACAGGACCTGCGTGGAAGAGCTTGAAGAGGCATTGGGGCGCAAGTTTAGACCAGGTATCAATAGATCCGAGATACGCATGGGACCGGGGTGTATTCAAGTGCCATTAGCTACTTTGGATCGTGGGATTGACGACTTGGTGCATCATTGACTGCCTTACGGCTGACCATCTCCACTAGCTTCTACACCCAACACCAGCACCCCCATCTCTTCCAATTCTGTTAGAACTTCCGACTCCCCAATCGCCAAATCCAATAGAGCTTCTTACTTAGTAGAACCTCGTATTAAACCGCAGTACTGAACTACCGAACTCCATACGGAGATGTCCGCAGAACCAGCTGTGTGCTGTTCTGACAACCTGTGCTCGTTCCGCAATTCCGCCCTCGTCGATCGACCCGGGCAGCAGACACCCGGGAGAGCGACGGACCAATCATTGACCTCAATTCCATAGCTTTCTCATACGATGCCAATACCCGTTCCCCGCAGTCAGCTTGCCGCTGGGATCCTTCTTCCCCGCAGGAACCTCCCGGGTAGCTGCAGCTCGCCTCCTCGTCCGAGCACATCCTCGTCGGCATTGGAAGGCTAGGAGCGGTTCTCCTACGCCTTTCGCATGTCAAGCAGATCCCTCAAGCAAGCGGAATTGCCATGCTTACACGTGCGTGATGTATTAGCCATGGGATCAGTGAAATAAGACCGAGCCCGAGTCCAGTCGTGTCGTTGGACTGGCCTTCTTCCACCTTGAAGCTACCCAGTGAATCTCAAGATACCAACTATCAGTACCTGACGTGTTATTCAACATTGAATCCTCAAGATGTCTGACCCAGACTACATCCTCTACTCCTATTTCCGCTCCTCCTGCTCAGCCCGCCTCCGCATCGCTCTTAACCTCAAGTCCATCCCTTACACCACAATCCCAACCAACCTCCTGAAAGACGAACACCTCTCCGACACCCACCGCGCACTCAACCCCTCAGCCAGCGTACCTCTCCTCGTCAACCGGTCCGACGCAGACTTCAAAGTCACCCAATCCGTCGCGGCCCTGGAGTACCTCGAGGAAACCCACCCGTCCACCACACCCCTCCTCCCCAAGGATGTTAAGACGCGCGCCGTGGTCCGGAGCCTGGTCAACATTGTCGCGTGCGACATCCAGCCCGTGACGAATATGCGGATTATGAGGCGGATCAGGGCCATGGGCGGAAATGCGGAACAGTGGAACCGCGAGTTGATGGCGGATGGGTTTGCGGCGTATGAGGCTGTTGCCGAGAAGTGGGCGGGGAGTTGTTCTGTTGGTGATGAGATTTCGTTGGCGGATGTGTGTTTGTTGCCTGCGTATTGGAATGCTGAGAGGTTTGGGGTTGATTTGAGCCCGTATCCGACTATGAGGAAGATTGCAGAGGGGTTGAAGGGGAATCCGGCTGTTGTGAAGGCGCATTACTTTAACCAGCCTGATACTCCTGATGAATTGAGGGCGAAATAGATGAAAAACATAGGTCGATTCAAGTTAATGCGCCGCATAGGCAAACGCACTTGGTATTGCTCGAGGATTTTCATGATCGTTCTGTACTAGAGGGGAGTAAGATGATGAGAACTGTAACTTCACGAAATTATCTGACATTCAGAGTGTTTACGAAACAAGGACTTTTCACTACTTCATGCTCATTCTATCTCGAGATCATGATGGACGATCAAAAGAGCTTCAGCGCGGCCTCAATCTTGCCCGAGACCTCACCAAATCCAACCAACGCGCCCTCCTGGCCGCTCCAGCCACGGATAATGAGGGTGTCACCATCCTGCAGAAACTTGCGCTCCTCACCTCCGGTCAATTGCACGGCCTGCTTGCCTCCCTGCGTCTGCTCGAGAATACTTCCCTCGGTGCCGGGCTCCGTGCCGGAAATTGTGCCGGATCCGAGCAGATCGCCAGGTCGCAGGTTGCAGCCGGTGATTGTGTGGTGCGCAATCATTTGCGGCCAGGACCAGAGCAGGTTCTTTGAGTTGGTGCGGCTGATTGTGGTCTTGTTCCCGCTCGCAGCTGGAGAAGTGGCACATGTTAGCATTTGCAATCAAGCAAGGGTTCAATAGATCAGGAGGGGGACGTACTGATGATGTCAACCTCCAGATCGACGCCCAGAACGTTGTTCGTCTTGCTCTCGCGCAAGTAAGGCTGCAACTCCGTCTTGTTCTCAATCCCAGCCGTCTTGGCTCCGTCCAACGCATCCGCGAGAACAACCCACGGGCTGATACTCGTACCCAGGTTCTTTGACGTAAAGGGCCCCAGGGGAACATACTCCCACGCTTGAATGTCGCGCGCACTCCAATCGTTCATGAGAACGTAGCCAAAGATGTGCTCCTCCGCCTGGTCAACGGGGACCGGCTCACCGAGCTTGTTCTCCCGGCAGAGAAACATGCCCATCTCCAGCTCAATGTCGAGCCTCTGGCACGGTGCGAGCGTGGGCACCTTGGGCTCGGCCTTGGGGTCCTTGAGGATCTGGCCCCACGGTCTGCGAATAGGCGTGCCGGAGACGACGACGCTGCTCGCGCGACCGTGGTACGCGACGGGGAGGTGCACATAGTTGGGCTGCAGCGCGTTATCCGGGCCGCGGAAGAGCACGCCGACATTGTAGGCGTGGTTCTTGCCAGCATAGAAATCGGTGTAGTCGCCGATGGCGAGGGGCAGGTGGTTCTGGATCTCGGAGAAGGGGATGAGAGCCGTCTTGCGCAGGTCGGCATTGTCTTTGAGGAGGCCTGCGTGCGGGGTGTTTTCGGCGAGGATGGACTGCAGATATGTGCGGACTTCTCTGTGGACTTTACGGCCGAGGGCGGCGAAGTCGTTTAGTGTAGTTGAGGAGAAGACGGAGACGTGGTCTTGGATGGAGGGCAGGGCGTGGAAGCCGCCGGCCTTGGCAAAGGCCTTGAGGTCGAGGGCATTGTCGCCAATGGCGATGGCGGGCCGGTGAGTCTGGTCTGAGGTTGTGGAAATGATGCCGAAGGGGATGTTTGCCAGCGAGAAGTGGCTTTTGGGGGATACAGAGACCCAAGATTGAGTGTTTGACATGATGGTGTTTGTTTATTTCGAAAGAGAGTGTTTGTTCGAGGTAATGGTGATGAACAATGCTTCAATAGTCAATAACAAGAAGGTCTCTCTCTCTCTCTGTTCATCAAGGGAAGATGGAGCTTTGTGAAGCTTCGAAGCTTTCAGGGTCTCAGTGTGAGGTCATTGCTGTTTGGAATTGGGCGATTCCGCAATTCCGCCGCAAGCCGAGCGGGTAGGTGTGGGAACCGGGCCGCCGCGGAATGAAATGGTCGCTGCGGGGTAGCTCGGCGCCGTGGCGGGGAAGTCTTTTTGCTGTTGGTGCTACGAACCAAAGCCGCGAGTAGGCGACGCGTTGGCGGTTTGTTCATTTCCGCCTTTCAACTTCCCAAAGTTCCAAGGTTGGTGTAACCCGAGAATCATGTCGCATTATCCCTCGCCGCTTTCCGAGCCTTGGATGCTACCAAAGTTGAGCTGAGTTCATGACCTTCCCACGGTATTGTCTGACAGACAGTGGTCTCAACACTCTCATCTGCCTCAGAAGTAAAGATTCTGTTGCGACTTGGACAATTCCTTGGCCTTGCTGAGACTCTCAGACGATACCCGGTTGACGGGAGTAGAGACCATTGGCGTCATGGCTCGAAGCTGAGGTTCAATGACCGCATCAGAAATTCCCTGGTGGTCTGACACTGATCCAGGTACTGAGCCAGGGTCTCTTGGCGGAGGAGGAGGCGCAAACATGGGATCGGATACCGTCGATATGAGCGACTGAGGACTCGCGGCAGGAAGGTCGATGGCAGGATCATTGTGCTCTGTAGCCTTGGATCGGTACCAGGCTTGGATGTCGTCTGGCGTCTGCAACGGGAGGCTATCCCATTCCTTGACACGGTCGACCTTATTCTGTCTTGGTGTCCATGCAGCTTGGGGTAGGAGAGCAGGTGAGGAAGCAGAGTCGAAACCTTGAGCATGATCAAGTGCTCCTGAGAGCACACGGAACAGGGCAGCTTCAGTCTCGGCGAGTCGGGTTTCTAGCTTGTTAAGATATCCATTTGGGATTCCCCTGGTAACTAGTGGTTAGTATTCATCATGTCTATCTGACTGACTGTAGACGACTGCATACCTTTTGCTTTGCTCTGGGTATTGGCATCGACCAGGCTCGTGGCTGCATTGAAGACAGAATGGTCTGCGGGGAAGAATATTCAGCCTCAGGACTTGGCCAGACAAGGGTCTTCTCAGAGTGCCGGGGGAGCCACTTACAACTTCCTATCACACTTGAACGGTGTTAGTCAACTGCCGTGGTCAAAACCGCCTAAAGACACATTATCGGACTAACCCGTCGTTTCCTCTGTCGACAAGACTCGCAAGCAATGGGACTCTGCAAAGCGTGGCCTTCTCTCTCGCTGCTGTTTCGGGACATTTCGCGATATGCTCTCCTCCCTGAAATAATAACTTCAACTTAAAACTTAATGCAAAAAACCACTATTGCCGTTGTCGTTCTCCTTAGTCCATCGAGCATGGCTGGCGCAAAACCTGGTGTTCAAGAACAAAACTCCATGGCCGCTGCGGGGTTTTCTTTGTCCGCCGGTGCCCCACCCACCGGAAGGTGCCGTGTCATGGCCCCACCCTCACCGACGTCGCCCCCGACGCGGGCGCATCAGCCTCTCGCTGGTTTCCTTTCTCGGACAACGATGCTTTTTTTTCTCGCTCTCATAGTCTCGTTTCTCTCAGAATTTGCTCGCGCACAATGCTCCAAAGGCTAATAGCTGGCTGATCTTACCCCAGTCTTGGCACATCTGGCACACCTGGCATTTACTCCTTCGCACAACAACCTCCGTTGACCGCCCTTCCTCCCCCTTTCCTCTCCTCTCTTCCTTCATAGGCTCACTCTCGTTATACCTCGGCGGACAACTCTCCTGTCTCCCAAGGCCGTCTATTCTCTCTGTCCTCTTCTCCACAATCACACCATGCTTCGGGTCCCCACCGTTCCTCGAACCGTCCACTGAAGACGGGCTATCAATCCCCAGATCTTCATTCACCATCAGGCCGGCCATCCCACTCCCTCCGAATGGACGCCGTAGAGTCGCCCAATGCCACCTCCGAGTCGGGAACCCTCAGTCCGGCACACTTCAACCACTCACGCAAGCGGAAACACTCGGGCTCAACAGACCGTCCCACACGCGAGTATGGCTTGATGCGAGACACGGGCAAGCATGACACCGCCCGCTTCGTTGGCTCCGGCAGCGGCATTCACTTTATCCGGGGCGTCTACGTGAGGCTGGCCCGCAAGTCCGCCCTCAGGACATCCCAGTCCACCAACAACATTAGTGACCTGGTCCCCGGAGAAGACGACCAGCTCCAGCGAGAGACGTCCTCGCGTGATGGAGACGAGCAAAACCTCTGGCGCAACTCTGAGCTGATACCAGAGCCTGAAGGCGATGACTTCAATCCGACCTTTGAGCAGCTCGTCGACTGGTCGAGGAGCTACTTTGAAGCATGGCACCCGACGCTTCCTTTCCTCAGTGCCCCAGATGTACTCAACTTCTTCGAGGAAGTCAGTGCTGGCGGCGTGGCTGCCCTCGGCCATCTCGAGCGCTCGATTGTCAAGTCGATACTATCCATCTCTCTAGCTGACAGTCGCCAAAAGGCCCCCTTCTCTCAGCCTATACCAGCTTCTCTCGTCTTCCGCACAGTCGAGGAGGCGATGTCGGCGTCACAATTCGCCCTCTACCAACCGGCTTCGATCCAGGCTACACAAGCTGCTCTCGCCATCCAGCTGTTCCTCGTTTCCATGCTGAGACTCAACTCGGCATCGCGACTAGGCGGTTTGATTGTCAGAATGTCTTTCCACCTTGGCTTGCACCGGTGCCCCTCGAGATACCCCTTCTTTACCAAAGAGGAGGCACACATGCGCCGACGCGTCTTTTGGTGCATATACTGCACGGAGCGATTCTTGTGTCAAGCTCTAGGCCTTCCGTTAGACATCCGGGACGACGACGTCGATGTGTGCTACCCCGGCGAAGAAAAGCACGGAACACTTGCCGACGCAGAAGACAACAGGTTGCAACTTCTCACATACTTGGTTAAGCACGCGCGAATACGAGGGTTGATCTTGGAGTTGCGAAATAAATCAATACACTCACGCGACGATACGGCAGATCGGTCTAGTTACGTCCAAGCAGAGCTTGCAAAATGGTCAAACGAGATCCACGACGCAGTTGAAGACGAACATACCCAGGATGAAACCTCGCCACAACCGCCAATCTCTGCGGGACATCGGATTTTCTTGCTGCTGCTAAAGTACGAGTCCATGATCTCTCTAAATCGCCCGATGATGACGTCCGACCCTTCGAGCCCGGCGTACTCAGCCGGTCTACAAAACTGCATCTTTGCAGCCAAATCCATCTTCATCGCGTTGAAGAGGCATCACAGTCAGAATAAGTTTCCGGGGGACCCTACTAGCGCCTGCTTGCTTGAACCGCTGCTTCAGCCGTCATTTACATGGGCCGTCTGGATTAGCGCATTTATTCTTATTTACGCTGGCTTTGAACGGCAACTCCCTCTAGCCAGTGCGCTCAAGTAAGTACACCAACTAGCTGTCTACGACATAACGTTTTGTGGGCGAACTAAACTGACTCTTACAGGCACGTTGAATCAGGCAAGGAAGTTCTCCGTCACATCGCCTCTCGCGACACATCATGGCCCGAGTACTGCCTCTCCGCAGTCGACGAGCTCACCGCAGCCGTAAGAGAATTATCCGTCCCGAACAACCCGCTCAGACGACAGCCAATCACCAGCAACCTCGCACCGAACAGCCATCTTCGAACAGACCTCGGTCAGCAGGCTCGACCAAACAGCAGCTCAAGCAGACCCAGAGGCCTACGATCCGACTCAACAAACACCCAACCAACCGGATTCAGCCTCCGAGCCCGCTTCTCCCCCTCCGTGGCTGCCTCCTCAGGCCGACCAGACGAGCCGGGCCTCGTCGCACCAGATAACACAATCTGGTCACAGAACCAAAGCGATGGGCTTTCGGGCGCGGCGGATGACCAGTCCGGTCGATGGCCCACGCAGGCTTCCCCGGCGTCGGGACCGTCCGTGACCGCGGGGTGGAACGCGAGCACGCCAGGCGCCCAGTCTGGTTTCCAAGCGACTGCGCAGCAGGATTCTCCCAACTTTGACAGCCAGCCGTTTTCGCTTTCGCTGGGCGCTGCTACGTCGTTCCCTGCGATGGGGACTTCGGAGAATGCGCCTGGCGAGGGGCAGGAGTCTATGGTTTGGTATGATCAGTTGTTTGCTAATTCTTTTGGGGCGATTGATTATCCGTTTCTGGCGGCGGCGCAGTTTGATCCGTCTGTGGATCCTACGTGGTCGTATTTGCGGTAATGCCTAATGAGGAGAGCGATTTCGGATATAGAGAGAAATCTGATGGAGGCTGAGGTTGCGTGATTGACTACTACAGAGGAGAAGCTGGAGTATCGATATTTCTTTGATCTTTGATACCCATGTTCCTAGCAATACATGCAGGTAGTTTGTCTCTTGCAACTCCACATGCGATATATAGCCATTTCTATTCAATCTTCAACTTTCGCATGCCGTTTCGGATACCGCGCAAGGTCACTGATTCCAACTCCGCGGTTCGCAATATGAAGGCAGATTAATAATTGGTGGCGTTGCAAGTGAACCTATGAATCTTCCAAAAGGGCTGGACCAAATAGGACCCAAGACCTACATTGGGCCGCTCCTTCATTGAAGATGAGATCTCCGGCCCGAGGATCTGGCTCACCACGAGTAGCTCGGGGGAAAGATACCGGCAGACTGGAACTGACGATCACCGACAACCCGCCAGTTCGGATCATGGTCCCACAGAATGCAACGCTCACGAGACAAGCGGGGCAGACTTGTTGATCAACTAGATAGTGCATGTTGACGAATAAAGGTTGACACAAAGCATGGGCGTAGCTAACACAGCATATGGTAGCTGCGATATCTCTCATTCTCATATGAATAATATATATTCCAATACAACTCTTCATCACGATCAGCTTTCAAGCGGTGTAGTGGTACATGCTCTTCCTAACGTGACCATATCTATTCTTCCAGCCTTCAGTAGGCATACTTTGTACCGCTGGCGCCCATCTTCTTGTTCGTAGAGACTAACCAGAATCGCAACGCCCATGTACCAGCAATACAAGCAAACGCAAAAGCGGCATTGCTCGACATGGCAGTAAGGTACCGAGGTCCATCGCTCTTAGGGTACTGTAAGATTATCGTTAGTTCCAATCCTAGCAAAAGGTGACGCGAAGAGTTTACGTACCAAGTAAGCAGTGTAAATGTACGACGCATTAGCGATAACGTTCACAATAGACAGACTAACGGCCTTCTTCTCCTGCGTAGATCCCAGCGTCGCCGAAACCCAGCCCAGAATGCACGAGTTGACAGCATACGCTCCAGACGCGAAAAGGAAGCAGGAGATATACCGCGCGGGCGTGTTGAGAGTCGCGCATGAGATGACGAAGCCGACGATAGCCATACCCATGCATGCAGTGATATGCCAGGTTCGCTCGTTGTATTTACCAGAGGAGATGCCGACGAGGTAGCCGAAGATACCAGAGATGAGGTACGGCGGGCAGGTGAGGACGAGAGTGATGGTGTCGTTGAAGCCGAGGGAGCCGACGACGGTTGGGAAGAAATTGTTGAAGCTGCACGCGGACTTTGTAACGCTGTTAGGATATGGTCCCCTGTTTTGGTGGAGGGGAATGGGACTTACGAGATGCATGTTTTGGATGAAGCAAAGGAGCCAGAGACGAGGGTCGCGAACGGCTTGCATAAAGCCCGCCTTGGCACCCTTACTCTCTTCAACGCCGACGGTATCCCTGAGCATACGATCATGAGCGAGTTGGCGCTCCTCAGGCTTCAGCCAGCGGGTTGTAAGAGGGCTATCGGCGAGCGTGAAAATGCCAATGACGGCGACGCCAAAGGTCAAGCATGCTTCGATGATGAACAGCCACTGCCACCCCTTTAGCCCGTGGTTGCCGTCGATGGTGTTGAAGACGGCGGCGGCGATAAGACCCGAGAAGGACGTGGCGAAGATGTTGCCCGAGTAAAGGATGGAGAGACGGGTGGCGATCTCCTTGCGGGTGTAGAAGATGGAGAGCATGTAGATGGCGCCGGGGTAGAAGGGGGCTTCGGTCACGCCGAGGAAGAAGCGGACGATGACGAGGTGTGTGTAGTTCTTTGCGAGGGCGGTGCAGCCGGAGACGAGAGCCCATGCCATCATGCAGATTGCCATGTAGATGGATGGCCGGACGTGTTTCGAGGACATGAGCATATTGGAAGGGATTTGCATTAGGAGGTAGCTGGACAACAAAATGTCAGCGTTGCCTTTGGGAGGTTGAAGCTTGGAGGAGTTGAAATTACCCGACAAAGAGGATGGAGATGCAAGTGTTGTACTGGGAGCCCTGGAGACCCAAATCTTTCTCGAGACCATCCAGACGGGCCTGGGCGATTGCGTTTCTGTCGAGCTGTGCATCAAGTCAGTTCCTCGCTCAAACTAGCCGTTGCAGCACAGATACGACGTACGTAGTTCAGGAAGTACATGCACCTGAGAATTTGTAAGCTTTTGAGTCAAGCCACAATCATGGAAGCCGAGAACCTACCAAAGTGTCGGCATGATTCTAAAGTCAAGCTTTCTGACGAGAGCTATCTCTTCTGCACTTGTTTTTGCCACAGCACCGGAGTAATCTGCTCCAGGCTGCAATACACCGCCTTTCTCATATTCAGTCGACATCTCGACAAAGTTGTCGTTGGGCTTGGACTCAAGGTCCAGATCTTGCTTCTTCTCGTGAGCCATTATGGTCTTGTCTTTGCGTATTTTGGACGACTGGACGAATTTGGGATGATTGGCGATATGCAGCAAGTAGGAAGAAGGAGGTTGGCCGTTGAGATCGCTGAGTCCGTGGGTTGCAGAGAGATGAGACTGGCAGGCGTCAGATCAGCTCTTATACCTTGGATCTGCCTGTCTTTTGCCCCAGAATATCTGTGCTCAGTCTGGGGTAACTCCACGGGGTTGTGTTTCATCATGGCATGCTTTTTCTTTACACCAACAGGAACCTGGCTCGGTGTCCCTTTCCCCTATAGGCTTTCCTCGCAAACAAACGAGGAAAAGTCTCCCTCGTTCCCCGGACTCTTACTAGCTTAAGCGGACAAAGAAACTACCGGGGCATTTGGGGTAAATCTGCGGGGGACGCGGGGAAATGGCATGGCAAGCCAGGTTCTTCACCACGTTTAGCTGGGTTACGATGAGGGGGAAGTCGACGAGCTAGGGGCACATGTTCATCTGTATTGGTGTTGCTAAGGCTATTTGACGGGTCTCTTCTGCTGACCCATCCAGTCGGTCGGGCTTGCGGGGGCGTATCGGGCCCAGAGACGTGGGACTGACTTACCCCGGATAGCTAAAATACAGACTAATTGAGGGTTGCGCATGGGGTTTTGTTGATCCTTGGGATCATATGAATTGGAATATTCCTAGATTGAGACATGAAAATGAGTCTAGTAGGTCTGGATCCCCAGACTTTGGCAAGGGGTCATATTCTAAGCACAAGATGATCTGGGAGATGAAAAAGAGATAGACGATATGACGCTGGAACATGATCACAACATCACATAAGACGACAGATGAAATACACAGATGCTTGCAAATGCCTTCTACGCCTTGGAGACGCCAAGGACCTTTCGATTAGAGTCTAATATAACGCGAACATGAGCCTTTCTTCCAGCATCCTGCTGTCCGAAGAAAGACTCGTTGGTCAACCTCTCTAGATACAGCTCATACGCTGGCATGTACCCTTGAACAAAACGAACAACCTCCGCATCCGTCATGCCCGCACCTTTCTTCTCCCGCAATGCCCTCTCCTGGTCCAGACGCCAGTGGTAGACGTTGACTAGTTGGTCTGTGCTGAGGTGAAGGAATGCGTCGAAGCGCCAGGGGCCCATGAAGCTCTCGCAGTACCTTTCCAGGTTCCGGTTGATGAGCTGAAGATGCTCTAGGCTATGACTGGCTAGTGTCGTTGTGGATAACTGAATGTCCTCGGAAGCGGCTATTGATGATTCCTTGGCTTTCTTCCACTTCTTCTCAACTTCCTCAGGCGACAGTGGTTGGAAACCAAGGCACCAACCTTCGAAAATAAGAACCTCCAGAGGTGGATTTCTGGGCACGCTGTCCCACTGTGACTCCGAGGCTCTGCCGCCCTCACCACTGAACAGACTTTTGTCGAAGGACGGCCACTTGATGGGCTCTAAGTCTGTCTGATTTGACTGTGAGTTTGACACATCGTCGAAGAATCGTCGCGCTAGGTCTTCATCATGTGTTCCGGGTTGTCCGCGAGTGCGGAGGAGGCCATTTCCGGGGTTGGAATCTCTCAATGATACCAGCTGGTCATGGTCGTGGTACAGGTCGTCTAGTGAAAGCGTCCTTGTGTTGATGCCATACTTGGCGTTGATTGTGTTGGTAAGAGCCTCAGCCCATGTTGACTTTCCACTTCCTTGCAGACCTGAAAGGCCAAGAATAAAGGGAGTCGCCGACTCCGCTCTATATGATTTGATTGAGGGGAGGAGTTGCTGGATAACAGCTTCCAAGGCTGTCGTGTCGATCATGGTGAGATATTACCTTGACACTCAACCACCTGGCGACGAGAAACTTGCCAGTTGAAAAACACCTCTCAAGCCCGAAACCGAGGAGGGCGCGTGGGCTATCGTTAGAGGGATGCACGTGTTGATATGTTTTCAAACGTGGGGAAAGCTTGCGAATGATTCTGCGTGAGACTAATCGAGATTCAGAGTAGCCGCATTAAAAGGCTCATCCTGTGTTGCTTGTGAGGCCATTGGGAAATAACTCAACGCCGTCGAATGATAGTCCTGCGGAGCTGTCTTTGTCCGCTAAGCAAGACACATCCGCGGACAAAGTCAACACCGCTCCCCGGACCCCAGATCGTTGCCTCCACCACGAACCCCAACTCCACAAACTCCCGACCCTTGCGGCGCAATCCCGAAGATGGTGGGCGATGAAGACGGTGATCTAGCCGTTGTCGGCGGGAGTCTGACGGTTACAAAAGAAGACAACTTCACTGCGCCCTGACATACCCTGCAGCACAGCCATCACCATCAACCTCAGGATCTATCTCATCTTATAATCAAGGGAAAAAAACAAAACATAATTACCCATCGACTCTGACCCCTCGTTTTACAGTATCACCACACACATCCACCCACTTCAACCCCTTCCCAATCATTCAGAATGTCGCCCAGTGCGCTCCCCGCCCAAAAGTCTTACAGCATCGCCTCCATGGGGGCCGATGGCATCGGCCCGGAGGTTATCGAGGCCGGTGTGGAGGTCCTCAAGGCTCTTTCCGAGACTCTTGGCACATTCGACCTCAACTTCACCGACTACGACTGGAGCTCCGAGACTTACAAGAAGACCGGAAAGTACATCCCGGACGGCGGTCTTGAGCAGCTCAAGAAGCACGACGCCATTCTCTTCGGCGCCGTCGGTGCCCCCGGTATGCCATATTCACAAGTCAAGACTCTCAAGCAGTGCGCATTACTAACTGACGTAGATGTCCCTGACCACATCTCCCTTTGGGGCCTCCGCTTGGCAATTTGCCAGCCCTTCCAGCAGTACGCCAATGTCCGCCCTACCCGTGTCCTCCGCGGTACCCAATCTCCCCTCCGCAACTGCGCCGAAGGCGATCTGGACTGGGTCATCATCCGTGAGAACAGCGAGGGCGAGTACGCCGGCCAGGGTGGTCGCTCGCACCGCGGCTTCCCCTGGGAGACCGCCACCGAGGTCTCCATCTTCACCCGCCACGGTGTTGAGCGTCTGATCCGCTTCGCTTTCGAGACGGCCCGCAGCCGTCCCCGCAAGCTTCTCACTTTTGTCACTAAGAGCAATGCCCAGCGTAACGGCATGGTTCTCTGGGACGAGGTTGTCTATGAGGTTGCCAAGGACTTCCCCGATGTCTCTCTTGACAAGATGTTGGTCGATGCCATGACCACAAGAATGGTTCTCAACCCCAAGAGCTTGGACACCATTGTGGCCACCAACCTTGTAAGTACATGTTTGTCAATTCATTTTAGGTATGATCAGGGGACTAATGACGGCTCCAGCACGCCGATATTCTCTCCGACCTCGCTGCCGCCCTTGCCGGCTCCATCGGTATCGCTCCTACCAGCAACTTGGACCCCAGCCGCAAGAACCCTTCCATGTTCGAGCCCATCCACGGCTCCGCCTTTGACATCACCGGCAAGGGCGTCGCCAACCCCGTTGCTACTTTCTGGACCGCTGCCGAGATGCTCGAGTGGCTCGGTGAGAAGGAGGCCGCGACGCAACTCATGGAGTGCGTCGAGAACGTCACTGGCAATGGTGTTGTCACGGCTGATCTCGGTGGCAAGGCGACGACGAAGGAGGTCACCGCTGCCGTTGTGGCTGAGATCAAGGCCAAGCTTGGCAAGAGCAAGCAATAGAGGGTTACTTTGGCAGAAGGTATATGGGGGAAGATTTATGATTGCGCCTGAGGAGGACCCGAGCTTACACGATAGGAAGCACTGAGGAAATAGATTACCAGCGATATGTACATTTACACATCTGGAGCGCTTACATAGCCGAAGGCGGTGTTATTAAATGGGATTTTGAGCTACCTTACCTTTCAAGCCATTGGGCACCGTCCGTGTCAAACGTCAAATACGAAGTGGACGCATTTGGAGTGTCACCCTCCTTCATGATTGATGGTAGAACTCAACAGTCTACATCGCTATTATGACCTCGATCAACGATCAAGAAGTCCCTAACATCATCCTAATGTCTCTAGAATAATAGATTGACCGAGATACCCCCTGAGCTCCTTTAGAAATCGCCAGTGTCGTCTTCAAAACAAATTTTGAAGTCGATAGATGTTCCTAAATAAGAGTTTGATGAAATATAATACCATGAGTAGAAGGAAGATGATGTAAATGCAAGTGCCTTTGGTAAGTATGGTACGTATAGAGAGTCTGGAAGGCCATTATGAGCATCTTGATGAGAGCCCCAACAATTATTTCGTCCTTCTCAAGCCACTTACGTCAATGAACTTATTTCCAAAAACATGCAGCGACATGAGGCCGCTAAACCTCCAGAGGAGTAGGTGGAAATGTCTAGAACGTTTCGCATCGTCAAGTCCATGAGATGCATGTGCTATTCCTGTACAATACAACGACTATGTTCTAGAATCTCTGTGACGAGCTAGTCTTCTTCCTTTGAAGCAACAGGAGGTTACATTCCGTTTGTAAAACCGACTCGCTCCGATTCAGCCAAGCCCCTGATACCCCCGACATGAAACGGGTCCTAGTCGGGGCGGCCGATGAATCTGTCCCTCATCTTGAATCTTCAATCTTGACTATCACGAGTTGCCCATTGGCTTTGAACTACACTAGGCACGCTTCAGACGTGCACGCAATATTCTCTAGATACGTGCTAAATGAGCATCGCCTGCTCCGTGCTGTGGGGGGCTATGTCAAGCGATGAACCCATCACGAGATGAACGAAAGAACAATATTCTGACCCACTTCACATGCAAAAATCGACAAGGGCGTTCGCCCCATCGACGACCTTAATTTTATCCCATCCTGCCTGACGGTTCGCGGTAGCTGCCCGATCCGAGTCAAGTCTGTTCTCGCCAATCCCCAATAGTCTAGCGTATTCGGCCGTGCTAGCTGCACTGCTGCACCTCTCAGCCTTGACGATGTAACGACGGACCCAGCGCGCCGGGTGCTCTGACAGTGATGTTTCCATGAATCGCGTGGCAGGGGAAATGAGGATCTGACACAGCCCGCTTGTTCTACCGTCGATCTAGAATGAAAGAAAGAAGACGGGAATAATAAAAGGCACTAGGACGGCAAGGGACGGAAGTAAGGCGAGGGCACGGTTGATGGCCCCAGTGCTACTTTTTTTTTTTTTGCGTCGAGAACTCTCGCTCCGATGTTTCCGTGGAACCTGTTTGGAATCTTTCTCGATCCATCTGTGAGCACTGAGGAAAGGTCAGGAGGTTCGGAAGTCGCATCTACTGCGTCATCCGCCGACCAAGCGGGGCGGGGCGTCTGATGCTACAGAATGCGTTCAACGTCGCGATCCGACGGGCCGTCATGTGCAGGTAGGTAAGGTAAAGTGAAGTAGAGTATGTATGCACTTTACAAGTCGGCATGTGGTGGAAGGGTAGGCAGGACTGATCTTACATCTCACATCTCACGATGTGGGATCAACGGACCCGGAGGCCCGGAAGAAGGGTAATCTGCATCTTGCAGCAAGCGATGTTACTCGGCCTCGAAAGCGACGGGAGCTTCAGATATGACATGGATAGTCTGACAGGACTGACTCTTTGACAGGTTGTAGGCGCCGGCGGCTAAAGGAGACGGACGGGTGATGGGCACACGCGAGGTGGCGCAAGTCAACCATCAAGTGACGGATGGGGTCGTGTGTCTGGTCCTTAGCCCGGGTTATCCATAGCATGCTCATCACAAGGCAGATCAGGATCAGGATCTCCGCGAAAAAGAGGATGCCCGTCAGCCACGAGCGGGCGCCCGTAAGGCAGAGAGCCGTAGCCATTGACCATGAGTTTAAAACTGCCCGAGGGACCCCTTAAGTGGAGTGATAGGAGGCCGCGGGAAATCCCATTGACGGCGTTGATCAACGCATCCTTGAATATGTTTGGTGCCTAGGCGCCCTTGACCGGCGATGGGCGATGTATAATGTGGTAGCTCATAAACATGGGAAAGGGAGGGGAGGGAATGGTCTGCTGCGTTTGGATGGCAGGAGAGTCATGTTGCTTCTCCTGTATCATGAAGACATCAATCCCCAGTTCAGATCGAAAAGGAGGGGGGATGGGTGGGTGGGTGGATGGATGGACAGTAGCAGAGGAAGTCGCTGCGTGTCAAATGAAGACCGGCTAGTTTGCCCTCATCCCGTGGTCCGACACGCCTGATCGTGCGAATGGACGCTTTAGGTTGGGGGAATGGTAGCCGCGGGCAGACCGGGCACTCGGATACATCTCCATCTTGTCTGTCCGAAATTCTGTCCGGCGGTTCCAGCACCGGAAACACTCCTTTGTAAACATTTGGGTTCGGCTGTCAAGTTGTAAAGGCCGAAGCGTAGCTCTGGGCTGCGTTAGTCCAGACTCCTCACAGTTCTGGAGGGGCCCGGAACGTGGGAATGATGGCGACAAGCCAGAGGGCCTAGATGAGTCCAGAGTTCATGGGATATCCATCGACTTCTAAACGTCGTAAAGGAAAAGACCATATATGCCCTTCAAAGGTCAGACCACAAGCACCGCAGAATATCGCAGGGTAGAACCTTGGTGCAAGCCATGGCATGCCTGCATTGAATAATAATAGGAAACCTGGGAGAATCTCGCAAAATGGGGAAATGCAGAATTGGGGGAAAGAAACTGGATGACTGGATTTTTGGGAGAGCTTTTTTGCGCTTTGATCCTGTGTCTCTGCTGCAAGTTGCAGAACAAGGGAGGACTTGGACCAGCTCTCTGGGATGAAGCTCTGCATTGGCAAAGGAAACGGTCGGGCCTGAATGCAACTTGTGCCCTTCCCCCTCCTAATGCCACAGCTTCCTCCCTTCTTACAACACCTCAGCCGAATATGCCCTTGATCAGTTGAACACGGCGTGCATGCGCTTCTCTGCCGTGCTTCTTCTGTGCTCTGCTGCCACGCTTCTGTCGCTCGCTCTCTCTCTCTATGCCTTCACGTTCTATACTAACGCTTCTCAAGTGCTCTGATGTCCGGACTTGACTCCGCACTAGCGTTTGACGCTAGAACTGAACGCAACCGAGCGGACAACGGTTCTGGCTTGAGTCAAGAGCATGGGAACCCCGGGGGCGCCGGCCGTTCCCCAATTTCTTAGTTACAAGTAGGTCCTTTTGCTCTCACCAAGGGGCGCCGAAATAGTCGATCACAGAAGGGAGAGCCGACGTCAGGGTCGGCCCCTGTGTCGGGAGCTAATCGACCTGTTCCGCAACGGAGTCCGTCGCCGATCGTGGAGAGCCAAATCCTCCGAAAGTTCATGTTCCGACTGGAGTCTGGCTAGATCCCGGGAAACATACTTCATGTCTCACAGAACTGAGAGGTCTTGGCCCTGGCGAGTTCTGGCCAAGGGGGGCTTGGGGGCCACGGCGCCAAGTATCGTGTCTTGTCTTGTCAGCTCAGCACCACTCCTTTCCCCTTTCATTCGGTGATTGATTTTGCCTTTCCCAACACACAACCCACAAAGGGGGTGGGTGGGATGGAGGCGGTAGACGCGGGCAAAGAGAGTCTAGAGCATTGGCGTTGCTGATTGAGGTGAAGCTCTGGGTTAATGCCGGCCAAAGTTTGCAAAGGAGGGAGGATGCCAAACACTCGAAGCCAATACCACATTGTGACCGGTGCCAACCACGCGACTAGGACGGCTTCCCAGGACCAAGGAAGCTCCGCCAGTCCGTCAAAGGAGAATCCGAGGACAACAGCCTGCTATTACTTTTGCAGCAAGTGCTGCTACCTACGGATGCTACAGCTTTCTTGTCAGCCCGCCGCTGACCGCTGCTGCTCGGGGCCCGAAAAGGAACATCCTATGGAATGGCTCAGATACCACCTGGGCACGTTTTCGAAACCAGGGACCGGCCGGCCAGGCATCCGTCTGATGTCGCGATGCATTTCATGCTGCCCTCATGATTCGTGTTGCGACGGTGGGCGAACGTGCGCCTGGGATCCGCGCCACCACACACACACCTCTCTGCTTGGCCAGTGAACACCTTTCCATATGAAGCAGCTGACCGCCGCTTCGTGTGGTTGGTAAGAGGGAGCGAGTGGTAAGGTGAGAGAGCTCTGGTTTCTGCTTGTCACTCAGATCAAGCTTATCGAAAGTTACTGTTGTTGCTGTCGCTGTTGCTTTTCCGGCGCGCGCGCAAACGAGCTTCTCTTTCACTCGTTCTTGTCTCTTACTTTCCCTTCCTTTCTCTCGATCCTCCGTTTACTACGAAGCCTTCCTCTTTGAAAGAGGCATTAAGTAGAGCTGCCTCAATGCAGTCAGGAAGCAACGGGCCAGCCGCTGCGGCGGCGGCTGCTGCTGATATCACTAGCGATAACGAAGGCGAGCAAATAACATCATCAAAGGCAAGCTTCGAAGACGCGCCGCAAGAACAGCCACCCAGCACCTCGAACTCGGGCAAAAGCCACCCGTCCGAAGATAGAGCTCCAAGCGAGGACGCCGGAAGAGACAACGGCAGCAAACCAGCCTCGCAAAAGGTACCGAGCAGACAACCATCCGTGGAGGGCGGCGAGGGAACCCGGGCAGCAGTCGTCGCAGGATCATCATCGCAACAGGGAAGCCGAGCCGGATCCCAGCAGGGCAGCAGGAGGGGTTCCAACGAAGCGGCCGTTGCCGGCGGCGGCGGTACAGCCGACGCCCCGACCGCCGCGTCGGACGCGGCGATCGCCAGAGAGCGCGCGCCCGGCGACGAGAACCGTGAGGCTTTCCGCGACTCCACGATCACGGCCGTCAGCGAGAGCACGGCACAGATGCTCGGCCGAGACGGCGTGCCAAAGACCACGACTGATCCGGCGGCGGCAGGAGTCCTTGCGGGAACGGGCGAGACCCCCGGCGACGACGACGAGCTCGAGCCCCTGACGAAGTACGTCGACTGGACGGAACATATCTCCATCTCCATCGGCCCGTTTGTCATTCTCTTTTTCGATCTCGCGCTGCCGGTTTGCATCTACTACAGTTGGCTCCGCGCCCGACGAAACGATCGTCGCGCCGCGTGTCAGTCTGCCTACGACGCGGGCGTGGAGTGCGGACTGCCTCCCGTCCAGACGGTCGAGAGTCGAATTCTCGGTTTTGCCATTATTGCTTTCGGTTTCGGCGAAGTGTATATCCTCATTGTGCGAGTATACCGACTCATCGCCCGCTTCGACGAGTGCGCGCCGCTGCTGTCCAAGCACTGGTGGGAGCTGGACGCCACGACCTGGGTTTACGCACTCGGTCTGATTGCCGCCTTGGTCCCCTTTGTCTGCTCAACCACAGTTTACGAGCCGGACGTTGTCGAGTGGCTGTACCTGTACTCTCCCGCCTTCATGTTCATGGTCCTAGACGTCATCGCCTTTGCGACGTTGATCCCGATCAAGATCCCGTTCCGCATCAACTCGGACCCCAAAGGCACACGCCTGAAGCCCATCGTCTACTATGCCGCCGAAGACTTCTTCGCCGTCGACGGAGCGCAGAATAGGGAGTTCCGCAAAAGATACGTCGAGCGGTACGACAAGTCAATGATGTTCCGCAAGATGATTCTCGAGTTGACGCTCTTCTGGATCGGCGGCTGCACTGCGTACATTGGCTACGTGGCCGGCATCATTTGGAACCTGGAATTTGAACGCGCGTTTGGTACGACGTTGGGCGTCTTGTTTGGGTGGATTATAATCTGGGGTGTCACTGCGAGATTTTGGATCGAGTACGCGATCAAGCGCGAGCAAAAGTGGTGGAAAGAGAACAAGGCCGAAAGAAACGCGGCCAAGCTTCAATGAGCCTAGTGTTTAATCACAATTGAGCCCTCCCTGGTGTGAGTGAGTGAGCGAGAGAGAAATAGGAAGAGAAGCAGTCAGATGGTGACGAAGAGAGATGGGAAAGGGAGTGGCTCATTACTGTAACCTAGTGTTAATAATGGCACTGCCAAGATCATGTACTTATGGAGGACGCATGGGTTCTGACTGACAAGACAAGGCATGAGAGCCTGGATACCCAGGAAAAGAAAGATACCGAGAGGGCGGATTTTTGCGATTAATAAGTAAATCGTTTTTGCTTCTAGACATTGCTCAATGGTCTCATCAATTGTATGCGGGTATGATCTGATTAGATCTCAACATGGGAATACGCGATGACTGATCTGAACAGAATCAACTCAACGTCTACCGACACGAGGTGGCATCCATCCATCAACGGCGCTAATTTCAACTGCAAAGTGAGCGAAATGGCAAAGTTGACAGGTCTCTCACCTCGAAACAGCGAAGGGCGGCCTTCCTAGAAAGCCAAGCCTGGCCCAGGCCCCCAAGTTCGTGGCAGCATGGGCCGCGAGACGCACAGCGGAAGAGAGTTTTGGGACCCGGGGGCGAGTAGCTTCTGTGGATGTGTGAGAGAAAGATGGTGTGGTGTCTCGTGGGATGTCGCGATGTGATCGAGGCAGCTCGAGGCCCGCGGGACGGCGGTCGGGTCCCCCCGTTTCTGATTTTCTGGGGGAAGCTCTGGACTCCTGTTCGAATGAGGCGAAGAAGAGTGAAAGAGGAAACCGTCTCGCAACCATTAGCGGGTACACACTGGAGTTGTAAATGTTTCGTGGTGGTGTTGCACAAGAGAGATTTGTGCATTTTATGCAACTCCTCTGTAGCCCGCCCAAAATTCTCATAATCCTCAAGAATCCACCAATCTGAGATCTCAACATCTCATTCATCTATGCTCGCATTGGGGATGAACATGCTTATGCGCCCCGCGATATACCGCCAGATTATGGCAGTGGGTAAAATCATGAAGACCATTATGCGCCTCACTTCACCTCCAGCTCAGCCTCGTGGTAAATGGTCATGAAACTGCGATTCAATACGAGCAAGGCCGTCCAAAGACTACGATAGATGGAAATCCGAAGCGGCGAAAGAGGTATTCAGATGAGATATTTGATTATTCAAACGAAGTTGAATTGGTGTTTGAGAATCAAAGTCGTCTTTAGTCTCACTACATTCTCATCTTTACTCAAAAGAGGGGTCTCACTCAGCTGCTCTTTCAGCCGCATCGGATGGAACTCCCGGATTCAATCTTCTTCATCCAGAAGCCTCACACATTTCTCAAGTTAACAGCTCACACAAACTTCAGACAATTCGCCTCAATTGAAAACTTCACACAATGGGAAAGCTTAACTCGTGAGAAAATCTGCTCATCTCACAAACATTGTAATTTACTCACGGCAATCCCACCTCCAATCGCCCCCCACTGCCTCCCGCCAAACGACTCAACAAGTCTCCCGGGACGAGACCGAACTCGGCAGCGCCTCTAATTCCCGATTGTACCCGGGGTCCAGTCCGGATTCCCTCCCGTCCAATCCCACTAATCGGTTCTGAGCCTGGCGGGTTTTGAGAAATCTCTGCGAACTATGTAACTAGTCTGCGAGGTCTACCAATCGAAGCAGGAAGACGGCGCAAATGAGGGGCACAAGGTGACGGCTTCATCGTCGACCTTACCTTTCTACTGGGACCTAATGTCGCCAGATTTCTAGACGATGGATGCGACGTGCGTGGGGGGCTCTTACGAGGTTTTACAAGATCGCCTGCGAACTTATTTCACTCATAGTCTCCAAACTCACTCATAGTTCGTAGGCAATTCCACAATACTTGCTTCAAGGATGGGGATTTAACCTACGCGGAACAAACCGCTCATCTATCGCCAAGATGATTTGCTCATGAGATCTTTTTTTCACTCACTTTTAGACTCATCTCACACACCCTCCAATCCAGCCCAGCTACCAAGAAGGCTAAAATCTCTAAAAACCATCGTTAGCCTTTTCCCTCCCGTTTTAATCCGCGCATCGGCTACGTCCTACCCTCCAATGACACCGCCCTAAAGACGACCGACGAGAGAGTTCAGCTCACTCATCCCCCCTGTCAAGTCGAGACTCAACTCACTTCCTCTCCTCCAAAAGTAAACCTTCCACAGCCCTCTGAAACTCATCTCATCGTCCCCAGCGTTGGGGCAAGGTGACCCCCCTCTCGTCTGCCGCCTACCATCCATCGTTGTACGCGATAAGATCCCGCAAAATGAACCCCGAAAAGGAACTCCTCTCCGCCACCAGCGCCGGCCCCGCGCCGGTGTCCCAAACGCCCGGTCCCGGTCCCGACGTCGAAGCCTCTCATCCCGCTCCCGGCGCCGTTCCCGATGAATCTCACCGCCGCGCCGGCGACGATGATGCCCTCGCCATGGTCGGGTTCCACAGCCAGCCCTACGACCCGGCCGTCGCTGCCCGCGCCGTGCGGAAGATAGACTGGTTCCTCATACCCGCCATGATCTTTGGATGTTCGTCAGCCTTCTCACTCACTTGAACCGCCCCAAGCTTTCTTTCACCCTCTCACTTTCTCCAATTTTCAGTATGCATCACTAACACGCAACAGATGGCCTAGTCTACTACGACAAAGCAATCCTAGGCTCAGCAGTCCTCTTCGGCATGACAACAGACCTCCACCTCTCCGTCCCCCTCCCCTCCGGCCCAGGCGTCGACACATCCCGCCTCTCCTGGGCAACCTCCCTCTTCTACTTCGGCATGCTAGCAGGCCTCTACCCAATGACCTACGCCCTCCAACGCTACTCCCTAGGCCGCACCCTCGGCACAATCGTAATCCTCTGGTCCAGCATCTGCATGCTCACAGCAGCAGTCACCTCCTACACCGGCCTCTACGCCCAACGCTTCTTCCTCGGCTTCGTCGAATCTGTCATCCCCACAGGCTTCATGTGCATCGTCTCAGGGAACTACACCCAGGCAGAACAATCCCTCCGCCAGAGCTGGTGGTTCAGCGCCACGGGCCTCTTCACCATCATCGGCGGCGCCCTCAACTACGCCTTCGCCCAGGTCCGTGGAGGCGACCTGAAACCGTGGCAGTACATCTACCTCCTCGCGGGATGCCTCACATTCCTCTTCGGCCTAGCCTGCTTCCTCCTCCCCGACTCCCCCGTCTCAGCATGGTTCCTCACCCGCGAAGAGCGCTTCGCGGCCGTAGAACGCCTCCGCCACGGCCAAACCGGCGTCCGCTGCACCAAATTCAAACCGCACCAATTCCGCGAAGCCCTCCTCGACGCCAAAACCTGGCTCGTGGCGCTGATGATGGCCTCCGCCTACACAATGAACGGCGCCGTCTCGGGGTTCGGCCCCCTCATCGTCTCGACCTTCGGCTACACCTCACTGCAGTCGATCCTCTTCCAGTTCCCCCTCGGTGGCCTCTGCTTCCTCGTCATCCTCGCGACGGGATACCTTGGCACGCGCTACACCAACGTCCGCATCATCATGCTCGTGACGTGCTGCCTTCCCGTGATAGCAGGCTGCGCGCTCATCTGGCGCTCCGACTGGACGCACCACGCCGCCGCACCGGTGGTGGGCTACTCCATTACAGGATTCTTCGGCGGGGTGGTCAGTCTCGTCATCACGCTCGGTATGTCCAACGTCGCGGGCCACACCAAGAAAAGTTTCATGGCAGGGACCATCTTCGCCGCCTACTGCGTCGGCAACATCGTCGGTCCGCAACTCGTAAAGTCGCAAAGCAAGGCTTCGCATTACCCGGAGCTCTGGCTCGGGCTCATCATTTGTTATGTGATTTGTATCCTCGCGTCCGGCGCGTTGTACTACGTGCTCCGGAAGGAAAACAAGCGACGCGATGCGTTGCCTGTTGATGAGGAGGAGCGGGCCAAGCTTGCTTTTCAGGATCTGACGGACAAGGAGAATCCCTATTTCCGCTACGTGTATTGACAAGACAACAGTTCGTCTTGCGTGTTTCGAGAGAAACCATAAAATACCCATTTGGATTGTAGTCGAGTTCTGAGGCTCACTTGTTCGAGAAAGAGAAACATCGGCTGCGGAGTACGAAGCTCACAGCTTAATGCTAATACGGGATCAAATCACGAGATAACCAAATATATGCAAGAATGCTTCGAATGTCTTCCCGATAGATTCATACATCGGGGTATCATGAATTATGCAACATTAACCGCACATCCCTTCACGGGGATGCCCATCTAGCTAGAAATACAACCATGATAAACCATGTGCCAGAACCGGAGCCTTCCGTCCCATTGCTTTTTGGCCGCGGTATGCCCCGTTTTCGTTCGTCATGATAGTTGGCCCAAAATGATGGTGGGCAGAGAAGTAAATACGATCAAATTCCCAGTCATGCTATCAGAGCATGAGGGCCAGTTACGCCGAACCATCCAAAACGCCATTCTCTATGCATGTGTCTTGTCCGAAAAATAATACGCCGGAAAAACTGTCCATGAAAATCATTACTCCGTATCTCCTTCTTCATATCTTTTCAAAGCGAATTCCGCTTTCTTCGTTTTGGTGTAAATGGCAGACGCTCGATCATCTGGGTGACCTTGGAGGGTTGCTTGGTAGTTCTGCCGGCATATTTTCGTCCCCACGTCCGTCGTTCAACTCTACAGGCGAGTGTATGGTGCCGGGCACTGGTGCTGGCAGAGGCGGTGGTTGCTGAGGCGGGTATCCGGGTCCTACAGTTGCGCTTCCCGGTGGTGGTGTTGGGTAAACACCTGGTAGATCCGCCTTGCTGGGCTGCATTGGTTGGACCATGGGGAATTGAGGGGACCCCATCATGCTGCCAGACTGACCCGTGTGCTGAGGCCCGATGGGCACCTGCTGCTGGTACATGCCGTAGTTCTGGGCCGGCCAGACACCGCCTTCGGGGGGCGGCTGTTGCTGAGGTGGCTGCGGAGGCCAATTGCTGCCGGGAAAGTACGCCGGTTGGAAGTTATGGGGTGGCACAGAGTTCGGCGGAGATGGGTTCGTTTGCGAGTGCGGTGATTGTGCGTACGGCTGGCCGTAGTAGGCGTATGCGTGGGGATGTTGAGGAGGCGGGTACTGGTTGTTCCAATGAATGTACGTCGGGACGGCGGAAGTCATTTGCGGAGAAGCGACCATCTTATCCCCTTCGGCCTGGATAGTCTTTTGCGAGTCGGTGGTGCTAGGTGCCTTTTCCAACTTTGCTTTGCGTAACGCATGAAGAGCGCGGCCTGTCATAATAATCAGTCAATGGTCCTTGTCCTTCAAGGCTCTCTACCAGGTAAGTAGTTAGAAGATCAAAACGTACCAAAGACACTGATGGTGATTACGAAGAGAACAAGGTTGACGACGGAAGTAGCGGTGCCGGCAAACGTAGCAGCGACGAAGCCATCGGCAAACGGCTCAACGTTCATCTTATAATACACTTCGTACTTGGGACCGAACGTTACGATGAAGGCATCGAGGGAATCAAGATCATCTGCGTGACTGGCAAGCAGGGCCATAGTAATCAACCAGAAGACGACAGTGAGTAGCTCGAGGCCGCTGCGCACAATGTTAGTCGTGCCGCTTCTCCAAGTTTGCCGGGGGGGGGGGGTTCCCTACAGATGCACCCAGCAATTGTACATGACGGGAATAAACATGACGGCTACGCCGAGCCATGTCAAATAGGAGAAGGTCCAGGCGAAAGCAAACCATGAAAATGCTATGCGCAACGTTAGTAATGGCACACAAGAGTAGGCAGAGGGGGGGATGGTGGTGTTACGTACGGAAACCCTCTGTACCGCTAAAGGACTGCATCGTAAAACGCAAACAGTCAGTAAACGTGAACCAGAAGGGCGGGATCCAAGCAGAGGCCAGATCGGAGGCCAAGAAGTTCTCGAACATACCGTTATCCTGCGATAGCCCGTGGCTTTCTGCATAGTGGTGAGCCCAAAGACTGTTATTCCCAACGTCGCAATGGCGAGGACCTAAGATTTCAAACCCGTCAACTTGATATTCGTACAGCAGGCTTTCGTGCAGATCATTTCGCGGGACTCGGTTTCCCTTTGATGTAGTTGGGTCTGAGAGTGGTGTCCTTACAAGCTGTGCAATCCTGACGCCTGCGATCCAAACCGGCATGGCCGGAACATGAGAGCGGTTCCTCCCATCTTTGGGCCAAATGTTCTTGGTCAAAAAAGACATGGGCGAGGATGCGAGGGGTTTAGACCCCTTGGGTTCAGGTTCGGGAGACTGGGTCCTCGTCGGCTGACCCGGTGCCTCACGAGGAGACGGGGCGTTGTCGGGCCGTCGTGATGGCGGACTGGAGCCGACAGGTTGGAGGTTGGTGAGCGGAATCGAATTGGGGTCGACCGGATCTTCGGTCGCGCCGTCGTCCCTCGACGGGGAGGGGTCGCGGGGTGGTGGCGACGACGTCGTGGTGGTGAGATGGGGAGAGCGGTCGTTGTTTGTGGCTAGACTCGAGTCAAAGTTGTCGTCGCTTTCGTCGCGAACAGTATGATTTTCGGGATGGGTCGATATCGGGGGCGGCGCAACTGGTGGTGTGTGAGGACCTATGTTGGGCGTGTGCAAGTATGTTTTCGCTGAAGGAAGGTTGGAGTTGGAGTCTGTCGGTCTCGAAGTTTCGTAGTTGGCAGCAACAGTTGCCAGAGGTTGTGAGGTTATCGAGAGGAAAGACGCAAAGTCGAGCTGGCGGTAAGGTCAAGCTGGCGATGGGTGTTGATGGTGGTAATGGTGGTATTGAAGGTGTTCGGTGAGGTGCTACTTGCTGGGTACCTAGTAGCGGTGGTGTTTCTTTCGCCAATCGACGTCACAAAGGGTGGAATGGCGGAGGCTAAGGGCTGAGCGCACTGAGCAAATGTTTTTTTCGTCCGTTCCGTTCCTCCAATGCAACGACAACGTCTTTTTGGGACGGTCAACTGCTTGGGGGGTGTGGATGGAGGGGAGGGGAGCCCAGTAGAACTAGACGGTAGGAGGGGGAGGGGGGCCCCGGTCCGATCAGAGGGAATTGGGCTGGTTCGCTGGCTGGCTGGCTGGCTGGCTGGCTGGGGGGCCTTGGTGCTTGGGAATCTCTGGCGTCCACCACGGTTCAGGTGTGGAAGAGAAGCTGATTGTTGATCGCTGGAGCTTGAAAGAAGGTTGGCACCGGTTGCCGGGGACGCTGTGGCTTTTCGTCTCTTCAGGATCTGCCTTTCCTGTCTGTGTCTAGACACTCTGATGTCGACGGGTGGTGAGATTAGTTGAGTTTGCTAGGGCCCGTTCTTTGGGACGAGAGTTGACGTCTGGTCGTCTGTGAGTGGTTTGCTGCTGGTCTAGGACTCTAGGTAGTGTTCGGGTGGTGGGAGAGGGCGGAGAGTATCGGCAGGTTTCCTGTCAATCCTGTGTCCCAGTAATCCTCTGATCTGGAAAAGGCCGGCAAATGGGTGTGTGGGCGGATGGAATGGGGATGGGGGATGGGGATGATGATGGATGATGATGGGGAAGTGGTCAATGGGTCATAGGGAATTGGGAGCACGGCTTGGGATTGGAGGACGAAGGAAGATGGATGGATCATGGACCAAGAACCAGGACCTCGCCAGTCAAGGATTCGAGATACACTATCCGTACGAAGTACTCCGTAGTAGGTAGAGGTTAGGATGGAGGCAGATGCGAAGGAACGGCTACATAGAGAGGAGAGGCAGAGACAGGAACGAAGCTAATCCATTCTGAAAGACTGGAACAGGAACATGGATGGATAGACATGGTACGGAGTACAGTAGGTAGGCAAAAGCGCCGAGGGAAAAACCTGATCTGAAGAGAAAAACGGCTGCGGCTCGCTATGGCTTGGGCGAATGGACGAATTGGAGGTGGCCAGGCTTTGCTTGTTTGTTCCGTCACCTTGTATCCGAAGCCTGTACCGTACTTTGTGTGTGCAGTACAGGATGAAACGGAACACGGCTGCCGGCCGTTGACAGATAGAGAAACAGGTTCAATGTCTTTCGACTGTTCTCCGTCTTGTGCTGGGCATGGCATCGTGGCTGTGGTGGCATCCAACAGCAACGCAAAAAAGTGGCCGGGAAAGAAAAAAAACTTGGAGCCACAGACTCACTCCAATGACAAGAAGTGGATGATCCAATCATCAATCGACAATAAAGCGGGTTCCACCAGACACAGCGCCAAGAGTAAATGCCAAGCTTTCACGAGGGCCAACATGCCAAGAGGAAGGAGGGGGCCTTTCTTTTGCTCTCTCTTTTGCTCTTTTTATTTCTCTCCGTCTCTCTCTCTTTCCCAATGTTCTTCTCTCAAGGAAATACATCGAGGAGGTACCTGACCCAATGGAAGGTACCTAAGATAGTCAGGCACGTGCCAGGTATACTATCATGGTATGGTGTCTCGAATGGCAGGAAACGAGGTAGGTATGCAACTGCCCAAAACCAAAGAAACAAAACACATTGTGGAAGGAAGCTTGGGAAGGAAGGAAGGAAGTCGGCGGGGAGGAGGAAAGGCAGCCGTTGTCATTGGACTAGCGTCACCACATGCCCCGCAACGCCAAGCGGCTGGCTAAATTGGGACGTCATGATTCGATAGCCAGACCCGCCTCTTCTAGCAAGTATCTTTTCGGTGCAATTTGTGGCACCGAGTACTTTCAACTTTCCATTGTTCCTGCTATCCCGCCTTACCTCTGACTTTCGGGAAAATTCAACGAACCGCAGTGAGGAGACGGCCGTCCAATCACCAGACGGACGCATCCTCGGGAGTACGTATCTTTCCGGGGCTAGGAACACCCGGCATTCGACCGTCCACTATTCCAGGTACGTACCTGGCAAGCTTCAGCCGTCTGAGCGTATGATCTTCTCTGCCGCTGTCACCGTCAATTTACACCTTTTTCCATCTTTTCAGCGCTTCAATTCCTCAATCCTGAGTTCCGCGATTCCCGTTAAGATACGGATACTCCCCGACACAACTTGACCAGCCTCGAACATCGAACATGATCGATATCGCTTCCTCCGAAGTCCAACAAAGCTTCTACGATCCACCTATTCAAGGGCCAAGCACTGCCCCCAACATCCGGAAGAAGCTTCAGGTCGCTCTCCATCCCGGTCTGTCATCAAATCCGCTCACGCACCTTAGGCCCATGTCCCGCCTCTGCAGAAGCAATACCCATGGGCACTGGATGGAGGAAGAGCGGGCCACTCGATAGGGCCCCGGTCGTGTGCTTCCAAGACCTCTCCCCGCCCAATCATCCTCAACTTCGTCCATCTCGCGCCGCCCCAAACGGTATCGCTTTCTGTCCAGGCCTCTGATCACCGCCCCAGTGTGGCAGAGCCATGCACCCGTGGCACAACCACCGACGCATCATGGATCGATGGATACGCAGTACGGACTACGGAGTACACGACGATATCGCGCCTCCAGACTTTACATTGAAGGCATTGCCTTCCCTTCCGCCCGCTGTCAACCATGTCTCCGCTGCGAACCCCGTTGCTTTGACTTAGTTCGCCGCTACAGACCGAGAAAGCAGTTGTTACGGCGTTTTTGCGGACCAACCCAAACTGCTCTCAATGTTCCTCGGATTCATCACGCGGCGAACCTTTTCGTCCATCGTTTCCGATACGAAGTTTGTCTAGCGCAGTGTACGGAGTACGGAGTTCAGATACGCTTACAGATACCTACAAATACGGTTATTTTGCCCAAGAAACGCCGTCAAGCACGAGAGCCATCACGCGTGCGCTTAGAGCGCCCGCCTTTGAAGACGTCCATTCAGGCTCTTGCGGCTCCTCTACATAGACACCACGCCACGCGCAAGCACCAAGATATTCGCACCAGCACGGATACTACCTAGTGATACCACAATAATTGATAACATCCTGTCTCATAGCACGATGCTTTCTTGCAAATCCCTCTGTGACTGTCACCTCACAAAGCGGTGGAAAGTCAGCAAGGTACATACACTACACTAGGTAGCACACTGGATGCTGTGGGTGTGGCACCAGAGAGGCGCAAGAGGTTGGGGTGGTGCCCATCATCAGCACCTTCACTCAACGTCTGAGACATGCCTGCCAAGCGGAGAAGAAGAACGTTTTTGTTGATGAGGGCCTGGCCGGCTTTGCTGCATTGCCTGCCACAGAATTATTGATATTCTTCTTTTTCCTTTCGCAGCTCAAACGCCATGAATCTAGCACTTTGTCACGCACCGGCCCAGATGGCACAAAATGTTATGCCTTCTATCAAATACCTACTGACGAGCTCTTTGGATTCTTAGCAGAGAATTTCGCTGCGCTGCCCACGCCTGAGGGGACCGGCAAATGCCAGCAGGTCGGCCTTTACCCGGCCGTCTATCGGAGTCTCTCACCATGGTGCGCGGTGTATACCTCTTCCCCACGACCCCTCAGGCTCTTCGTTCTCGTCATGTATCGGTGGACCCTTCAATCCACACTCCACAAAACCAGAGGTTGTGCCGCCGGGTCAGCGAGGACAGACAGGCCATTCGCTGCAAACCTTCCGATCCTGTGTCGAGCCAGGCAAGGGATGGGGAGGTGCAACGAATTGGCTATAGGCCTCAGGAGGGCCATTATCGAAAACGGAACAAAGCGCTGCAGCAGGATGCATACGCAGGTCACAGGTTGCAGTGGTGTGCAACATTCTCGCACTGGACAAGTCTGCGACTCTCCGCCAAGGTCCAAGGTCAACAATCCGCCAAGATCGCAAGAGAACCACCGGATGGAAAGGAAAAGCGGGGGTTGGGTCCTCTAGGAAGCGTGCAAGATCTTCCTGCGTCTCCGCCAGAGGCCTCCGCTTCAAAGGTCACTCCTCTCTCGGGCACGCCGTCTCCTCCAAATGCCAAGACTTGTGCCCAGCACTGTGGCACTCTCCCAACATCTCCACGTATTCCTCGAATCCTCCCTCAGACTCCGTATGGATACGTCCAGCCAGACTCTCAATGTCTGGGCGTTTGAGCCAAGCTCTGCTGCTCTTGTCGCCCGATGGACCCCCCTCTGGCCACCGTCTTGACCGTCTTGTCGTTCCGTCTCGCTGCCTCAAGAGGTTACAGATGCTCGATTTCGGGCCCCATGCTCTCCCCTGACTCGGGCCTCCGAGTTCCCCTCCACGGCTCCGGTCGACGTTCAAATCAGGCCGGCGCTGTCTGCAGCACCACAGGCACAACAAAGGTCGCGGTTCCTCATCATAGGCACCTGCCGATCGAACGGGCTTGGGCGTGGCACTCAACGGCATCCCGACCTCGCTAGCAATGCTGCCATGATGATAGCATTGGCGCGGAACACCCAATCTCATTTCCCACAACCCGTTGTCGAATTTACCGCCTCCCCAGGTGATCGGGTCAGAGCACGTCCCCTGCCACCCACAACGACGAAATGGTTCATTTCTGGACCGTCACCAAGATGAACGAGCAGCGACCGCAAGCAGGCCAGCAAGCTCAAGCCTCAAGCTCCCTGCGGCTGTCGAGAAAGAAGGCATTGAAAAGTCTTGGAACTATTGGTGAAACGATTCGGCAGGGAAACACCCTTCCACCGCCAATGATGTCTATTGCAACCTTTTTGCAGCAGCGCAGAACTAAACATACCACTGCCCCGCGCGCCAAGAAATACTGCGACCAGCGCAACAACGCACAGGAACCCGGGCACCACACCGGCACTTGTTCGCTTTTTACGTCCACCTCTGAATGGGATACCAAAATCAGAATGAAGCTTGTGTGCGCAAGCGCTGCTTATCTTTCTATTGCCCAGCCGCCGACTCAACCCTAATCTGATTCCTGGTTCGATGCCTTGCTCGCCAGCGATGGTGCTCGTCGTGGGAATTGACCGGACCATGGACCAATACCCCCGAGATAGCCCGGTTCACTCGATTAAGCTTAAGGTCCTGACCAGGAACATCTGGTGCTGGCAATGGCAGGCATTTTCCCATCCCCTCGCTTTCGTCGCGGAGTTATCCCGAGCTTCCAAAGTGTTCTACTCGTCCGTACTTGATCCTAGGTAATTGGACACGCAGGTTTTACTTCATTCTCGGTGTTGCCAACCTCGTTCTCGGTTTGTTTACTCACTATCGCTTCATCGTAGAAGCGAAACCGGATCCGCGCAGTTGTCTTGAACAACTTCCACGACCTCAGCTTAAGTGCTACAGCCAGAGATCCAGCGCCGTAGCATACCTTAAAGTTCAGATAGGTGGGATCAGTCGTTTGGCTTTTGTTGAGCATTTCCGTGAGACGCTGAGCATAGTTGCTGCCCGAAATTTGCCAACATGTATGGCTCTGGGAAGCCGAATCATGTGCCTTGTCTAGACACCCACCGCAAGTCTTGGCACGCATTGATATGGCCCGCCGAGCAAATCGGAATGTCGTCGCTCGGAATTTGCAGGTTTAAGTCCTTTTGCAACTATCGCGCCATTTTCCTGTAAGTACACAGCGAGTTACCATGGTGCGAATCTGGCGTGTTGCTATGGATCATCAAAGCAACTGCGAATGATACATCGATGTTGAGTAGTGGGCTTGACTCAGTTTCTGCTCTTCACTCTGCCGTGTCTTGCAGGCTAGTTGTCGCGGGATGTGGGTGAACCGAGTTATTCCATCACACTCACCGTCATGTCAGGAAATTCCTTCAAGTGCCAGCCCTACAGGGCGCATCAGGTCTATTGGGCAACGGAATGCTTCCGAGATGAACCTCAGCTCTCGCCCCCCGATGCCGTCCGCTTCACTTTAATCTTCTATCACGCCCCAATGTGGAAGCTGGGATTGGGCATAGGACTGAAGTAGGCATGGGTACATGCGAACTTGTACGCATACTGGTACCTGAATCGTGCGTGTGCTCGACTCACGGATTCGCATCGCGAGATCTGCCTGTGTCCCCAATGACCGTAGATGTACCTATCTCGGTGTTGAGCAGATACTCTTGTTTGGAGGGTCTGGCATAGACTCTGGTACTGCATGATCCGTGATGTGACTGTGATGATGGCGAATGGGGCTCTTGCGAATATTTCGGCCGATCCACGGCGGAGATAGGCTGGAGAAGCAATCTGTGGTGATGTCCTTGATCGTGATGGATTCGACACAGGAGATTGGTCAAGTTACAAAGCAGCACGTTGCATCACATGGCTTTTTTTCGACGCCGTTCCTGAGCGATATCGAGCTTGTGACATTACGTGTTGGTATCCGCGGTACCTTGGGCCTCCGACTTCGACCTGCTCCTGCCTCTGGTATAACACTGGGGTGACGGAATAATCGTTCCGTGGTTGCTGAGGTGCCGAGTAGGTTGGATACTATTATGACTGGTCGGAAAAACACAAAAGTACATAGAGAGAGGCTTGGGAATACGATAACGGGATGCCCAAGATTGTAAACTAGAATAGTGTAGTAAATGCTTTTTTTACTAGAATGGTTGTTCATGAGAACTCAAGCTTGACTGACGGGTTTAGGTGAGACGTGGAAATCATTTGGTTAAGTGATCTGCCACGGAAAGCAGGATATTAACAACTGATGGTACAGTATTTCGTCTCAGACGTCAGGTCCCGGGATTTGCGAGAACGATGAGTCTATCAACGTGCTTTCATCTCTATAAGTATCAAGCGTGACCTCTGCTATGTTTGTGTGAACGTCTTAGTGTTCGTAGGGTTTCTACTTCGTCGCGAACTGGTGGTAAATTTTATTCGGCTTCGGTTGTAGCACCGCGTCTTCGATGGCGGCATGGCAAATGGTGATTTGGGGTCGTTGATATGCTGCCTTGTTTTTGACTATTTCTTCATGACTTATGTTCTGATGTAGATACGATATTTGAACCGAGAGTTCTGTGGCGAAAAGAAGCACGCAGAAGGAGTTTACCTCGGAGATATTTTAAGACCCATTTGTATCAGTTAAGTCGTGCTAGGACATGAAGCAAAGATGGTTGAATTAGAAGGTGTACCGGCGGAATTATAAACCCGGTAGTCAAGATAGTCGAAGCATAAAACAAAACTAAAGATGCTGGCTAAGTCCTACATGGTTCAATCTCGTTCTTTCAGCCGTGTCCAATCATTATCCATTCGAGTCCAGCATTCATTTCCATTCCTATTACACAAGCCGTTGTCCACCTCCATGTTGAGTAAACTCAAGTAGTGTAGACGTTGACGGTGGCCTTCAAGAGGTTGCTGAGGGTGGCAGTCACACCAGTCAAACCAGACTGCGAAGTAGTATCAATGTAAGGTGACAGAGCAGTTCCAAGACCACCCAGGTTCGTCGAGATCAGCTTGAGGTAATCAGTCTGACCAAGCGGGGTCAACGACGCGACAATCCCAGACGTCTTGGCCTTGTTCAACAGGTCCGTGACCGTCTTGAGCGCAGGCTGGATCTCGTTTGTGAGCTTAGTGACGATGGCGGACGAGTCGGTCGAGTTGAGGGCCAAGGTCAGGGCCTTTGCATCGAGCAAAGCAGAAGAGGAGGCCGAGTTGAGGCCGATTGTGTTTAAGAGGACCGCGGGGAGCTTGAGGATGTTGTTGACGCTGAGGCTGTTGCCGGTGGTGTAGTCGAGGCCGTTGAGGGTTGTTGTGAGCTTGAGGATGGAGCCTTGGAGGGTGTCGAGGTTGGCGATGATGCTTGCGCCTGTGCTTGATTGGGAGGGGAGGTTGCCGAAGGGGAGGAAGCTGCCTGGTACGGGTGTTGCTGAGGATACTGAGAGGGCGGCGAAGCCGGCGAGGATGGAGGAGAAGTGCATTGTGTTGTGTTTGTGAGGTAGAGGTTGGTTGAGTACAGTGAGATCGCTATCGACCTGGGTAAGGTATGAGAGTACAGGCGAGAGTGTCGTTATCAAGGCTTGTCCAAGACCGGTGCTGAGGTGGTTAGGTGTTGAGGATACCCATAGACACGAGGAGGATGCAACGTCTGTATTTATTCCCATCTAATCTCAGCGACATCCTCGCCATTTGATGTCACACAACCCGTCCCTCCCGCTTTCTCTCTTCTTCTTCAGCTCAACCCCCTCCGTTGACGAAATCTGGCCCGCGCAAGACAAGTCTATCCGAGACAGACCCTCCTCGCCAAAAGAATGTCTCACCGCCGCCGTCTCTGGAAGGGTAGATCTCGACCAGAGACAGACACCGACTAACCCGAATCTCGGGGAGCCTCAAGCCACGGAGCTAAACCCGCATCGCAACAGCTCTGCGAGGAAAGAGGAAAATGATTGGCCTGCTACGCAAGAGGCGGGCAGGAAAACCAGTGACAGGACCGGTCCTCCTTCCTCTGCGAGAGGCTGCAGCGCCGCTTCCGGGTGTGACGGGGCGGAGGGAGCGGACGCGGGCGGGCTGCTTTCGGACGGCGTCGTCAAAGAGCTATGCTTATAATGCGGGGCCCACCTGTGTTATTCGGTTCAGCGTTAGTGTGCGACCACACTTGACTGCAGCTGACCAATGCCAGAACAGTGATGATGTGCGTGATGGTGGTTTGAGGCTTGGGATCTGGACGGGAGTGGTAGGTATTTCGTACGGGCGGAAGATGACATGGCTGGTCGTCACACAGGATCTCCAGAGGCTTGTTGCCTCTTGCGCCGGTGGGCGTTGGGTACGGCTGAATTCGATCTGGTCAGATGGAGATACGTCTGCGCCTCCGTTTCTCTGGTGTTAAGGAGAAAGCAAGAAGGAATCCGCGCAATTACATTTGAATAATCACATCATTAGAGAATCTACTAATTGCTCTTCAACACTATTAGTCAGATAGACGCACGATTGTAGTCACTACCTTGTTTCGAGGAGATTGGCGTGAGGGGTCAACTCCAAAAAACTTCACGAGACTGTGTCAACTCCAGTAGGTACGGTCCTACGTTCAGGCAGCCAAATAGCGATGAGTCAGGCTTGTATCCCTACCGTGATCCTTCGGCATATACATCAATGCCGAGTACGCGATGAGGAGGATCAAGACCCCGCGGCTTCTCAAATACCCATCGGTGCAAAACTACCCGATGGGCGCGTACAACATTGATAGTTTGCTGATGCCTACTGTACTCAGTACTCTTTGCCTGATTCAATGCAGAACGGTCTCGACTCTCGCGACAATTACCTTCCCTGTCTAGATATATGTACCTACGCTGGAATATGGACCGAAGTAGGTAGTAACTTCGGAAACGCGTATCTATATACAACATTGGCAGTCACGTTATACTGTACATATTACTTGTGATAATATCCTTTTTGGTCACTGAACACTTGTAGATTCCCCTGAATCACGTCTCAGTGACTTGAGTCTCAGGTTCAGAGAAAGATAAGTATCTATCGTAGGAGCCGGTCTCGGATGAGCATAGGCCGACAGGCTATGTATTAGAGTTTTCCCATGGATAGTATTGCCTCAAAAGCAAGGCGATAGTCATTATCGTGGTCAATCTTCATGATTGAGCTTGGGATGGGAGTATAGCGCTGCCGTGAGGGAACCGGTTTACTCGGATGATGCTCGATCAATACATCCATGTCACAAGGCTGCTGGTGGGACTTTATTCATGATAAATAGCCCGCCGCTCAGAGAAACACAAATGAATGAAGTTTGATTCACAGAAGCATAGCGCAGCTCACTCTCAAGCCGTCCGCACGTTTCTCAACATGGCACCGTACCCGAAATCTTTCGCTCAGCCCGGAGAGGCGTTTATCTACGCACCACACAGTACGTCCTTCCAGCATTTGACAGACGAGGAAGCCAAACACTTTGTGGAACATGGCTGGCTTCGCGTCGAAAACGCCATCGATCCAGATGTTATAGATCGGTGGATGAAGGATCTTTGGGTCCGTTGCGGGTATGATGCTGGCGATAAATCCACATGGATACAGGGATACCTTCACCTGCCCTTCCATCGGCAACTTCGTTACGAGCATTTCGCGCCGAAGGCTTTTGACAAGATCACAGACATTATCGGTGGTGTTGATGCTTGGGATGATGAGCGGGAACGCTGGGTGGGGGACAACTTTGTTGTCAACTTTGGTTCCGAGTCCAGGTCCCGAGAGTTAGACAACGTCAAATCGCCCAACAAGAAGGGAGGCTGGCATTGCGACAATGACTGGTTCCGACAATTCCTTGACTCCTCGGGAACGACATTGACCGTCATCAACTGCTTCACGGATGTTCCAGCAGGAGGTGGAGGTACTCTATTATGCGAGGATGGCTTACGCGGTATGAATCCATTTCAGCTGTCATAATCCACTATTACGTCTGGTTCAGACTTGACGGCTATTGGACTCTTGCTGACTACCTTACTGCAGAGGTTTGCAAGCGACTTTACGACCACCCTGAAGGTCTCGACCCAGCTTTAACCGCTGATGATCTGACCATCGGCGCGCGCGAGTGCGAGATATTTCAGACTGTCGAGGCGAAGAAGGGCGACGTCTTCATCCTTCACGGTCTCGTTCCGCACACAGCGAACTACAACTATCACCACTATGCTCGTGTCAACAACTTCCCTCTCGCCTAATTTTTCTTGGCATCTGCTGTTAGTGAATGAGTGAGCCTACCACCAAATTACTAACAGCCGAAAACTCTTCACCTCCCCTTGCCGGAGCCCGCATCCGCGATGGCCTCACAGCCGCCGTCGGGCACCGGACTGATGTCGGCCGACCAAGCCGACCCCGAACCAGGCTCCGGGACACCTCCGGAGCCGAACCCCACCTCAAGAGCTAAGCGACGCCGCGACGCCGAGGCACAGCCGACCCGGCCCAGCCTAACGGGAAGCCAGCTTGATGCCACCACCGACGCCCCTACCTCGGCCGAGGGGCCCGCAGCCTCTACCGCATCTGCTCCGAGCGGATCTGCCACAGGGTCCGTCTTGACAGCCCTTGCAGAAGAAGCTAGACAGTACGAGGCACGGAAAGACGTCTTTCTGACCATTGCACGGTCCGTCGACAGCGTTGTCGCCAGCTTTGACGGTTCTAGAAAGCAGATCGCGAAAGAAGCCACTGCCTATGTCATTCAAACCCTCAAGAGACTGATCAATCACGAGACAAGCCCAATAGCGGCCCGGAGTTGGGCGGCTGTCGTCGCACCGATGGCGGGCAACACCACTGCGGCGACCCGGAGCGGCCAGAGCTGCCAGAGCTCTGCCCGCCCGAAGGCCACACTCCCCGCCGAGGATCAGCCGCAGGCGCAGCCGAAGGAGGACCTCCGCATCTTTGCCCGCGTCCCGGAAGAAAGCTTAGCGGCCGCTCGGAAGATCGCACCGTTCGCCGTACGACAGATCGTCTGTAAGGCCGTTGGCCTGGGGCTAGCGGACCTTCCCCACGTCTACCATATCAGCACAGGTTACTCTCTGAAGCCGCGAAACAAGCAAATACAGGAAAGACTACTTACAAGTAAGGCAAAGCTGGCGGAATGCCTCGGCGCCCACCAAGTCGAGACGCCTATCAAGTGGCACACATACGTTGTGCCGCGATGCCCAACAAAACTACACAGCATTGGCGGGGACGTCCTGGACCCAGCCACACTCGTTGAAGATGAGGTCTTCGCACAGACAGGACAGAAGCCTGTCCTTGCTCGACCGTCCCGCCTTGGGCCCAACCCAGTCACGAACGAAATATCTTGGCTCATATCATTCACATCAGAGGTCACGCCCTTCAGGCTCTTCAACCAAAGCGGCAGATCTCTGCCCATCAAAAAACGAAGGACGCTCATCCGACATGACCCCGGCTGCCAGGGCTACCACGCCAACCGGTTCTGCGGACGACGACCGACTTGCAGCAACTGCGGAAGACCTTCCGACTCACACGAAACGGGACCTTGCATGGCCAGGCCCCAGTGTCCCAACTGCTGCGGCCCCTTCCAAGCCGGCCACACAGACTGCCCAGCGAGGCCCTCGGTCGTAAACGGCGTCGTCTCCCTTCCCGGTCGAAAGGAGCGGGCTCGGATCCGGAAGGCCGGCCAGAAAGCATCGGACACTCTGTACAAGGCTACTCGATCCGACAGTAGCCAGGAGGCGGCAGGCGTCCCTACCTCCACCAGCCAGAACCAGCAACCCGGCGCCAAGCGCGCGCGCACGAGAACGCCCTCCGCAAGCTCGATCGTTTGCCTCGGTGACGGAAGCACTGACAGCAGCAGCATGGATGAAGACGAGGCGGACGAAGGCGAAGGCGAAGACTCCCCCGACAACACCTCCATCGACCGTCCCGTGCTACCCATGCCAAGCAGGAGCCAACGGGCAGCACAGAAGCCAAACTACAACGTCGCGAATGCCTACACCCACCTCGAACTCGACTCGGAGACGTAAGCCGAGAGCGGCGACCCCACGGATGCTACGCGTTGCGCAGGGCAACGTCGGAAAGATCTCCCCGGCGCACACGGCTTTCCTGA